GGAGTGTCTTTGGCTTGTTACATCTTATTCCACCCTAAAATCTTAAGTTTCTCTACAAGAGTCAAGAAATGTTCGAATGCTGTTTTCCTGCACAACTTGTGGGTTAGAAGGATATGAACATGTCTATACAAATCTTCTATTGTTTGCCCCAAATACTTGAACGATTCTCCTGGTGTTCTTTTTCTCAGCCTTACTTCAACATCTATCATGTTAGAATTTCTAAATCGTAGTTCCATACTGTTAATTTAACGATCTCAATTTGTTTGTGCATCATTTTACAGACCATTCATAAATGTCTCTGCTCGACTTCTTAGCATTTTGATGAACACCAGTCATTTCCTGTCAACATTCCAACCATTTAGTTTCGCAATGTTTTTAAACATATTGGCACAACTGGCATACTCAGATCCTGCATAAGCAGGACTTGTGTTTAAATAATCACAGTCATATCTTTTGATGAATGGTTTTCGAATTTACAATTAGACAGCGTAACCTTATTTGAATATTGTGAAACAATTTGTCTAGAAAGAATCTTTTATATTACTTTACTTAATTCTTTAATTTTTGAAGGTTATTGCGATAAAGGATACAAAAGAAACAGTTAAGTCTGCCACATATTTTGACTTGCATCTAGAAATTGACAATGAGGGTCGGTTCAAAAACAAAACTTTACGATAAAAGAGATGAATTGTGAACTCTTCATTTCTATGTAGCAACATTCCAGCGGCGCCTGCATACGGAGTATATATCTCCCAGTTGATACGATATTCCAGGGCTTGTATTTCCTATCCTGATTTCCTTGATCGAGGGTTCTGCTCACAAGGAACTATTAAATCAAGATATCCATGTGGTGAAGTTGATCCCTTCGTAAATCTTACGGACACCATCACGAGTTGGTTGACCGTTATGGAATATCTGTTTCACAGATGACGACGAATATGTTCCAATTGTCCTAACTACAATCCCGCTCCCTTTCCCCGAATGTGACCTACCGAATTAGACTTATCACCGGGTTTGTACTTACATGAGCAACACGACGGGTGGCACATGTGGAGCAGGATCTGCTTACCCTTCCGGACAACCTGAGATCCCCCCAGTTTTTGGTAGGGTTCGTGTTGCTCGGTCTTTAGTTTTATATGTTGTGTTTTGTATACTGTTGGTCTTTTTCTTTTTAAGCCATGGCGTTGACAGTTTATTTTCGACTTATGGTTTTGAATGTCCCTTTGGTATCTTTCGCCTCTCTTTTATGGAATAAATGTCATGCGAAGATATCTGTTTTTGTCTAGGTGATTCAAATTTTGAAAAGTAAGTGAAAGATCAATTTTGATGCTAGCTCGATGTTAAATTTTGTTGATTATTTTTACTGTAATTTTACAGTAAATCGAATCTCAACAGCAGGTATAATGTTCTCGAACTGCCTTGGACCAAACTTTTCAAATTAAGTTTGTTCTCACATGACAGCTGCACAGAGTTCGTGTCCGATAAACGGAAACAATTATTAGAAGGATCCGTCTAGTAGATAGTCCCTTTCCCTTCATCAGAAATTATTACAAGGAAGGGTCCGTCAGTTAGGGTTCCTCCTACGTTAAACAAAGGTTATACTAAGAATACACCCGGCCTTTGCGTTCAAAACCCTTGCTTGTGTTTACATCAAATTCTTGAAATTCTAAATAAATTAAAAAGAAATTGTGAGAAAAACATATCTAGAAAAAAAAATATGTTCACTAATATTTTGACACCTCAAAATTCAAGAGACTATCCTAAATTGAGGTAAATTGTATGGATAAAAACCGCAATTTTTATACGTGTGCATGCAAAACAAATTTCTTGTTAGAGGGGTCTAAATACAGCACAAACAACATTTTCCAAAAGACCAAAATAGTGAAAAAGTATATTTTAACATAACGCATTTGACTAACAGGTCGAACAACAAATGTTCTTAAACAAGAAATTTGTTTTGCATGCACACGTATAAAAATTGCGGTTTTTATCCAACGCAATCATAGGTTTGAACGTTGTTTTCAATTTGGACTTGTTTATATTTTTTCGTTTGGGCTTGTATTATATTTGCCTTCGGGTTTATATGATACGTTCATCCTATTTTGACTCCTCAAAATTCAATAGTCTATCCTAAATTGAGTTAAATTGTATGGCTTTCCAAATACCGTTTCGATTCCTAACATCACTGAAGAGACATTAATTGCCGAAATCCGGATATGGTGTACAAATACCTTTGCACCTTTTGTTTGCGGTATACCATCTTCTCCGCAAGTTTATTTTTTCTGTTTAGTTTAGTATTAAATTTATAATTAAGATCCATTTATTACATCGGTGATCCGTTTATTTGGCAATCGCCGATGGCAGTCAGTAAGAACATTTGTTGTTCGACCTGTTAGTCAAATGCGTTATGTTAAAATATACTTTTTCACTATTTTGGTCTTTTGGAAAATGTTGTTTGTGACCATCGAGTAACTGGCAAATAAATATCATGCGAACATAAAGAGAAAGAGAGAGAGAGAGAAGATACCAAGGAGCAACCAAAAGTCATGTCATTTTAAAATAGACAACACTGTGGATAAAGCAACACTACCCCGACAAAAAATCACTCAGTACAATAATATATAGAAAGGATAACAGGAATCATCTAATTTATATGACCACACCAACCACCAACATCCGTTTAAAAAAAAAAAAATAATAAAACCAGACGCACAACCACACACTACAAACCAGTGAAAGTCTGAAATGGGCAGTATTTTAACTCGACTGTACTGATTTTCACTCGAACATTCTGAATAGGTCTGAAATTTACTTAATATTATTCAATTTCAATCTTAACCATACTTATCTGTACATATCTGTACTTGACCCTTATCTTGACCATACTGTAAAGTCTTAACTCGTACTCGACCAGTCTGAAACAGTATTAACTCATTCTCGACCTGTACTTAATCAGTTCTTGGCCTGATTTCAATATCTTAACAATACTCGACCAACGGACTTTATGATCTGAACCAGAGACATATATATACACATATATATGTCTCTGTCTGAACCATACTGGGTTATTACATAATTATATGTGATCTTTTTATCGGACAAATCACGTTCTTATAGTGTACCTCTTGGTCAAATGTCTAGCCAAGGGAAACAAATCTTGTAAAATAAAAGACTATAAAAAGAAGAAATAAGAGATGTAGATTAAGAATAGGTCAAGGATTGTTAAGGCTTGGTCGAGTATGGTTCAGACTTGGTCGAGTATGATTGTACATACTACAATGTCATAATGAACAAAAGATGTTACAATGAGACATGGAACGTTTTTCATTGTAGTAACAATATCATGATGAAATGGTGTTCAATAATTGTGCTTACAGTTATCTCCCCTAAAACTAACCTAACTCCCCTGAAAGCGGCGTCAATTACAAGCGTTAATTTCAGCATTTCCTAATTTGCAGTTCATTTTGGGGTTCAATAAGGTTGTCTAAGTAGTAGGGGAAAAATCTTAATATGCAAAACTTTCAGTCTAAAACCTTTGCTGTGAAATTCTAAATAACTTTAGTTACGTCTTTTTAAATAGAGAATGTATTATACTAGTACATCAAATCATTGAAAATACAGATATCCCTTGGTGACTGTTTTTTTTAGATACAAGCATCTAAACCCTTTTATTCTTCTTGCATTTTTATATGAAATTTATATGAAGAAATGAATTACTGAAAAATATAAAAGAAATAACAAAATTATGAAAACGTTTTGCAAAGTATATTTGATGTGTGAAATATAAGGATTGCTGGCAATTTACAAAGTACAAAATATCCTTAAAGGGGCATTAGCTGTCAAATTCATGTTCACCGATTTGACTCATATTTGATTTATAACATACTAAAACGTATATCTAAATCATAAAAAAAGTCTAAAACAAACAGTTTACAATGCATGGGCTCGGTAATATGTATTAGTATTTCGTGTGTATTTTAGTCTAGACGCCATCTAATTAACCATCGATGCGACTTCCGAAGACTGCCGATGGTAATATAACCCGATATAAACATATAGATATAAATAGATAGCGAAATTCGTGCAATTGGATTTTTCTAGATCTGTTTGATTTCATATTATAGGTTAAAAATATATGTTAATCATCATTTTTACCTGTATAAGAATGAGTTTTTGTGGATCGAATCAAGTCAATCAAATGGTTTACACTTGTTTCACTTTCAATGTTGACATTTTCTTTTCCTTTTAATAACTGAACACGCCTAATTCATGTGTAACCCATCTCTGGCTAAGGGGTTAAATTGAAGGTCACATGAATACGGATTCAATGAGGTCAAATTATTCACTTGCAAGTGAATAATTCATCAGCAATATTTCTTAGCTTATTTTGACAAAATTGAACCAATCTGGCTGCTAAAAGCGAATTATCATTTCACTATTTCACTTTCATTAATGATTGAACAAATAAAATAATATTTTAATTTTTTTTTATATCTCGTAGCTAATGCCCCTTTAAGCATACCTGATGAAATATTTTTGTAAATTCATTATTAGTTGGAAGTCTGAGCAGGATGAGTATTCACAAGCACACATTTCAATATCATCTTTTTACTGTAATGGTAAAAATTTACAAGTTAAGTGATGTTGTGTTTGTGGATTTTGTTTGTTTTTTTCATGATATTTTGGCATTGTAAGGTTAATTATTCCTCGACTTAGTATAATCTAATGTCTCCTTTGGTGTCTTCTGCCTCTTTTTAAGACTCATCTACTGTTTTCTGGGTCCAAATTTAGGGCAGTGGGCTACTGAGCCCTATTAATTTATTCAAAAATTATTTTTTTTACTCTTTATCATTTTTGAAACAAACATCTGGGAAAATGTCAATTCTTTATTGAAATAATAATTATCAAACAATTATTTCCTTTTCAAAAATAGAAAAATGCGACAAATTTATGCCATCAATAATACTCTTCACTTGTTTGGGAAAGTAAATAAACAATAATTTTCTACCATTTAAATTTATTAATCAATGAAATTTATATACACTGATATGATAAAATAATAAAAATATTAATAGATGGTTGTTAAATAGTATATACATGGTCAACATGCTGAAAATCGTATTTACATATTCAATGATAAAACTGCGTAATGGTGAAACTTAACATGATTTATAGAACAAACAGGAATTTTCTTAAAAATCTAATCATTTTTGTAAATACTCCATTTTCATTATTGAAATTTCTTACCTTTCACAACATTTTAACATATCCATTACATCATATCACCAATTCTAATAATATTACAAATATTTGTTTTAAAAGAACATATCAGTATAGAAATAAGGATATGTGGTGTGATGGCCAAGGAGACAACTATCAAACAGAGGCCAACCGACTAGGATGTTAAAAAACTACAAGTTGCCCTAAGGCTTTCAACAATGAGCAAAACACATACCCTATAGTAATCTATAAAAGTCCCCAGTTGATATCTCTGCTATAAGTCTATTTTTTTTACTATAACTCATAAATTTAAACATTGTATGATGTATCTTGAAGTTTGATATTTTCAATTATTTCAGATATATATTTTTTAATTTCTCATGACCACGAAATAAATGAAATGAAGAAAACCATAAAAATGACAGATTGCAATTTCCTTACATGGCTCATTTGTAATAAGTTTATGAAAAAGAGACATGTTACATGTTGAAATGTCAATTTCATTCTTTTAAATTTAAATGTATACATAAACAAAAAATAAAAAGAATTTCAAAAGCACTTTTATCTTTCCATACCACAGATAACAAGGAACAAATAAAAATTTAATAAAATAATAGGATGAAATGTCTATTAAAACCATCCTAGCAGTTCACGTAGTTGTAAGGTTATTCAAAGGTGCATAATTCAGTCAGGGAATGAAATAGCATTAATAATAGGCCTCACTGTGACTTTGTTGTAGAACAGCAATAAAGTGCTGTTCCTTAGCACTTTTGTTATGTGCGTAGTGCATTTTGTGTCAAACTGATACAACATATCCTTTCTCTTCCATTAATAATCCAGGCACTGGGCAGGCAGTCATAAAATATATTCAATTTGAAAATGGCAACAAAGTTACAAATTCTTACAATTTTTACTCATCAGTAACATATCATCATTCTTGGATTACATACAAAAACATTTCTATAAACTCACACCACATATATCAATCCATTTGTTGTTTACATAGAGAAATGTCTATCCTAATTAACCTAAACTCTTCAGGATAAAAATAAATGGAAAACTCTGATGCCAGTAATGACTTTATTCTTAACTCTAAAACATACTATGTTGGAAAAACCAGGCTTAACAAAACATGACATCTTCAGACATATTGGATTCCCTTATCACAGAAGAACTCAATCAGCCATGATCACTAAGTATGTGTGTGTGTGTGTGATAAAATTCTCTTTTTCATATGATCCAAAATTTAACTAAGCTCCTTCTTACAAACCAAAGCAATTACTGAAACATTTTTTACTTTCCAATAGATTTTCATCCCTTTTATCTATGACAGGTCAAATAATAATTCATAAACATTGCAATATCTCTATCTTAAAACCAAATTAACCAAACAACAAAATTTCCTCACATCCATAAATTTGTAATCCAACAGGCATTGTGTTCAAAATCTAGAAAGACATTTAAATTTATCACTACAGTAAAATCTCTATCCGCATGTATATGTATTTACAGTACAAAACTATTTACAAAGTTACTGTGGAGATAGAATATTAACAAAATCAATATCACTATAAAATCCATACCAATTCTGACTAAATTGATTCAAGTTTTCTTTTATGGACTTTGTACAAATGAATAGTTGATCTTTTTTTTGTCTATGAATTTTATACAAAAATGAAGGTGTGATGATCTTCTTTTTGAAAATAATAAATGAGCTTTAGTTGTGAAGTTTATGCATTTTTTACTAAAGATATTCCAATGGCAAAAGTCCAATGGACTGTCGAAAAAATGCTTTTTCATAATATGATACAAAGAAAACAGTAAAACAAAATCGATCAAAATGTGATGTACAAGCCAATTGTTTTTCTGAAAAAGAAGTCATATTGAAAAATGACCAATGTGTTCTTTTGGTAGTTGGTTTTTTGGATTAACATTTGCATAAATTGGACAAAAAATAAAAATGCACCACCATGCCTTTCAGCAAAAGAATGAAATTCAATTTTAAAATAAATTAAAAAAATAAATAAAATAGTCATAAAAACAATGATTTAAAATAAAGTTAAAAACACCATAATAACAAAACAGGAAAAATATAAGTAAAAATTTCTTCAAAGTACAAAATGTACCGTAATAAAATTGTATTTCATTTATCATTCAATATGAAGATTATTCTATTTAATCTAAACTCAAAGTTTTGTAATTTTTCCACAACCAGTTATGATAGTCATTCAGTTTATGGTCTCTAGGCTGTACCTAAAAAATAACAAAAATTAGAAATTTTAATGGCTAAGAAATACTTCAATAACATATAAAAGGATGAACCAGAACAACTTGTTTTTGTTTTTGGGGGAAGGGGAAAGGGAGTGGTGTGGCTTTTGTTTGTTTCATGCACTATTTACAAATTTCTATAATTTAAACCACATCTATAACTGTGTGTCCTAAGATCTCTGAAAGTTTATTTTCTGGAAATGTAACAAATAATTTTACTCTACCTTAATTATTTAATTGATATTTATATATTTTCGTTCTGACTGCAAAAACCTTTTGTAATAATTTTCAATCTTGACTTTCTTAATTCACATCAAGTAGATTTTGAAATCATTTTCAAACATAATTTTTTTATTCTCAACAAGTAAATTTTGATGTTAATATGATGAAAAAAACTCAGATCAGCACAAATGTCAGACAGGAATCCAAAATTTTTGTTTCACTAAGGCAAAAATTTGAAGAAACTGAAAGAGGGGGCAACACTTTATTGAATAGGCCATGAAATTGAAGAAATGTTTAAATAGTGCATTAAAACAATATAAACCACACACCTTTCCAACAAAATAAAATTGAAATTCCAAATCACAATTTTCATTAGCATTTAAGTGCCAATCTGCCTAAGAATCAGGCAGAGGTGAAAACATGACAAACAAAAACCCACTCAAGTTGACATTAATTTATGTTCAGAATGTATAATGGTGCACGTATATAACATGCGTTTCCTTTACCTGTTCTGGTAATTCAAGATATAATATGGTTAAATGCACTAGAAATTAACAATTAAGGGGAGCTAACTCCGTAATTTGCTATCATTCTTACCCAAAGTTATCTAGAGATTTCTTAAGTTACCAGACACGCAGAAATGAAAGACCTACCATTTCTAACTCAAGGTGAGGGTAACTTCAAAATAGGATGGTTAGGTCGGTGGGTTTTTTTTTTCTGCCATGTTTTGAATTTTTTCAAAATTGCCTGATGCTTACAAAGACTGGCACTAAAATATGTATATATTTGTGAATAATCAACAACTTGCAATAATTCTTTTGCCATTTATTTTTTGGTGCCGTGCTGCGAAACTTTTTATTTCATTATACAATCATGTTTATTCCAAAAGAGAAAAAGAGGCAAAATAGAAACAGCTTATGGTTTAATTTCTAAACATTATAGATGTTTCCTGTTTTATATTGATTATGACCTGGATATCTTAATTGATGACCTTCTTAACCAATTACATACAACATTTTATCAGACTATTGACTGACTGTAAAGGCATACCACTTTTAGTAAAGAAATACCAGTTTTAGCAAATGAATCTGAGTTTTAGGAAAGAATTACCAGTTTTAGAAAAGAAATACCAGTTTTAGTAAAAAAATACCAGTTTAAGTAAAGAAATACCAGTTTTAGTAAAGATACCAATTTAGTAAAGATATAGCAGTATTAGTAGAAATACCAGTTTTAGTAAAGAAATACCAGTTTTAAACAATTTACCTGCTTCCATTCTTTAACACAAAATATTCTATAAGAATCATTTCCATACTTCCCAATACCATGTAACTCCTCTGGATACTTCCAGTCTTTACATAAATACTCATCTAGAAATGTATATGAGAATGTGTTGAATGACTTCACATTACTAAAGTATTAAAGTGCTAAAAATGTAAATGTTTTTTCTTGGAATCTTTATGTTAGAAGCGTAATAATTTTACATTACATGGTATATTCCTATGCTTTATCGACCCAGATTAACAAGATCAACCATCAAGCTTTCATTTTACACAGCTAAGGTGATAAATAACATTGCAAATAGGCATTCAAAACAATAGTATGGTAGAGAATATGTAAATATGTGCTTTAAATTCTGAACAAGACCCAAAGTGGGTATGGACCTGCATTGCTGCATGCAATTGATTGAGGTAACATGTATACCGGAGCATAACTAATCATTTCCAGACCAAATATTAAAATCATTCACTTCAATTGGAGCCAGGAAGAATTTGACGAAAAGTTTCCATGTACAATATTAATGAGTGTGTTGTAAAATTTCAACATATCAGCAATCAAATTGACTACTCGCTACAAAACAACATTATCAAGTTGCAGACCAAATATTAAATCATTCCCTTACATAGAAGCCAAGAAAACAATGATGAAAGTTTTTTATCGAAAGGACAGACAAACGTACGGACGGAGTCAAGTGGTTCCGACTTACTTAACCTGCCTCCGCCTTTGGTGATGCAGGTAAACATAATTATCGTACATACTACTGTGGAAATTATACCTGGGATACTTATATTTGGGGATTGTGTTGGTAAAGGTGAACCAAGAATTCAAGTGTTAAACAAAAAAGTTTTCCAATAGACTACATGTAGAATTTGTATTAAACAAGTATCCATGTACTGTGGATTCATTATTATTCCTTGTATACCAATTTACGTTGATTTGTAGGTACAGATGTACCACAAACTTAAATGTTCAACGAATTGCATATTTTCTATAGGTTTGTATGCAGACTTTGGCAAAACCATGAAATCAAATATCCACGAAAATACAGGCATTCCTCAATCCACGAAAATTGGTAGCCACGAAAATAAATGAATCCACAGTAAATACAATGTTTTTCTCAACCTGCAATAATGGGTAACAACAAAACATAAAGCAATCCACAGTATATAAATTAGATAATTATCATACTGGTTATATTATATAAATGAGGATATTATATGAAATACTACTTAAATCATCAATATTTGATTTTACACTGTAAATATACTAATTTTTGTGGGATCCAACTTTCATTGTTTTGTCTGTAACAGCATGTAATGCTATTATTTATTTTCACTGTTTTACAATACTTCTACATGTACTCTTATTGTTATTACAGATTTTTATTAAATCTGTATTGGTACACTGCAATAAGTTTTTATTACTGTTAACAGTATTTTAATAATACTTTAACTTGAGCAGAGCAAAGGAAAACGATATCTGGTGAAATTGGAGATAAAAAAACGCTGATGATAATAATTTCAATGAAACAGGAGGACTGAAAATAAATATTGACTGCCTTGATATTGTGAGACTGAACTTTGAAATAATGATTCTTTTGAACTGTTAGACTGGAAGATGAAATTAGTAATTGCCACTTAATTTTAATACTAGAAAATAACAAACTGATTGCTATAAGATAGCTCGAATGATGACAGTGGTTGCCAATACATTTGAAAATTCAAATCTCATTACAAGAAGGGATTATTGGAATATTGAATTTGAATTCTTGAAAATTGATAAAAAATGTATGATGAAAACTAACCCACTTTTAGTGGGCATGGCTAAGGTTCAAGTTACTTTTACTGATATTTCAGTATGAACTAACTAACCCCCCTTAGCCATGCATGCATTATTCCAGATTCAGATAATTCCTTGTTTTACATTTAAAATTCTATGACATGTATAGACCAGAAATTTCTTCAACATGTATCTTACTGATAAATCCAAGAAGTTCATATTTGCAATCTTAAATATTATAAAATTTCTATGTATCACTTTAAAATTTTTAAAAATTAATACAAATAAAATCTGAAGCTAAATTTACCAATATTTGTCCATTTGTCTTTAGCATGTCATGAAATGGGGATGAAATCAAATTTCATTCTTCTTTATGGAAAAAAAATATATACAATGATGTTTTAGTACCTGAAAACCTGATTATGATTTGAGCCCTTTTATTATGCAGACCAAGTGGTGTCAGAAGTTTAGCTACTGCTGCTGGGTCAGCTCTCCTTGCTTCATCAGGGTTTGACCATTTGTTGAAGAACTTCCATAATAAAGGAATAGCTGCCGTGCCTGAAATATTCAATCATATCTAATAAGTGTACCATATTGTCATATCAATTATATGCAATAACAATTTAAAAATTTCAACTTTTAAAGCATAGTGTCTAAATTAAATAAAACTGCATTATGTTAGAATCTTATTAAAGGCTTTATTTTGACTATACATTGTATCATGCTTTTAAAATAACAACAGATATCTATTGGAAACAAATTTTTAATCTAAATACCAAGACTTACCAGATTTATGATAGGCCAATGATATTACATTAGCACTGTATATCATTATGTCTCATTTTATCCCATCCATTAGACATGGTTTCTTGAAAAACATTTTTGTATTGTTTGAATGTTTAAGTTTGTGGCCTGGAGGCAATAAATTTTAACAATCAGCTGACTTGATAATCTGAAAAGCTCAGAGTTGTACCTTGTATCTGTTGAGTTTTGAAAGCAAATCTATGATGACATTTATGTGCCAAAGTCATTCGTTTTTTGCCAAAATTAAAATATTCTTTCAATACTGTGAACATAAAAAAAGAAACAAAAACAGAAATCGTTGAGGACAATCTGAATGAAGTAATGGAAAGATGCTTAGTAATCTTTTTAGACATACAAATAAATAAAATACCTGTAGTTCTATTAAGAAATATGGTCCCTATAAGAAGTTTCCACGGATCATGATAAAGGCTCTCTTGTACCAAGTTAAATGGAGATTTTGGTGGTGTCCATTTAACATCTCGATGTAATTCTGGTCTTGGCATAAACCTGCCACTTGCAAAGTATTTACTCATGATTTCATCGTTTTCAGTTGGCTTAAATTCTGCTTCCTGTTCTATAATGAAGAAGGTTAATGTTTTTCTTTTAGTTACATGTAACACAAAAAGTCCATACAATATTTATCCCAACTATTTCAATTGATTTGCATTTTTCATTAGATTTAAAATTCTCTGAATTATTATTAAATGCAGATTCCAGTCTTTTTGGCTTATTAATTGATACATGGGTTGTTATAAATTAAGGACTTTAACTCTTGAAAGAGAAAGACTTATCTGAAAATCATTAAATTAGAAAGGTTTCTATGTTCTGTGAAATACAAAATATGGCCTATGGGTCTTAATGAAAATGTGTAAATAACAAGCATTCTGAGAGTATTGCATGGCAATACATAGTCCCCTACCGGATAAAAATTCATTATACTGGAACAAAATGCTAACTTGTTCTATAACTTGTCATGGTGTAAACAAAAAGTAAATATCATGTCAATATCTTCAAGCATGACTGAAAACAGTGTGGAAAACTGATTATATACATGAATTTTTCAAGTCCAAGGACCATAACTCTGCACAAAATTATTAGACCGAAACAAAACTTTGAACTTGATCTGTAACTTTTCATGATAAAACTATATATATACCAATTATCAATCAATATCTTATAAGCATGAATTTAAAAAATTAGATATGATGTAATACAGTGTATATCTATTTTCAAATTATAATCAAATATAATTAATAGTTTCAAATATTTTTTTTCTTTCATTTGTCACAAACTAATATAGATTTGTAACTTATCTATAAAATGTCAACAACTTTTATCTACACAATGTAATGTATTGAAATATATACATTAATAAAAATAGATTATTATCTAATTAAAGGATTTCTCTTCATAATTTTTTTTTATATATATATAGCATTCAGAAAATTAGTTTATACTAAATAACAAACAAAACTGCCAAAAAATTCTTCAAATAATTTAACAAAGAAGGTCTTTTTAAAAATGAGTTATCTCCCTTTGTACAGAAATATGGTTTAACATAGTACTCTAACATTAGATATGGTCCAGAGTTATGGTCCATAACTCTGGACTAAATCATCAGACCGGAACAAAATTCGAATTTGATCTATAACTTGTCATGATAAAACTATATACCAAATATCAAATCAATATCTTCAAGAACGAAGAAAAAAAGTGAGGAAAGCTGATTTGCCGGACTGACGGATGGACAGACGGACGGATGGAGTGTAAACCTATAGTCCCCTTCGACTTCGTCAGTAGGGGACTAATAAAGTAATGACAAGATCTCAAATGCAGGCTTTCCTTAAATGCAAGAAATTTGAAGACCTAAACTATATACGGGTATATGCAAGATAGCAATATAAACAATCAATACTCATAACTACTGTCTAGTGAACACCAAAAGAATGTTTTTTGATAGATCCATAATACTTTTTCATATTCAAATTAAAGCGATTAGAATAGTGATATTATCATATCTTCTTTTTATTGTCAATATCTAATGTACATGATGTATGTAAAATTAAAATTGAGAATGGAAATGGGGAATGTGTCAAAGAGACAACAACCCGACCATAGAACAGACAACAGCAGAAGGTCACTAACAGGTCTTCAATGCAGCGAGAAATTCCCGCACCCGGAGGCGTCCTTCAGCTGGCCCCTAAACAAATATATATACTAGTTCAGTGATAATGAACGCCATACTAAACTCCAAATTGTACACAAGAAACTAAAATTAAAAATAATACAAGACTAACAAAGGCTAGAGGTAAATGACTTCTTCAAATGAATAAAGTACATATATATGAGGGTCTAGATGGGGTTTACAGAATAAAGAATAATGGGCAAAATGTGCAGGATAAAGGGCAAAAAATATACAGAATAGAGAAAATGGAAAAAAAAGAATAGAGAATAATGGGGTGCTAAAATATAAAGAATAGAGAATAATGTGCAAAAAATATAAAGAATAGGGAAAAAATGGCCTAAAAATTAAAGAATACATAAATGAAGGACCCCCATCCAGAGCCTCATATATACACTTTTGTTTACATCTTTATCCATTGGTCTGTAATGGATAGTTGCCTCATCACCACATATATAAATATTGTGATTCTTGAGTAAAAAATCCTTTTTCAGAGGATGCCCTTTCTTTTTTCCATTATATATATGCGGGAAAACCAAAATAATATTTCTACACCTCTAAAATGATTTTAATTCAAAGGCAATTTGTTCTATAAAAATATAATCAGACTATTTTACAAGATTGTTTACCTGTGCTATTATCTTCTTCAACATTTGTCTCCTCTTCTGGTTTAGTTGCTGATTCAGTTGCTGCTGGTTGTGGGCTTTTAATTGGCGATTTATGTGATGAAAATGATGATGATGTTGACGATGAACTGGCAATACCATTATCTTTAGGACTAGTTGCATTGCTCAATTTGCTGGACAACAGTGATTTTTTAAAAGGAGAAACTTTCAATAATTTCTCATTTTCTCTTTCTACATTTTGAATGGAAAGTTTAAAATTCCTAGGTGAAGATTCATTAGCACTTGTTTTGTCTGAACTTTTCCTTCTTTTAGAAGGCGAAGAGTTTGCTGAAGTTTCTGAATTAGCAGTTTGTGAAATAACAGGTTGTGAAATAGCAGTTTCTGAATTAACAGTTTCATTCTTTTCCTTAATTACTGTCATTTTGTTTGAAACAATTGAACTTGAAGAGTCATTTTCTTCTTTTGACCTACTTTTCCGCCGACTTCTAGGTGCTGGCGGTGTTATAAAATCATCACCAAAAATATTGTCTCTAGAAGTTGTCCTTCTTCTTGCCCTCCCGGACGGTGAATGAATGACTGTTTCGGGTACCACATTAACATCTGGTTCTTTAGATCTACTTCTTTGTATTTTTTTCTTTGTCTCTGTAATATTTATAGCACTAGAACCAGAGTTTTTCCTTTTAGACGTTTTGTCATCACTTGTATCACTATTGTCAACAATACCCGAATCAGATGAAAGTCCGTTCAATAGATCGAATACATTAGAACTATGAGATCCTTCCTCCCCATTTGATACACCTTTTTCATCCTCAGTGTCATTTGACCTATCTTCACTGTCCGATGTTTCATTTTCTTCATCCATCAGTTCTTCACTTTCATTATTAATCTTTTTTGTTGGACTTGATTTTTTCTTTACTGGCTGCTTTGGAGACTTCAGCTTTGATCCTTTTTTCATAGCTTTTGAATTCTTAGATTTATTTGATGCTCGCTCTTTAGATCCAGAAAAAGCCATTTTTATGACAAGTTTTTGAGATAAAGATTTACCTGAATTTATTGGTTTCTTTTGAGGGGAAGTAGAGGCTTTTTTATCCTCATCACTTTCTATTTTTTTCTTAGGAGTTTGTTTTTTCTCCTTTTCTTTAACCTTCTTTTTCTTTTCTTGAGATTTTGGAGTTGCTTTTGTCTTTTGAATTTTGGGAGTTTTTACAGGCTTTTCATGCTCTACAGCTGTTGATTTCCGTTTACGGTTCACACCACCTTGATTTGCACTATGATGTTTGCCACGCACTGTGAAATCAAAATCTTCAGCGATTAAGTCTTTTATATTACTATCTCTGAAGTATACAGCCAACTCTGTCTTTGAACGAAATTTTTTTCCATTTGGACTGCAAATAAAATATTGATCATGATTATAGATACAGAGCTGATGATGTTTCTTTCCTTTGGAGCTGATGATAAGACTTTTAACTAATAGGACAAATCTTTGTAAATAATGTAAGTGTAAGACATAATAGTGTCCTGTGAAAAAGTGTCAACCTGGACAGTTTTTCACAGAATTAAAGTATTAAATAATGTCCATTGTCATGCAATTTTGTCTCTTAAGTTGACAGAATGTTACAGCAATGGTTATGAAATAATATCCTCCCACAGAACAATATTTCATAGCAATTTTTATTAAATTATGTCCTTCAAGGGAAGGATTACAAAGGTCATCAAAATGTTATATTATAATTGAATTTTAATTAATTAAGAAAGATGTATTAGAAATAGATAAATTTAAACATAAATTAAAGAACCTTAGTGAGCGCGCTCACATACCCCACGTCCCCACATTGTCATTGGAGAAATAAAATAAGTGTAAGAAAAAAAAATTGTATCAGAAAAAAAAATTGAATCATAATTTCCTGTCAATATGCACATCTACATAGTATGTCCTTATTATCTACACAGTTTCATGAAATTCTGTTGTGTGGTTTGAGAGGAGTTGCGATGACAAAAGGTTGCAATAGTATATTGGGCAAATAAGTTCAAAGGGGCGTAACTCCTGGAAAAAAAATTGAATCGTAATTTCCTGTCGATATGCACATCTACGTAGTATTTCCTTATTATCTGAAAGGTTTCATGAGATTCTGTTGTGTGGTTTGAGAGGAGTTGCGATGACAAACTGTTGCAGTAGTACATTAAAGTAAATAAGTTCAAAGGGGCGTAACTCCTAGAAAAAGAATTGAATCGTAATTTCCTGTCGATATGCACAACTACATAGTATGTCCTTATTATCTAAAAAGGTTTCGTGAAATTCTGTTGTGTGGTTTGAGAGGAGTTGTGATGACAAGAAACAGGACTGACGGACTGATGGACTGACGGACGGACGGGTCAAAAACATTATACCCTCCGCAACTCGTTGCGTGGGGTATAAAAATGAATGGAAGTGAATACCGACAAATTTACAACTATCTAAGTTCAAAGAAATACCCGGAGAGTTCAAAGAAAATGTCAAAATTATAAAATCAAATTGGAGGAGTTATATTATATTTATAAGGACAAGAAGGCCAAAGAAAGTATAGACAAACTTTTGGTTTATTGTGATAAATCAAAAATCTCAAAATCTACAATCAGTATGAAACAGTCAAGATTGCTGGATTAGGTACAGGCACAAAAGAATGCGATGGGAGTTAAACATTATTTCATGGGGGACATTATTAAATCCTACATTATCACATTTACTGTTCAAGGATTGTCCAGGACACCTTAAAAGTAAATATTACTCAAGGACATAATTTAATAATAAAAAGTGTTCAGTGATAGCATGGACACTTTTTCATAGCTTGGGACATTTTTTCATAGCTAAATTGTATCTGGGACACATTAAAAGAAGGACAAAAGATACCAGAGGGACAGTCAAACTCACAGATCGATAACAAACTGACAACGCCATGGCCAAAAATAAAAAGACAAACAGACAAATAATAGTACAGATGACACAACATAGAAAACTAAAGACTAAGCAACACGAACCCCACCAAAAAGGGGGGTGATCTCAGGTGCTCCGGAAGGGTAAGCTGATCCTGCTCCACGTGTGGCACCTGTCGCGTTGCTTATGTTATTACAAATCCGGTAAATAGTCTAATTCGGTAGGTCACATTCGTGTCAGGGAAGGGTATTGTAGTTACGACATAAGGAACATATCGTAAATTAAGTAAATATTGTCCATGGACAGTATTTAGTATGAAAAAATGTCATGGGGACATTATTAAATCCTACTTATTTCAATATTGTACATTCACTCCTAACTTAGCTAAGGACGATTATGATTTAGGCTGGTTCCAACTGGTGGAAAATCAAATAAGAAAAATTCAGACAAACAACAATCTACTTCATCAGGTTTGTTTTTTTAAACCTCAAAAGTTGTTGATCTCCTTAAAATTTTCAGTGGGATCTTACCTTTAGAACAGATTTCCATGACATTTTTTATCATACTTTTGCAGTAAAATTATCAATGCTTAATGAATTCTTAAAAAGAACATTCAAATGAATATTGTGTAAACACACAATGTTTTAACAATAATTTGTCAATCTTTATTTATCTAACAACTAACTATAGGTAAATTTTGATAAAAGTGAGGAAAATCAGGTGTTTTTTCCAAATTTAGAAATTTGACCCCTTGCTTTTGTCAGAATTGTCTTCTGCAGGAATTATCCAAATTTTAGCGAAAAATATGGGAGATTCCCAAGAATTTCCTTAGAGTTGACACTTAAGCTTCTTAGCAATCTTATCTTTGTTTAAATATTACAAAATGTATATCCAAACAGATATATGTAACTTTCAGAAAGTATAGCAATTATTTTTTTTATGACAGAAGACTTTGACTTATGGTCATATCATTGTATATCATGTGATGTATAGTGTACATCTACCATATATCTCCACTATTCAGTTTGAATAGAAATAAGAAGATGTGGTATGAGTGCCAATGAGACAACTCTCCATCCAAGTCACAATGTGTAAAAAGTATTTAACAATTATAGAAGTCCATTTTCCACTTTGACTCCTAACTGCTTTCAATGGACACATTTTAGGCTTAAATTAAAATATTGTTTGTTTGCAGTTTACCGACCGACCCTCGAAAATCCGCCCGACTGTGAAAATTTTATTGCTTTTAATTTGAAGAAATTATTTTTATTTTTCTATTGACCCAATCCGGAACTTCTGGTCGTTTCCGGAATTGATTTAAAGTCTGGGTCGATTACACGTTTCAAGTTCGGTTTTTCTTACCTTCTTGTCAAGCGTACATGGGACCGTTTAATAATAAAGCACATGGAGATAGCCTGGGATTCTGGCCAACTGCTTGACAGTAGACCTATCGACGAAGTATTAGATTGGTTCAGGATGCCAGGCTACACATGGAAATTGTTTACAGGTATCGATGAAGACACGGAGGAGTACTTTGCGCTGTCGTTTTCTGTCAATTTTAAAACAAATAACAACCAAAAAAGTTTAATAGTAAACTGTTTATACAGATTCAGACGGATATCATTGACGATTTGAGAACGCATGATGCAGCGGATATTCATAAAACCGACACGATAACCATTTCCATCTCAAACAGATCGGGTACAGAATCTCTTGAGCCTGACTTTATGGAACCAATATCCGTGGTTAAACAATTTGACAGCAGCCTGAACATGCTGAAGTATGCCATAGTTTCTATAAAACGTTTTGAAGAAAACAAGGGTGAAACCACTTCTCCATGACTTCATGGATACCTGTAAACACGCCAGGAAGTGCGCATTTGAAATTTATAATCGATAGGCAATGCCAAATCTATAAGAAGCCACAGAAACTACACAAAGATGTAAAGAAAATTAATGGTTGGCTTGTAAAAATAAATATACTTTCTCTATGTTAAATCTATCTTCTATTGCAATGAGTATGCTCCTTTAGGATAAGGGGAGCTACCCCACTCATTGAAATTCTTCTCCCTCTTACAATATTAAATATACTCAAACAGTGTGGCTTGTGTGAATTGAATTAAAACATATCCTTAGGAGCTATGCTGCCAATTTTTTATGCAGTCAAAACATTTCAGTACAGACCATTTACTTTTAAAGGGGTGCTATTGATTTCACCCTGAAGTCTTAAGATTTTTTTTGGTTTTAATTAAAGCCTGATCACATCAACATATCTTTCAAAATATAACCTTATCATGCTTATTACATATAATTAAATATTGTTAGATCTATGAAAACAGTCAAATGGCAATATATTTTTTCAAGTTTCCTTTTTTTTTAATTGAGAAAGATTCAACATGTTCAATGGTTAATTTTTTTATTGATAACAACACTCTTACATTGTCTTATGAATCTTTGATATCTACATTTTCCTAATGAAAATACTCTACTCATGAAAACTTTCTAGTAAAGAAGCATATGTCAGTGAACAATTTCTTTAAAACAATTCTAGTCATTCTTTGTTTATAAGATCTTATAAGTGTTCCAGTACTAATATTCAATAATGTCATAAATTGGATAATCACACCATGTTATAGTTTCAATTTTGGTTGAAAAGTTTTTATCTGAAAATGCCTGTTCATTTCATGTTGGTTTTCAGTGTTTGTTGTTTTAAAAGAAATTTCTTCACAAGAAACTTGGTTTGTGTAACTGCTTGTTTAAACTTCATTTTGGCTGATAAAATAAAATATTTTTCCTACCTACCGACCCTTCAGTCTGAAGGTACAGTCGGAAAACTGCAAACAAACATATTTTTAAGGTTGGCCTTATCTGTTCCATAACCCCTCAAATCAAATTTAAATAAAGGCAATAGTAGTATACCACTGTTCAATAGTCATAAATCGATTTAACTGAAACAAATCCTGGTCACAAACCAAAACTGAGGGAAACACATCAACTATAAGAGAAAAAAAATGGAACAACAGAAACACTGAACTGCTACAAAAACAAACGCCAACATACATAGAAATGGACTATGAGAAAACAACTGCCATGTATTAAAGTCTGTTCTCATCTTAAACTCCTATCTATTCTAAATAATCATTACATCAACTCAGACCTTCTGTTTATAAAATTACCTGTATAAGTATACATCATATTTTCCTGCTGATTTACCAGCTAATCTTTGAACCACGCTTCTAGTCCAGCCATCTGGTAAATTCTTGTCATGTAACATTGGGGATATGTCATATGTGTGATCAGATCTACAAAATTCACATGATACATAGCTTACATTTCTATGGCTGGTAATAATCTACACAAAAAAATATATCTTGTTTGTGATTATGGCTATATATACATGATATAAAAAAACTATAATAAGATAATTTCTACCTTATTTACATTTGAATAATCTTTCACAACATACAATGTAACACTAAAACATTATTCACAACTTAAAAATTTGAAATTAATTGAAAAGTTGACATGTATCTTATGCCATGTATGCAATTATAATATAAGCAGTGTGCGTGTATGTGTCTGAATTTTTTCACGTCAAATGTACAGTAACCTTAGTCAATACTTTGAGGCAGTGAGCTTACCCCCTTGGTTTCGATCAAAACCCAGGATTAACAAATTAGCTTTTTGGCTATTAAATTTCCTTAAACTGTAATAGCTAGTCTATGAAATACCTTATCTGTTCAGGGTGTAATAGGATTTATCTAATCTGAAGTTTATGCAATACCTTATTTGTTCAGGTGGTGCTTGTATTTCCACAACGTCTCCCGGATCTGCATATGCATGATCATTAACATGTGATTCTGCTGTGTCTCCGGGAGCATTATCTGCCTCATCACCATCCTCCTCCTCCTCATCTGGTTCCCTCTCCTGTGTAGTAAAACCAACAGCTTCTTCTCCAGGAATAGCTGTCCATCTTGTACTGAAATCAATTGACAAACTATCCGGAGCTGGACTGTCATTGTCTGACCTTCTTTCCTGGTTATCGTCAGGATCCTCATCAATCTGATATTCCATTTCTTCTTCAAATGTCACATGACCACTTGATATGTTCGTATCCTCATCTGACACAGTATCGTCGTCATCATCATCATCTTCTTCGTCGTTAATATCTTGTAATTCTGAGTCAGCAATTAGAGGCAAAAATCCACTAAAAGTAGTAAATTAGAAAGTGTAACTAAAACCTTCAACTAAACAAGAGTTTGAACTCAGATAATGTGATAATTTCATTCATAGAAAAATATGACATGATGAACCAAATTTGTATAGGAAGGTCTGGGTCTGTGTTGTCTGTGATGTCTATAGTAATGGAAATAGATAGTGATAAGATGTTTATTATTAACAATTTCCAGTTTCAACATGTTCAAGTGCTGTGATATGTTTTATTTTTAATCTTTTTGTTTAAACACACCAGTCTTGAATACTTGGCTTAATCACCAATAATTAGTATGCTTTAAACATGTTAATTATCACTGACAGCTAAGTTTCCATTTTCTTCAATTTTCAATAGAAAATCTGAAAGTTCATCCAGGCCAATAAACATGATAAATATGTGTAGTCTTACAATTTTACTGTATGAAGGGGAATTTAAAAGTTTAAGCATTTTTTTAGTTGAAGCAAATAATTTATTTTCAATATAAATAAAAATTATGAGGAGTGGCAACATGGTCAATGAGATGCATGTAGAAACTTAACTCAAACACCACAAAGACATGTTTAATTGTGGTGTATTGTGGTCCTTTGGTTGTTTTTTTTTTTCACTTCTTACATTTTTTTCTAACAAATGTGCATGTATTATTATAATATTGAATTTGAATATCATTATGCCTATTAATATTTTAATGATCTGCAATTTAACTAAGAGAAGTATTGAGCAAAAATTAGTGACAAAATCACAACAACCTCTACATTGTCAACAAATCAAGACAGAAACTTTAAAACAATTCCTATTGAAGGTTTACAAGATAATAGACAATACTCATGATACTTTTATTTTACCCCTATGTTCTTGTTTAGCCTTGGTAGCCGTGTTCGTAGGCAGTTAACATTAAACTAGATACCCAAAGGATGATTTTTGTCAATTTATCTTCCAATGCCTAGTAGTTTCAGAGAATATTTTTGTAAAAGTTATAAGAAGAAAGACATTGCCAACTGATGAGAAAACGCTAAGATTGCACTCAGATTAAAGATTACCTTGCCCTTTTCAATTGCCGAAGGAAACCCTAATTTCTTGAGTATGCATTAATTCTAAAAAATTTCAATCCTTTGAACATCTTGAATATTTATCATAAAAGGTATAACAGAAAAATTTTAAGCGCTGTATAATACTCTCAAGTTCCCTCAGCTGATAAGTCTGTTCCAACGGTTAAAATTAAATATTTAATGGACAAACAAAATTAGCGGCCAGCATTTTATTTATGATAATATTACAAGTTTGGATCTTATATTAGATAGCATATTTTACTAATCAGTAACCTAGATGTTTAGAGCACCTTGAAAATTTGTACAAATCGTTTGAACCAAGATTATTTCTTATCTCAACTGTCTACTAATAGTATTGGCAAAACTTCTTCAATGATCCATGCAGAGCATATATTTTAAAATTCTATGTAAAGTTTTTAATTTGTACACAATACTAGGTATATTATGTATGAAGATCATTGGGTATTGGTCCAAATCACTGGAGGAATATACAAAATAAGTAACAAGACAGCTTTAAAATACTGATAGTTCCTTATTGTTGTCCATAATCTTTACTTTTAGTTTAATAATATTTTAGGTTTTCAGTCAGACTTTCTTAACATGTAACATAATGTATTCCATTCATCTGACTCATAGTGCAATGTTTTTCTGAAATGGTCAAATTTTCCTGACGTTTACTATGTAAGTTATTTCAAATTTATCATTGAAAAACTAACGATGGTTGCATTGCAACAAACAATTGCTCATGAGGTTCGTCGTTTTCCATGTTTGTTGTCCATATATTGGGTTAGCTAAATTTACAAATTTTAACAAACGAAGCGAACAGAATGAACAAGTGCCCTTTCATAAGTTCGTATTCCGATAAATATATGATTGAAATGAGTAAACCGGAAGTCAAGATCATGGCGGGATTTTGCAGATCAACAAATCAAAACAAAACAGAAAATTATGATTATTAGGATTCAGACTCTTTTCTTTGTATATGAACATGGTATTTTGATATCAGAATAACAATGTTTTTTATGTTGCTGTAAGCTTAAATGTGATGTTTCGAGCTGGACAAAAATACACACTGTAAAACGAATTATTTCGCATCTTGTAAAAAGTGTTTGACATAAAAATCGTAATGTAAACAAAATGAGTGCTTTAAAACTTGCCACATGTGGAGATGATATAAAAGTTTGGGATACCAATAGTTTTTCTATTGTCAGACAGTTTAATCCTCATGACCAGAACATTAGTTCCATTGCATGGAATGGAAAGAAATCAACATGGAACAGTGATAGTATCCTTAATAAAAAAAGAACTACAAATTTATTTTCCATTCTTGTCATCTTTTATGGACAATATTTGCAAGAGGGCAATGTGTACAAACATCAATTATAATATGAATGACGCAAATAATCATTTTGGAATTTGAGTTCAAATCTCTTCAGACTCTTGCCTCAAATACAATGTTGTTTTTGTCATTAGGCTATGTTTCCGCCATTCCTGACAATCACAGACATTCCCTGTAAAATTTTGACGTCATAGGAGAAAAATATCTTGACGCCATAAAGGAAAAGTGAATGTTGCATGACGTCAAAAGTACAGGTGTTGTAAATTCTCGGGTCTTGTCTCATAGATTCCAAAATACAAATGTAGCAATTAGGTGTACGTATTAGTGATAAGTGATTAATAGCTAATATGGGTATCAGGTTGTTTTGCACCAAGTCGTTGCACTCTGGGTTACTTCATCCAAGAAAGTTCGTGGTTGCACCCCTTTTTTTTTTGAAAAAAACATGATTATGATAAGGAAGTAAATCTCATTCATTATTTTTAAAACAAATATAATATAATTGATAATAACAAGTTTTAAAGTATAAAACACAAGACTAGCTCCAGTGTGATGAATTTTTAATAGCTGACATTCGCCTTGCAAACCAGCGCCTTCAGGTATTTTCTACACCCTTAAGCTTATATAGCATATAGCTTCTCGATAGACAAAACTGCGGTACTTAGGTTGTAGTTTTAAGGTTTCTGTTATGGTCAAAATATGAAATTATCAGTAGTAAGTCACAAAAAGTCAAGATGTAACATAAACACAAAGTTAAACTTTACCTTTCATATTCTTGCCCAACAATATTGATTTATAAAATCAGGGCGAACAGGAATCGGGGAGAAATCATATCCAACTGTCCAGGCGGGCAAGTCAGCTTCAGCAATCTCTATATCAGTGTTCTCCATTTTTCACTAAGGTAAGGTGGGTGTTTTGAAAAAAATCACTTGTAACCGGGTGTTTTTTTTTTGTTTTAACATTTCCAACCGGGTTTTTTTACTGTTGGAGGGGGCCACAATAAGAAGGATTAGTATTGTATTCACATTTAATAAAATTGAACTGTTCTTCTGCTATCACTGCTAGCCATTCATTTGACAAATTAGTTTTGCGGATCTCGGATAGCAGATCGCTTGTGTGCCTTTTTCCGTTGTTTTGATACTTTTTTTCCCATTTTTACAATTTCAATACAACTATCCGTTTTAGTTGACTTATTTGGCCTAGAATTTTCCTTATCACCATCGTCATCTGCCTTTCTCTTCCCCCGATTAATTAAAGAAAACATTGAAATTTGACGATCCGCCATTTTTGTCAACAAAAACAATCAGCGAGGCGCGATTAGTATTTAAATATTTACGGTGCGGAACCGAAAAAAATCCGGAATTTGAAAAAAAGCAGACCACCTCCTGAAATAGAAAGGTGGTCGGCACACCTGGCTTAAATGCCAAATGGAAAACACTGTATATTTAAATCAATTCTAAGAATATTAGATGATACTTACATGTAGGATTTAGACCAGTCTACACAAAATTAGGTTTCCAAAACATAATTACCAATGACTGTTATAGACAGTTGGTTATGCCAAAGACTTGTAAAGTACTCAAGATTGGCAACTAATCTCATGTGTTAACTCATTTCCAGCATTCCCTTATGGGATTGTAGCATTGCTGAGACAACATTAATAATCTATAGGAACATCTTGTTCATTTTGCTAGTATTATTATTATGGCTGGGAACGAGTTTACATGTGTTATATTCATTACTGGCAAGGTTTTCTACTTGTTTATCTCTGGTACTATATATGTCTCTAGTTAAACTTAGGTATAAGTAGCTTGGTACATGTAGGTAGGTTAATTCTTTTTTTTGTCAGAGATAGGAGAAACTAAACCTGTCAAAAGGGATATCTTTCTAATAGTATCTAGATATCTGAAAAGTACAAAAATGTATCTTTAATATGTAAATAAGAGTTGAATTTACTATAAAAAAAAACATACAATATACAATGACCTACATGTATATAGAGCCTGGTTTAAATTATGTTTCCACTAATTCAAACTTCAAAATTGATTGCACCAGATGCACATTTCCACAATTTGACCATAAATGTTACATGGAAGTAATTTTTGTGTATGAAATGTCAATATTTACATGATACTCCTTAACTCCATGACAGATTTGTTATTATGCAGTGCATCTTCCAAAAGTGATAAAATCTGTTTTACTGCAGTAAAAGATACAGCTGTGACAGTTACAGAATTTGATTCTTCTGTAAGTATAATATAAAATGTATGCATCAAATGCCATTTCTTCAATATTGGTTGTTATAACAATGTACTTATTAATTACTAACTGTTGATATTAAAACTTTACGCAACAACAGATTTAAGGTGGTATAAATGTTCTGTTTATGTCTTTGTCATTTTTTTGGAGTTTTCATTATTGTTATGTCTGAAAGTGTCTAGATGTACTGGCATGACAAGTAATGTAGCAACACAAGAAGGTTATTTCATCTTTCATTTATATTGTCATCTATATCACATTTGAAAAATTACGTAACAGATTTCAACCAACTTGAACAGATTCTTCTAAAGGACATGACACTGTGCATCTGCCATTTTAAGTTTTGATCTAAGTGATTTTTAAGGTTTCCCATACCAACTACAAATGTTATTTCTGTATATATTATTCGGAGGCTGTTAGTGACACACATCTTCCTTGGAAAACTAAACACATTTTATGTTTGTAGATGCATGTACAATATTATTGAATACAATGTTGACTAAGTAAAGTGATCATCCTGCAGAGGTAGACAGGAGAAGTCCAGGTGAACTTTTTGTCATGCCCCAGTGAACCCTTGGGATCCATGTGATATTGAATATAAATATATAACATGATATAATGTGATAAGGACTTTTTTTCAGGCAGGCAGTTTATGTGTAGATTTTAACTCCACATCATCTTACCTATTAGTGGGTGGAACAGACAACTGTATCAATGTATGGGATCTGAAGTCACGCAAAATTAAAAAACAGTATAAGGTAAGACAAGAGTATGGGATTTGAAGTCCCCATAGGTAAAAAAACCAATATAAGGTATGAGTTATGAGTTCTCTTATTATGAATTATGAGACCTTAAGCCTCAAAAATTTAAACTGTATGATGTATGAATAATGAAATCTCAAGTAATAAAGAAAATAATATGGAAATCAAAATTGGAAGTACTCTCTCAAAATTTCTCTTTGAAATTTTAAATTTTTGTCAAAGGTTTAAATAATAACCTTTAATGAGTACCATAATCAGCCTTGTAAAGTCTGCACTTGTACATTGTCCGCACGCCCTTTTTGCCAGGAGAATTCAAGAAAAAAAAACTGTAACTGCTTGAAAACTAACAATGCTCCGGTAATTTCATATCGTGTGTGATCTTTTGTGGTATTTTCATGGAAAAACCAGAAGTTCGTATAGCATGTGTAAATCCAAAATAATTACTGTGAGAGTGTGCAGAAAATCCATACTTCATAGTCACAACTATGCAGGGTTTAAGCTAGGATTTTGAGGGCTTTAGTCACTTTTGTGCGGGATGAAAATCAACCTTATTTTGGGTAGCAGCAAGGGATCAAGGATGTATATTACTATCTATATATCTTTGTCAGACTTTGAAGGATATGGCATACTAGGCAGTTACTGCATGATTTGACTGATGTGGCACTTTAATACGAAGATTAAGATATAAGATCTAGAAATCTAGTTCACAATTTCACTTCAGTTAGTTTCGAGGTACATTCCTAATCAGCAAAAGTTGGGAACCATTTTTTTTTAAACCAGGAATCACAGCATAAATGAACTTGTAAGGACTATTTCACTGCATTATTCATACTCATTATCCTTAAAAACGTTTTAAAGCTAATATAGAATTAATTCTATAAAGTTGGAACCAAGGATTTGAACAAATCCTTATTGGAACAATTCTAATGACTTTAAATTGTAAATTTATCATGAATAGATCACGTTTACTTTCGATTTCCAAATGAAATGAAAACAGGAAGTGACAAGTGGATAATAAATTCAGAATGAATCCAGATCATCTACGGATTGGTTCGTGTTTAAAAAAAGGCAGGAAATTATCATTTTTTAAATTAAATTTGCTAAATAAGAACTATATTTGTCTCTCTCGTTTAGTTTGATACTTAATTATTTCGTATTTTACGTTTTAGTGTCTTTAAATTCATAAGAATACTTTCGCGCATGCGCAGTTCATCGTAAAGGAAGCACCTGTTTGACTCGTGAAAACATTTCTGAATGTTATGAATAAAGTTCTATCTTTTTATTAGAAATTGTCGAAAGTTTTTGATTAAAAGTTATATCAAATATGACGAAAATACGTTCAATTGACGAAACTCTGACAAGCGAACTGCAAATTGTGATCATTTGAGAAATATTGAAATTAAAATGCGAACTGTCCGAGGGAAAACTCAAATGACGAAACTACGACAAACGAACTGCAAATTGTGCTCATTTGATAAATATTGAAATTGAAATGCCGACTGACTGATTTTACTAGGGAAAATAATTATGAGGTTGATAAATAATGAACGGATTAGTGACCCATCCGATGGCAATAAGCGGATTATCTGTAGTCACAACTTATAACACCTGTTGTAAATGTTAATTAGCTGAGGGTCATAAACTTGTCAGAAACAATAAGACGGGTAGAATTATAGTATTTTTATGCGAAAATATTTTTACTCTTTCCAAATTTAAGTGACGAAATTGTTTTGGAATACTTTTCGTCATTTTGAAAACGGTTTCGTAAATGACGAGCGCTAGCAAAATCACTGCTACTATGCTATGAAAAGAAACGAGTAATTTGTAATGAAGCATTTAATTTTGATATTTATCAATTAATATTGGATTTTGAATTTAAATTGCTTATTGATTTGGATTAGGTAAATTATTAGTTTTGAAAATTATAAGGGCACCCTCTACATTTCAAAAACAAACATAGCGGAATGTAAACACACCTCGCAAAATAGTTTTGTTTTTTTTTCTTAATTCTTGCTTATCGTACTCTATAATCCGCCCCCCCCTTCCCCCCCCCCCCCCCCCAGACAAGTGATGCCTGTCCAAATGTATCCCCCTCACCCCTCATAGAGTTTTCTGTGTTGTGAATTTTGGTAAGGATTAAATTACATCTGCAACATCTCAGACAAAATGGAAAATCAGCTAAAATCCATTGTTTTTATGGGTGTTATGCCTTTATATTGATTGATTATTTGTAGCAATTATTGTGCCTTAGAAAAATAAGAGAAATCGAAATTTTCAGTCTATTGATGGTAGACATGAGTCACAGATTAGCAGTCTTGTTTTGACAGGATTTTTGGTAAAGTTAATTTTTTTTAATGGACTAAACAAAAATTGACTTTACTTTTTGTTAATGCTTTTTGAAAATTTACAGGACCATAAAGGACCAGTGACTTGTGCCCAGTTCAACTGCAATGATACATACATTGCATCTGGTTCTGAAACAGGGGAGATAATCTTGTTTAATGTGGTGACAGGTCAAGGTTGTAGTCCAATGGTTGCACCAAAGTGTCAGGTATTTATTGACATATGTTTTAGTTATGTTGCATAATACTGCTTATGTTTAGAATATTGAACATAATGGGACTACTGATTAATTTATTTTCGTGGGATACCAATTTCCTGCATGCCAAATGACCTTAAACTTTTATTGCCTTGTCAAAAATGTATTAAAGAAATTATATTTTGTGACGTTCGAGTAGAGATTTATTAAGTCCAATTGTGATATAATTCACAAATAGTTTTTATAACATTGGAAATTGCAAAAGTTATGTTGCACATTCCTGATTTACAGGAAGTTACCATTAAATCCTGATTGGGCTCTAAATGTGTGATTTTTATCTTCATGATGTTGATACAGGAAAAAAATATTATTTATGTTCCATATTTTTTGAATCGCAAAAACAGACATGTTTTTTTTTTGTCTAAAAATTCTGGAAAAATGATAATTAGAAATGATTTGAAAGGACTTGTATACTTAGTACTGATCTGATGAGTAAATCCCTTTTCAACTGATGTTTTTACCAATTCGTCCGTCGGTCGTCAGCATGTCGGACAATAACTCAAAAACGCTTTAACCAATTTGCATGAAACTTTGGTAAATTGTTTATATCTATTGATGTGAGCTTCCTTTGATTTTGATAAATTTTAGATTTTCGGTTCCGAGTTATGGGGGTTTATTCATTAAAAAGGGTGATTTTCCAGTTTTCTGACAATAATTCAAAAACAGTCACCAATTTGCAAGAAACTTTGGTGAATTGTTTATATCTATTGACATGAGCTCCCTTTTAATTTTTATAAATTTTAGATTTTACACTTCCGAGTTATAGGGTTTTATGCATTAAAAAGGGGGGATTTTCCAGTTTTTCAGAGAATAACTCAAAAATGCTTTGAGCAGTTTTCTTGAAACTTTGGTGAACTTTCGATTTTTATAAATTTTAGATTTTACGTTTCCGAGTAATGGGATTTTATTCATATAAAAGGGATGATTTTCCAGTTTTTGGATGCTATCTTTAAAGTGCTTTGAGGAGTTTTCATGAAACTTTGGTGACTGGTTAATATCTATTTAAATAACCTCTCTTTAGTTTTTTATAAATTTCTGATATGACATTGAGAAGTTATTGAACTTTATTCTTTGAAAAAGCGACGGGCAATTATGTGCTAATGGCGCAGCTGTTAAGCAGGCAATGCTTATTTCTGAGGTTGAATTATTTTAAATATTCATGTGTTAATGTACAAGATTAATCTGTCAAACTAACATGAATGTATTTTGTTTTTCAGACTGTTAGGCAGATACAGTACAGTAAATTTAGAAAGTCACTGCTGGGGTCTGTGTCTGATGATGGTGCTGTTAACCTTTGGGATATCAACACACGTAGACTGCTCCATAGCTTTACAAATTCTCACATTGCACCTGCCACTGGTTTGAACTTTTCACCCATCAATGATATATTGCTGATGTCCGTAGGACTTGATAAAAGAATTGTATGCTATGATACCCAAGGAAAAAAGTAAGGATTTACGTCACCATATGTCTACAATCTCAGATATTGTACTGGTACAGAAAAGAATAATTCAATCTAGTGCAACAATATACTATATTCTACAGATTTTGGCCCCAGCATTTTTATGCCTCCACCGTAAGCAATTGGGGCATTAAGTGTTACCCTTGACCATCCTTCTGTCTTTCCATCCGTCCCATTTGATGTTTCCGCACTCTAACTTAAGTTTTTCTCATCCAAATTTTATTTTACTTTAAAGTAGTTGAAAAAACTAGTACAGATAAAAAGTTGTTATCCTTGTATGACATAAATAGTTCTGTATTTAGAAAATATATGAAGCTTATGGGGCTTCTATCTGTGATAAATTTAATTAGCAGGACTTGATTGAAGAGAGGTCTTGTGACCTTCCCATATATTGATAGGCACTTTTGTCATTGAACTCTAGATTAAAAATTAATTTCATATAAAGCTATTCAGTATACTGAGGAATGATTTAATTTGAAAATTACAATGATTAAGCTGTTTATAGTATGTCAAATAAAAGGCACTGATATAAGTTTTTCATTGGAATTTGGTTTCTTTTTTTGTCAGAATTTGTTCTCCATGTGTAATGTATTTATAAAAGATGTATTTTGCTTGAATATTAAATTCCTAGTAATTGTTTACCTCTTTACCTTTTTACTCTAGGCCAGTTAAAACAATGACAGCAGAGAATCCTTTAACTTCTATAGATGTAATGTCAGATGGAGCCACTGTGGCTGTTGGATCAACAAGGGGGATAATTTATATTTATGATCTGAGACATGGGAATGCACCAATGAAAATTATCAATGCGCACAAATCATCTGTACAGAATGTTAAATTTCAACATGGTCTAATTGTAAGTTATAAAAACAACAGGAAAATGTAGAATATCTTGTATGTCTGAAACATGAACTTAATCATGCAACACAATCAATTAAAGCAGGCAGTGTTAGGAAAGAAGAACAGGATGTCAACATTGGTACAAACATGCAAATAAAAAATGTATTATACAGTCTTTCTTAAAATATGTATTCAACATAACATTACAAATGTTTCAAGACAGAAACTTTATGACCTTTGACCGGAAAAAATCCTTAATTAAATGTTTAAAAATAGATTTTGACACTATAGCATATATAGAGAATTATAGAAACCATCAGCAAAAAATCAAATCTTTAGGTGACTCAAGGTCTGTTCTTGATTCCATGTAAACGTCTGAGCACTCAACCTACCTGCAGCTGCCAAGATAAAGAATAGTGATAAAAGTACTAATACTGTTTTGCCCAATATTTCATGAACATGTCCTTTATTATCAAAACTGCAAAACAAAAATATACATCTTACAATATCAACAGTTTGTTTTTAGTTGGATTTAGTTTCATCTCTGTCAAAATTGCCTAAATCTTATTCAATGGCCTTTTTTTTCCAGCACGAACCTTCAGGTGCCAAGTCAGCATCATCTTCAGCAATATCTCCAAACAGAAGACAACTGCCATCAGCTCCTTCAGGGAAAACTGGACATAATAAAGGTAATACTTAGTCTCATAAACAACAGAACAACCTTCACTTCAGAGAATCGGGACAAACTAAGGTAATACCGAGCCGTAAAAAACAACAGAACAACCTTCACTTCAGGGAATCAGGACATACTAAGGTAAAACTGAGCCGCAAAAACAACAGAACAATCTTCACTTCAAGGAATCGGGACATACTAAGGTGTAACTGAGCTGCAAAAACAACAGAACAACCTTCACTTCAGGGAATCAGGACATACTAAGGTAAAATTGAGCTGCAAAAACAACAGAACAAATTCATAGAAATTTGTTCATAAAAAAGGTAATATTGAGCCTAAAAAACAGCAGAATGACATTTGTTCCAGGGAATATTAAAGGAAATACTGAGCATCAAAACCACAGAACCACCTTCAGTGTACAGTTAACTGTATGTACTTTGTATTATAGTGTAGCACAACCAGAATAGTATAATCTTGTTAGATGGAAGACTCCTATAGCAGCTCTTCTGATAAAAAAATTCAATGGTTACCCAGGATTCACTAATAATTGAAATATGAAGGTGGATCTCTTTGGTATCCTTCGCCTTCCAAAATGCAATCATTGTACATTATATCTACCTATATATATATATATAAGAAGAAAAGATTTAGTTAGATGTGATTGAGTGAAGTAACATGTATATTGAAGGATCTGCTTCAGCTAAAAAACATAAATTGAATTAATTATTTATAAAAGTATTCCAATCTTACTTTTAGTTAAATGGTATAGTCTTAGATTCCACTAGTTTATATTTATTGTTTGAATAAGCAGATATTTAATCTAAGGTCACTCTCAATGCTTTGATTTTATTGTGTTGCATACAATGAACTCAATTCTCCCACAAAGACTTTTAGTTGTTTGATCTATATCACAAATTTGTTATATCAAAAATATATATGTGATCTATGAAACAACATCTACCACCAAAGTATACATAAAGTTGTCATCTATAAACAAGAACACAAACATAATATACCAACAAGTATATATATGGTATGATCGTTGTTTGCTTACCCTTCAAAGGCAAATATTTTATGCATTTTCAAGACATGGTATATTACTAGAATATTTTAATATTTTGTGATAACAAAAAAATGACAACTGAGAAAATCAGTTCCCTTGAAAAAAAATTTGTTGACATTAATATTTTATATCCTCCCAAAACAAACATTTTTATGCAAATCTTTTAAAAATTTAGAATATATTTGGTTGTTTCAGATTTCTCAGAGCATAATAACATAAACAATCATTCTGATGGAGCAGCAGAAGAAGATGTTTTCTCTCCTGTTAGAAATGGTATGTACATCTATATGTATACACAAACAAACTGTTTCTTCTACTTCAAATCCATGAACATTGGAACTTGGCTCACTAGAGAACAAAAATTGATATTAAGCCAAAAAAATCCAATCTTCTGAAGAGACTTTAAGCTAATCAAGGTTAAAGCAGTTGCTACAAGTGTTTGTTAAAGAAGAATGCAAAGGAAATATCTTTTCACTTCAAGAATCTTTTCAAAAAGCTTTTACACAAAAACTTTATATACGAATGTTAGTTTGAATAAACCGATATGTAATACACATCACAGCAGTATATGCAAACAGACACAAAGTAAAATACTTTGCAAAATTAATTAGTCTAAGTTTAAAACTAATTAAATAGTCATATCAATGTGAAATGTTATGGTGTATGTTTCTCTAAACTGCTTATTGCAATACATTATTCTTTATTGACTTATCAGAAATTTATAATATACTGTGTTAAAGGGGCATTAGCTGTCAAGTTCATGTTCACCAATTTGACTCAAATTCTCATATTTGATTAATAACATACTAAAACTTAAATCCAAATTACAAAATTTGTTTAAAATAAACAATTAACAGTGCATGAAATTGATAATATTTCGTGTGTATTTTTGTCTAGATGTCATCTAATTAACCACCGAGAGTCATCTCTGAAGACTGCCGATGGTCATTGAACCAAATATAAATAAAATATGAATAGATAGTGACCACATGTAATCGGATTTTTCTAGGTCTGTTTGATTTCATATTGAAGGTTAAAAGTATGTTTATCATCGATTTTATCTGTATAAGAATGATTTTGTTGTGGATCGAATCAGTCAACCATCCTTGTTTCACTTTCAATGTTGACATTCTTTTCCTTTAATAGCTGAATACATATGTAACCCTTCTCCAGCGAAGGGGTTAAATGAAGGTCACATGAATACGGATTCAATGAGGTTATATTATTCACTTGCAAGTGATTAATTCATCAGCAATGTTTCTTAGGTTATTATACCCCACGCAACGAGTTGCGGAGGGTATAATATTTTTGACCCGTCAGTCCTGTTTCTTATCGCAACTCCTCTCAAACCACACAACAGAATTTCACGAAACCTTTTTAGATAATAAGGACATATTATGTAGTTGTGCATATCGACAGGAAATTATGATTCAATTCTTTTTCTAGGAGTTACGCCCCTTTGAACTTATTTACTTTAATGTACTACTGCAACAGTGTCATCGCAACTCCTCTCAAACCACACAACAGAATTTCATTAAACCTTTTCAGATAATAAGGACATACTACGTAGATGTGCATATCGACAGGAAATTACGATTCAATTTTTTTTCCAGGAGTTACGCCCCTTTGAACTTATTTGCCCAATATACTACTGCAACCTTTTGTCATCGCAACTCCTCTGAAACCACACAACAGAATTTCATAAAAACTTTTCAGATAATAAGGACATACTACGTAGATGTGCATATCGACAGAAAATTACAATTCAATTTTTTTTCCAGGAGTTACGCTCCTTTGAACTTATTTGCCCAATATACTACTGCAACCTTTTGTCATCGCAACTCCTCTCAAACCACACAACAGAATTTCATGAAACCTTTTCAGATAATAAGGACATACTACGTAGATGTGCATATCGACAGGAAATTAAGATTCAATTTTTTTCCAGGAGTTACACCCCTTTGAACTTATTTGCCCAATATACTACTGCAACCTTTTGTCATCGCAACTCCTCTCAAACCACACAACAGAATTTCATTAATCCTTTTCAGATAATAAGGACATACTACTTAGATGTGCATATCGACAGGAAATTACGATTCAATTTTTTTTCCAGGAATAACGCCCCTTTGAACTTATTTGCCCAATATACTACTGCAACCTTTTGTCATTTCAACTCCTCTGGAACCACACAACAGAATTTCATTAAACCTTTTCAGATAATCAGGACATACTACGTAGATGTGCATATCCACAGGAAATTACGATTCAATTTTTTTTTCAGGAGTTACGCCCCTTTGAACTTATTTGCCCAATATACTACTGCAACCTTTTGTCATCACAACTCCTCTCGAACCACACAACAGAATTTCATGAAACCTTTTCAGATAATAAGGACATACTACGTAGATGTGCATATCAACAGGAAATTATGATTCAATTTTTTTTCCAGGAGTTACGCCCCTTTGAACTTATTTGCCCAATATACTACTGCAACCTTTTGTCATCGCAACTCCTCTCGAACCACACAACAGAATTTCATGAAACCTTTTCAGATAATAAGGACATACTATGTAGATGTGCATATTGACAGGAAATTATGATTCAATTTTTGTTTCTTACACTTATTTTTTTTCTCCAATGACAATGTGGGGACGTGGGGTATGTGAGCGTGCTCACTAAGGTTCTTTCATTTTGACATAAATGAACCAAACTGGCAGCTAGAAGCTAATTGTTATTTCACTATTTCACTTTCATTAATGATTGAACAAAAAAAAATTATATTTTATTTTTTATTATATCTTGTAGCTATTGCCCCTTTAAGAGACTGTTAAGTCATTCTTATCAATAAATTAAGGAATTGATTAAGTCATATGTGTGCTTTTATTTCCAGTAAAAAAAAAACACGCCTTTTTTCCAACAAAACCTGAAATTTCTTGTGATGCTGTTTCTGTTATTCTTAGCAGATTTAAACATTTCATGACAGGTTGATTTATTTTTTTATAATCAATGTGTGGTAAGTTTGATCTCAGTTTTTCATTGGTCAAAATTCAAATATGACATTAAATTGTCTTAATTTCTTCTGATTTTGCTATTGTGATGTCATAAAAAAAGGCAAGCATGCTTGATGATGTCAAATAGAAAGTCCAAAATCATTTTGCAGATCATTATAGAAGAAAGACAAAGTTTTCCAAAATATAGTCTATCACTCATTAGAGAAACAGATTCCATTGCCAAACTTGTGCAATACAATATGTCTCCTCTCTCTTCAGTTTAATTTTAATATTTTAGAAATTATCTGTCTCAAAATAAGAAACATCGTATTACACTTGATGCAGTGGCAGAATCTATATTTATATCACCGCTATAAAATTGAATTCAGAGATATGGTAAATAGTCTTCTAAGTTTACTTTGGAAAATGTAACTATATATAATGTATTAAGTCAGTGCATTCCTCAGGCTGTTTTTAAGTTGCCATTGCAATGTCTAGGCTTTGTCTAAGAAGTCAGTGTTTTTGTCAAGAGATCAGTGCATTTTTCAGGTTTTTTTCCCCTTATAATACACAAGATTCTACTTATGAAAGACCTTTGACAATGATGATTTAAAAATATCTGGTCAAGTAAATCAGTGTTTTATCATCCTTTTCTTCATCAGTTTTTTGAAAATGATTTATTATAGTAATACACAACAGATACACTCAGAAGTGATGAAATGTTTTAACACTTAATTTTCTGTAATTCTTCATATTTCAGATAGTCGGTCATTAGTACAGATGCCAGCAGAAGATATCCCAAAATTTTCTTATTTTTTCCATTTTCAGATTTTTAGATTTATAGTTTAGAACAGATACAGTTTGAAGTGACTTTATATTAAAAGTAGAATTTTCTACAATTTTTAATTTTTTTTATTTCAGAATTTGGAAATAATTCTGCAGATTTCAGAACAGATACCGTGAGAAGTGACTCAATGTTTAACACACATTCCTATCACAGTAATGACAGTTCAGGTATTTTATATTATGATATCTAATTGGAAAAAGGTTGCACACAATGGATGTTGGAAGTCTTGTTACCACAGATTTTCTTGGGTTCTTTTGAGAATAAGCACCCTGAAAATTGGGTAGATATAGCGTTATAGCAGAAGTTAAGATTTGAAATATTTTCCAAAATGTAATTTAATATTGAATAAAACAGACTATACAATTTTATATTTCTGTTATTTATTACACAAAAACAGTCCTTTTACTGATTTGACTATCTATTGTAGGTGGTGTGTTTTCACCATTAGCTGATGGAGATAGTATAAGTAGAAGATATGGTGACAAAATAAAAATCTCGCCACTTGTTACAAATTCCTCTCCTGCAGTGACCAGACGTGGTGAGAACATGTCTTCCAATGTTTATCCTCAATTCAATGGTGTAAGTATATGCAACTTTTTTTTAAAATATAATTCATATTTTTTTCTTCAAATTTCACTTTAAGAGCATTAATTTAGGCATATGAAATAAGGATGCAATGCATTTTTAATTTAGTATTGAATCTGTGCATTGCTTTATTTTATAGGCAAAAGCTTTCTTTTCATGAGAATTCATCATAAAAAATTGTCTTTGTAAAGACAAAGAATCTAATAAAAAAACAAAGGATATGGGTATCCATCCATGACACAAAATCAGTACAGGCACAGCAAAAACATAAAAAGCAAAGGAACAGCGCTTTTAATGGTGTTCTCCATCTCAAAGTCACAGTGAGGCCTTCAACACGGAGCAAGTTTTAGACGGCCCCTTGCACCGGCTTGAGTAAAATTCTTTGCAAAAATAATTTGGATAGACTTTGTAAGATGTAACACCACCAAATTGGGCCTGGTCAAAAAAGAACATACTGGAAAGTAGTACATATTTAAAACAAAATAGTTTCTACGCATAGGTGTTAATATAAAACTATGAAGAATATATTTTAGTAATTAGGATATTAGATGAAAGGTGAAGTGGTGATCCTTGTAAAACACATATTGACTGATGATTTAGAATAAGACAAAAATGTATGAATGAATTCTAATATTGAGGGCATATATTGCCTGTTTCTCAGATATGAAGTACCTGGTTTGGTGTATCCAAAATTCCAGTAACCAGTACGGTCTGATGTATAAATGATGGTATATTGACACTTTCATATCAAATTTTTAAAACATTCTGTGAGTATAGTGGTAAAAAAATACATGCATCAATAGTGATAGCTGCTCCAAGACCAATGGTTGTTTGAAAGATCATTTTGTATCTCAAGAATGTGACCACAGATCATGGAAAGGATTGATAGGGAAATAGATACTTTTGTCCTTTCTGAGTTCTTCATAAGTGTTTTGTAATGATGAAAAAAAAAGGAATCATGTTGAAATGCTTGAAATTGAAAAGAAATGATATGAATGCATGATAAGTTAGAGAGGTATAAATATAGAGAGGGATGTTGAGAAGCAGACATTAATATTTGGTTTCCACATGAAAATGAAGAATATTCTGTTTTTTACAGACAAAAAAGCTTTCATTTTTATATGATTGATGTGCAATAATCTCATAGAAATACAGTTAAATGCTTAAGAATGTTCAGAACTTTTAACAGAAATGAAAGGTCCCAACAATTATCTGATATGCATCCTATAATTAAAATCATTTTTTATAAGAAAATGAATTAAATATATTTCAGGAAAGCCATAATGATGTAGCAGTGAGACAGAATTTAAAATATAATGATTCCTACCATAGAGGAGAAAGTGATGGACAGCCTTTCTCAAAGGCTAGAAATACATCAGATAGGCCAGAATTTGATAGAGTACAACATTCAACTGACTCCCGGAATTCTAACTTCTCTAATAATATGTCAAATCACAAAATTCATCCAGCTGGCACTTCTTATAGCGGTGAGAAAGTATTTCACTTTCAATTATTATACATTTATTATAAGATTTGATGACCAGGAAAAAAATTCAGTGCTTGCATGGGTGTTTTTTTTTTTTTTTAGACAAGCTGTTCTGAAAGATGATATACACATCATGTGGTTTTGAACCTTACTGGCAAGTAAATAATAAAAAAAGGAGGCACGAATTTAATATAGTAAATATGAATGATACTTGCAGTAAGTGATTTTTAGTATTAAAATGAATAACATAATTTTTCTTTATCTGAAAAAGCAAACCAATTTTTTTATGTGTTATCTCCCTTTGATTGTAAGCATTGTTGCTTATTTCTGTTTATTTTCAGAAATTACTCAGCAATCACCTCAGCCTACAGGACATAGTCCTAACCAGTCCCCTAGTCTTAGACCGCAATCAATTCATAGAACTGAATCCACTTATTCACAAGGCTTCACAGCAGATTCTTCAGGGAGTGTTTCTCAGAGTTTTTCTGCATCTAAGAAGCTAGATGACTCTCCCAGTGGAAGTGCAGGAGGTCAAGGCCATTCTCCAATAAGAACTTCTGGAACACCAGAAGGTGCTCATGCTGTGTCTTTAACTTCTAATGGTGCTATTAGACGTTCTCAGGAAATCAGTGCTTCTGATGGACCTTTGCCACAAAACTTTCAAACTCAATTTATACGCAATATGATAGAAGATTCGATGGAGGAATTTAAAGAACAAATTCATAACCAATACTTGAATCTGCATCTCGAAATGATCAGACAGTTTCAGATACAACAGGTATACATAAGAATATTTTATGAATCTTACCTATGTTTTTTTAGCTCACCTGGCCAAAAGGCCAAGTAAGCTTTTCTCATCAGTTGGCGTCCATTGTCCGTCATCATCTGTTTAATTTTACAAAAATCTTCTTTGAAATAACAGGGCCAAATTTAACCAAATTTGGCCACAATCATCATTGGGGTATCTAGTTTTAAAAGAATGTGTCCGATGACCCCACCTGCCAACCAAGATGGCCGACATTGCTTAAAATAAAACATAGGGGGGTAAAATGGAAGTTTTTTCTATTATTTTGAAAACCGATATAAATAGAGAAAATCTGTCGTAGCAAAAATATTTAGAATGTTGAGCTCTACCTATTTTCTATTTTGTCAGAACTATTAGACGAATTATTATAGGCGTTATTGCCCCCTTAAATGACATTTTTTAGATTTGTTTGCCTATTATCTCGAAAATTATGATAGATAGACAGAAACTTTATTTAGCAAAAATGATCAGCAAGACAAGATCTGCAAATAAGTGAACATGACCAAAATCGTCAGACAAATCTTTATTAAAAGTTATTGCCCTTAAATAATGATTTTTACCAATTTTTTGCGTTATTGCCTAATATCTTAAAAACTATACTTGATAGATAGAATCTTTAAAAAACATAAATGATCATGACGACAGGATCAACAAAAATATCAACAATGGGAGACTCCTTATTAGAATTGTTACCCTTTAATGACGATTTTTACCGATTTTTTGCATTTTGGCTAATATCTTAAAAACTATGATAGATAGATACAAACTTTTATAAGCAAAAATTATCAGCAAGACAGGATCTACAAATAAGTTGTCATGACCGAAATCATTAATCGGCTACTTATTGATGTTATTGCCCTTTAATGACAATTTTTTTCCATTTTTGCCTATTATCTTGAAAAATGTAATAGATAGATAGAAATTTTTAATAGCACAAATGATCAGAAAAACAAGATCTACAAATAAGCCATTATTTTTTTTGTGTATAAAACAAATGTTTCTGTTTCCAATATTCCTTTTGATATCAACAGTCTAAAGTAAAGTGATCACTGGCCTGACATTTCCCGATTGGGAATAACAGTATTGCATAAATCAATTACTGATCGTTATTACATGAAGTACATTCATTGCTAGCCATATGATGCATTTAGAGGTATCATATCACTTGTCTGATAATGCCATTTGGGAAAATCATTCTGAAGCACACTAACAACTGGTTTTAGTCTACAGTGACTTAATAAAAGTCCATGAGCAGTCATATCAACTAAGGAATTAAAACAATGAACTGTTTCTAACAATAGATGTTCCTGAGTGATGTCTGTTGAAGTAAAAGATTGAAATAAGTACTCTTAAAAATTAACATCTTGTTGGATATCCCCTGGAATTTGATTATTTCAACTTTTAATTAACTCATTTTTGTACTCCAAAGCCTTAAAAATGTTCCAATAACCAGTATTATATAGATGTAGCTGATCCACATTAAGTCTTTATCTTTTGAAGTTCAAAACTTCCAAGAGTTTTCATTGTTTATTTCATGCCTTTACCTAAATGTCACTGATTTTGTTGTAGGTTCCCTTTAAATGCCATGTAATTTAGTCTGGAATTCATGTCCACAAAAAATAATTTATAAGTACCCATGTATATTATTCTATATTTTATAGGAAAATTGTTGTTTTTTTCATATCAACTTCCAGTATTATTCCTTAATGTTAATTCGCCAATTCAATTTAACAAAATGTCATTGAAAAAGTCAAATAGTTATGATTTACTTTAAAATTCTCTTTTTCAGAATGAAATGACACAGTTGATGCAACAGTACTCAGTGAATCATGAACTGATCAGAGAAATAGAACGATTAAAAGAAGAAAACCAAAGATTAAAAAAGAACTTTTGAGAAATAGAGATTTTGCTTTATGAACATTCTTATATGAGGGAAATGTGAAATTTACCAGGCCTGCTTATGATTTGATTTATATTGTAATGATTATCCCAAGCTGCCAATAGTTTTCTGAAAAGTTGTAGATACAAAATGGCTTATAGTACATTATGTAAATTAAACACTGCCAAGGAAGTCAGTTAGAAGGGCTTTAAATGAAAAATAAAATATACATTATATGCTCAGTTAGAAAAATTACTTTTAGTGAATAATTTTTACAGCGAATGCTGGGTATTGCATAGTTTACTTGGAAATTAAGTCAATTAAGCAATTTAACACCATGCTTCACAGTGAATCGCTCAACACCAACATGGAAGATTTTTAAATGACTTAACCTGTATGCACTGTAAAACTGCTTTTTAAGTCCATTTCTTTCTAAGAACACTGTTATTGGTATTGTTTAAAAAATTGTACAAAATTGAGATATTATTTAGAAATTATTTTGTGTTATATAAAAATATGGCCTTATTGGATCTCCATAAAATGGTTTAACTGATCTTATAAAATATGTTACAAATTTTTGTTGATCCTTTGATCAAATAGCCCAGGTTTCTCAAAAATGAGTTTGAAATCTTGGTTACTTAGAATGAATTATATATATATATATATATATATATATATTAAGTAACTTGTATTGAAGTAACAGACTTCTCATTACATATGCACTATGATATTAAGTAGGAATCACATTTATTGTTTTACATTTCAGCATTTAGTGTTTTGCATCCAAGTTTAATACTATATGTCATGTATTGATTTTTATGCCCCAGCCGTAGCGGAGGGGGCATTAAGTTTTACCCTTGTCTGTCTGTACGTACGTCCCGAAATTGGTTTCCGTTCTCTAACTTAAGTTTGCCTCAACCAAATGTTATGAAGCTTATACACAATGCTCATTACCACAAAAAACAGATCAAGTTTGAATTTTGGTGGCGTCACTTTAACAGATCTAGAGTTATGCCCCTTTATAAAAGGAAATATTGCAAAAATTTTAGTTTCCGTTCTCTAACTTAAGTTTGCCTCAACCAAATGTTATGAAACTTATACACAATGCTTATTACCACAAAACACAGATCTAGTTTGAATTTTGTGGTGTCACTTTAACCAATCTAGAGTTATGCCCCTTTATAAAAGGAAAAATTGCAAAATTTTTAGTTTCCGTTCTCTAACTTAAGATTGCCTCAACCAAATGTTATGAAACTGATACACAATGCTTATTACCACAAAACACAGATCAAGTTTGAATTTTGGTGGCATCACTTTAACTGTTCTAGAGTTATGTCTCTTTATAAATAGAAAAATTGCAAAATATTTATTTTCTTCTAAATATCAAGTTTATAATATATTTTAAAATTGGAGTTATCTTCCTTTGACCATGATTATAGTTGAATCAACTACAAACAATGCTTTACACAATGCAATGTTTAATTTTGACTTCCACTGATAAAACACAGATCAAGTTGAATTTGGGTAGTGTCACTTTAACCATTATTGAGTTATGCCCCTTTATAAATCGAAAGATTGCAAAATTTTTAGTTTCCATTCTGTAACTGAAGTTATCCCCAGCCAAACATTATGAAACCTATACACAATATTCATTACCACAAAACTCAGTAAAGATCAAGTACAATTTTTTTGTTTCCGTTCTCTAACTTGAGTTTGCCTCAACCAAATGTTATGAAACTTATACACAATGCTTATTACTACATAATACAGATGAAGTACGAAATTAAGTGGCAACACTTTTACCATTCTTGAGTTATGTCCCTTTATAAACATAAAATTGCTGAATTTTTTAGTTTGTATCAACTAAATGTTGTAAAACTTATACACAACCGTTCTAGAGTTATGCATGTTTACAAATAGAAAAATTGCTGAATTTTTAGTTTCTGTTCTCTACTTAAGTTAGCCTCAACCAAATGTTATGAGACTTACACACAATGCTTATTACCACAAAACTCAGATCAAGTTCAAATTTGGGTAGCGTCACTTTTACCGTTCTTCAGTTATGTCCCTTTATAACTATATGATATGCAAGCGGAGGCATCATCTGTGTCCACATGTGGACACTATCCACATTTATTTTTTGTTGCTCTAACTTTAATTTTGCAGATATTTAAATTTCATTAAACATCAATGAATAAGATGGTGATCCTTATAAACCTCTCACTGTAGAAAGACTGAAAAAGAAAATTAATTCAAGTAATCTTTGGTAATTCTTGATTAACAAAAGACCATCCCCTAGATGTGATTTTGAAAAAATAGTATTGTCCATAATAATGATATATGGTTAAGTGGAATAGCTGTATCAAGAATATAAATAACATTGTATTTTAACATTGAAAATTGAAATTTTAGGGGTTATTTCCCTTCCTTTTCTAGTTGAAAAGAATCCTTGGCAACAAGAAGTGCATGCATTTTCTTACTCATATTATTTGAGGATTTATAATATTGCTGAACACTTTGTACTTAAAAATGCATAGTATACACTTATTTACTAGTTAGGAGGACAATAGCAAGTTTATTGTCCCCTAGGCACCAACTATTTCACTATGCGAAGTGAAGGGAAATAGTTGCTGTCGAGGGGGACAATAAACAATAAACTTGCTATTGTCCGAAAAGCCAGTAAATAAGTGTTTTATTATATAGAAAAAAACTAGTATATATTTCGAGGTAATGTATAGGTTAAAGCAATAGTTTCCGATTTGCTGATATTTAGTTCATGTTTTTTTTTATTTTTTTGTGATTTGATAACATGACATGTACCACCAATGGACTGTGCTGTAGATATTGTCTTTTTACTGTTACTCTTACAACTGTTCCAGAATGAAATATTTTAGTTAACCCATCACTTTTAGTTTGAAGCGCATGACGTAAAAATTATGCAAAGGTATATTCTGTATTGATGTCATAATAATTTGACTGTGCAAATAGCATAGGTGCAGTATAAACAACCATTTGAAAGGTTTGGGAGACAGTCAATTCTAACAATACTGAAAGTTCGGGAAAGCAGGTTAATAGTCTTTTCCAGACAGTTTCGTAAAAATAGTTAATTTATTCGCATATAATTTTATAAATTAAAAAATAAATACTTAGGTATAATAATTAATACCATTAGCCATCTAAATCTTCAACATAGTCATGGTTGATTTTTGTAACTTCATCTGAAAAAGTGAATATATCTTAATGAAATTTTTAAGGGATTATTTAGAATAAGCCCTGTGTACCTCTTTTGTATTTTCTGTTCTAAATTCAAATAATGATTTTCTAGATTTCCTATGCAAAACAGCAAGCTTTGCCATTTGTTTTTGGTATAGGCATCTATTTTTCTCAACTATTGAACAAGATGATGTATTCCTCTAAATGTTTCAGAGATTTTTAAGATTTAAAGCTAGTGAAGGTTTTTCATTTTCTAAAACTATAGCTAATGGCTTAAAATTGAAAAGAAAATTATTCGTAGCTTTACTTTTAAAGCAAGAATCGGTAACATATAAGGTAAATTGTGTTTGGAATATTCCATAGATAATATATCAGCTAAAAGTTTTTATTATTATTATTTTTAATTATAACTTTTCTTCTTTTATTTTATAAATAAACAAGAGAATTAAGATTATTAGCTTTGTTTCTGTTGTGACATTTAAGGGCTATTCCATAAAAAAACATAAACAGGACCGAGTTGCAGGCACTTTTAGCTCTCCACTTTGTATGGGAGTTCATGACTTTTTTGTACAATGGAATGTAAGAGAGATTCCAAAATTGCATTGCTCATTGAATTGTGCTTTTAAGGTACAGTGCATGGCCATAAGTATTTGTCACATCAATATTTAAGTTAAACACTAGTATATAATAAAATAGGTTAAAGCAATAGTTTCTTATTTGCTGATGTTCAGTTTATGTTTTTTTTTTAATTGTGATTTGATCACATGACATGTACCACCAATTTCTAATTGTTAACTAGATCAATAAACTGTTACATTATTATGTATTCGTTATTAATCAAACAAAATCAATAATTATTATACTGGTTTGAATCATTTGTATAAATTGATTTGAAATTCCAGTGTATAATTGGTTTATTTTAAATGGGTTCTTACCAGTGGTATATATATATATATTTTTTTTTTTTAAGTTTTGGTTATATTAAAAACCTTAACAGATAAGAGGGAAATTTTAAACAGTTAAAATGACCAGAACCACAAGATCTTCAAATAAGTCAAAAGTGGTAGAAATCGTCAATTAACCCCTTGTAAGAGTTATTGCGATTGATGATATTTTCCATTTTGTGTTTTGTTTTGATGAAAACTATAGTAGAAACAGAATTTTACAACAGTAAAAATGTTCAGCAAAATAAGATCTACAAATAAGTCAACATAAGTGAAATCGTCAATTGAACCCTTATAGGAGTTATTGCCCCTGAATGGCCTTTTTTTTTACCCATTTATAGTTTTTAGCAGAAATTATGCGGTACGTCTAAAAATATCTCAGGACTGTCCTGAGTCCACTCAGGACATGTTATAGATGTTTTAGTGAGCATTGAAGTTATGCATTCGATAGATGATTTAATTTTTGATCTTATAATTTTTGTCAAATTAAAATCAATTCAATATTTATGAAGTTATTGAAGTTTGTATCGGCACGCACCGATTTCTTGAGATATGTCATGCATGACCGATAATTATATTGAATACAAATTATCATGTTGATTAGGTCGTTTGATCTTTAATAATTAGGAGTGATTAGTGATAGTAATTAACACATACACATAAGCTTGGCAAACAAACAAGAAAAAGGTTTCCTTGGAAAAATAAAAATAATAAAGATATATTGAAGATCAAGACCCTCTTTCATGATCGAGGTAGATTAGTGCTAGTGTTCATTTATCATATTGGGGTATCTTTCTAAACAATTTCATTTAGTAAGATTTGGTTTTACATTGAGCTCGTTCTTGTCCAGTAGTACATTCCTTGAGCAGTTTTAATAAACAAAATTCTGAAAAATGATTTTGTTGTAAAACAAGTATTAAAAGTATCTTTTTTTTGTTTCACATTAATTCGAATGTTAAACAAATCCGCAATTCTGTAAGATTTTATTTCTCATTAAAATCAGTGATTGGATCATTCACAGTTGAGTAGTTGTGTAATCAGTGACACGTGGCCTCATTATTATATAAAAATAATAAATATCTATTTAAGTTCGTTTCCAAAATCTACCAAAATTTACCCCTAAAATTAACAGCGTGCAACTAATAATTACATTTGTCCTATGTGCATATCCAATGACTACAGTCCTGAGTGCACTCAGAAGGTGCTGAGCAGTTTTTAGATGTACATGGAATTATGATAGATAGAAGGCAACAATATATAGAATAAATGTTCAGCAAATTAAGATCTACAAATTAGTCAACATGGTTGAAATCATCAATTGACTACTTTGAGGAGTAATTGCAATTAGAGATAATTTTTACCCATATTTGTATATTTTGCAGAAAATAGCAAAATTGACCAACAGCATAAGACATTCAAAAAGTCAACATTTCTGAAATTATCAACCAACTCCTTATAGGAATTATTTCCCCCGAGTGATGGCTTTTTACTTATTTTTGTTGAGCTTGCAACTTCTGTCGCATTAAGCTCAACATAGGGATAGTGATCCAGCGGTGGCGTTTACTAACTACTTAAATGCTTTATATTTTAGAAGGTAGAAGACCTGGATGCTTAATACTTGGTATATAGATAAATGCATACCTTGCAAGATCCTCATGACTCAGACAGTTTTCATCTGATCTGGACCCCATTTTATGGATCAGTGAACAAGGTTAAGTTTTCCTGGTCAAGTCCATATATCAGATACTTTAAGCAATAGGTCTACTATATTTGGTATATGGAATGATTGTAAGGTGTACATGTCCAACTGGCAGGTGTCATCTGACCTTGACCTCATTTTCATGGTTCAGTGGTTAAAGTTAAGTTTTTGTGTTTTGGTCTTTTTTCTAATACTGTATGCAATAGGTCAGCTTTATTTGGCGTAAGGAAATATTTTATGATGTATATGTCAGTCTGGCAGGTTTTATCAGATCAACAAGTAAGTAACATGGTCAAACTGTCAGACTTTTATAGGAACTGAGTAAAAAATTATAAACAATACAAAATCTACAAAAATGCCACAAAAAAGATTTACAAATAAAATGATTGCAATAAAAGTAAAATAAATATTAAAATGGCATATTTTTACCAGATGAGCAATTCAGGTTCTTTGGAGCCTCTTGTATAAGATATACAGCCTTGGATGAAGGAAAAGAGATCTGGTCATACAAGTTCCATTATTTTGAAAGTTGTAAAAGTGAGACTGCGATCCTACATTCTGTCGTCGGAGGTGGGGTCTATTTTTGTTTTAAACATCATTAAATTTATTCAATTTTAATGGAATTTTACAAAATCTTGCACAGAAGCTTCTTTGTGATAATAAAAAAAAAAAAAAAAAAAACGAATTGAGAGCATGATTTTAATAAAACTTTTGTATTATTTAAAATGTTCTTTATTTCAATGATAAATGAACTTTAGTTAGTTATCTTTTTTTACAGCTAACATTTAAATAAAGTCTAAGGTTAAGGTTAATAAGACATCAACATTTTCGTGAAGCCTTCATGGAATTTTATGAAACTTGGATAGAAGCTTCTTCATGATCAAGCAATATCATCTGATAGATAAATTAAGGTTTTCTGCAGCTAACATTTACTCAGTCTGATGCGAAATTCCATAGGATGTTATGAAATTTGGATAGAAGCTTCTTTATGACCAAAAAATACCGTGTAAAGAAAAATAAGATTTATTTTTAAATTTTCATATTTTATATTGATAAATGAACAAAGTTTCTGGCTCTTTTACATTGACATCAGCAATTGCAGGCGAGATACGGGGTTCCATGCAACCCTTTACGAATTTTTAGTTCACCTGGACCAAAGGGCCAAGTGAGCTTTTCTCATCACTTGGCGTCCGTCGTCGTCGTCCGTTGTCGTCGTCCGTCGTCGTTTACTTTTTACATTTTGAACTTCTTCTAGAGAACCACTGAATGGAATGAAACCAAACATTGCATGAATTTTCCTTATGAGGTGCTGACCAAGTGTGGTTACTTTGAAGCCGATCAATCATCCAAGATGGCCACCAGAGAGGGACTTAGTTTAACATAGGACCCTATGGGAAATACATACAAATGTCTTCTTCTATAAAACCGCTTAATGGATTGAAACCAAACATGGTTTAAATGTTTCTTTTGAGGTGCTGACCAAGTGTTGTTACTTTGTAGCTGATTTGTCAACAAAGATGGCTGCCAGCGGGGGACTTCGTTTAACATAGGACCCTATGGACAATACATACAAATGTTTTCTTTTAAAGAACCACTGAATGGAATGAAACCAAACATGGCATGAATGTTCCTAATGAGGTGCTGACCAAGTGTTGTTACTTTGTAGCCAATCAATCATCCAATATGGCTGCCAACTGGGGACTTAGTTTAACAAAGGACCCTATGGGAAATATATACAAATGTCTTCTTCTAGAAAACCGCTTAATGGATTGAAACCAAACAGGGTATGAATGTTTATTTTGAGGTGCTGACCAAGTGGTGTTACTTTGTAGCTGATTTGTCATTCAAGATGGCTGCCATCGGGGGACTTCTTGTAAAATAGGACCCTATGGCCAATACATACAAATGTCTCCTTTTAGAGAACCACTGAATGGAATGAAACCAAACATGGCATGAATGTTCCTAATGCGGTGCTGACCAAGTGTTGTTACTTTGAAGCCAATCCATCATCCGAGATGACCACCAGAGAGGGACTTAGTTTATCATAGGACCCTATGGGAAATACATACACATGTCTTCTTTCAGAGAACCACTAAATGGAATGAAATAAAACATGGCATGAATGTTCCGTATGAGATGCTGACCAAGTGTTGTAACTTTGTAGGCGATCAATCATCTACGATGGCCGCCAGCGGGGACTTAGTTTAACATATGATCCTATGGGAAATACATACAAATTTTTCTTTTAGAGAACCACTGAATGGAATGAAACCAAGAATGGCATGAAAGTCAACATAAGCAAAATTGTCAATTGACATCTTGTTGGAGTTATTGTCCTTATAAAGTCATTTTCTAAAATTTCAATGAATTTATTGGTAATTTCTGTCAATTTTACAAAAAGTCTTCTGCTTTTGATTAAATTAAGGGGCCAGTTTTAAACCAAATTTGGCCTCAATCATTATTAGGGTATCAGTTACGATTTTAATCTATTTTTACATGATTTCCAAAACCAAAGTAGAATCAGGTGAGCGACACAGGCTCTTGAGAGCCTCTAGTTTCTTAAAGGCAGTTTCTGCCTTTTGCTTTTGTGTGACGCCCGAGTAGTTAAGGATAGTATTCTCTTTTTTTTCGAGTGCCCTTTTCACAACGAAGCAAGAGAAACATTATTTTTAAAATTAGAAAGATATGCTATATCAAATGTGCTTCTATTGGCTATTGACGGTGACCTTTCATTTCAGCAAAATAAAGAAATTTTTGGGTCTGTACAAACTTATATCAGCGTTACACAAAGATTTAGAACATTCAATTAAAATTCTGATTTCCTGCTTTTTCACACTTCACTCCAGTCCAGTCTTATATAATATTATAATATTTCATATAATATTGTATTTTTGTTTTTTTGTTTTTCTTTATAGTTTGTATTACATGTATTCCTATTATGTTTCTTGTCATTATCTAAAGCATTTTGTGTTTATATATGTATAGTGAGATTACGTCACCGATGTTGTTATAACTTGTGTCCAATCCCTTTTGCTACTTTTGCAAATAAAAAATATGTTTAAACTAAGCCAGATTAGTTTCTGACCGTGTGATTTCCTGATAAACAAGTGAGCTAGTTTAGTTTTATTCATTGGTAATACATTCTTTACTTATTTCAAGATAAACGTTGAAGTGTGTATTTGTTTGATTTAACATTGAAAATAATTTTTAATTTGATTTGAATATCCATAATTGCAGTATTTAAATGAAAATTTAAAACCAACGATATTTCATTTCTAGTCAACATGACAGACTAATAGTTGATAATAATAAAATGCAACAGATTAAAATTGAAATGATTTTAATGACATAAAGTTATTAATTCTTTAGGAACCGACCATGCTACACCACTCTGAGACAACAAAGGAAAATGGGAAATTTGAACTTGAGTATAAATTACGAATGAAATTTGATTTACCATATAGGGTTTCTTCGGACTTTCATGTTTCAGTAAATCGTCGCTTTTTTAATTTCAGACTTGTAAGAGTGTTTTGATATGACTGCTAATTGTTTTAGCTGTGTAATTTGTTTTGAAATTATTTAAAGTTTGACGGTTAGAGGTATAGTCTTGTATTTGGTTGAACAGGGTGGACACTTGCAGACATGATTATTGCATAATAAATAAAAGCAAACGTTCGTTCAAAGATTCTGTTTCATTGAATTACAAGTTTAATTTGTGTCTTGCCTGCTGTGCAAGTTACCGAATGTCAGACATAAGGATACTTACCTAATTACATTGACGGTACCAACTTTTCTGTGCCAGATGCGCATTTCGACAATAAATTTCTCGAAAATAAATACAATAAACTGCTGCCACATGTGACAGCATCGTTAGCTCTTGCGTGAAGCTTTATTTTTCTTAATACTTCATATCTTCTATACAGATGCCTTATGTTTCCACTTGTCATATGTCCCCTGTCCTTCACCTCATTTTATTAATTTTGTCTATTTGTCAGATACTATAAGCTATAGGTCAACTATATTCTAGGTATCGAATAATTGTAAGGTGTTCATATCATTCTGGCAGGTTCATATTACCTTTACCTCATTTTCATGGTTTAGCACCAAAGAAATCCAGAGGACACAGTTACCTTAATCATTTGTCAAATTCATATACAAGATAGGTAAAAGCATATGTAGTAAGCTCAAAATAAATTAAAAAAAACATGTTCATATAATTTAGCAACTTTGAGTGCCCTGTCCCAAGTCAGAAACCTAATCAGTTGGTTTCTTCAGTCATATCTAAATACTTATTTTGATAATTGGACAATTTCCTGTTGATGACAGATCTTTGATAATTTTATTTCATTTGTTCACAGCTCTTATAGATTCAGGACAATTGGCAGCTTAACGTTTTGTATGGATACCTGTCTTTTGGTGAAGACTATGTTGTCCTCTCTATTATTTTGGTAATTTCTGACACTGGTTGCTGTCTCATTGACACATACCCCATATTTGCCCTTTGTAATAAAGACTTTGTAAATAAAAGCAAGACTAAATAGGGTTAAGGGGAAAGGTCAATGTCCCCGTATTATATAAACCTCACACGTTTGAGTCCTTTTTTTGGCATTTTCAGATTTTGTATAATACTTTTATTTACGAATCAATACATATTTTTACTTTTAACACATTTAAACGGGTTTTATTTCCCCAATTTGATAAGTTACTGCCTGTATAAATCTTATGCAGCCAAACGACATGACTGATCAATTAACGTAGTAACAAATATCCTGTGACTTTATAGGACGGATGTACGTTATGTTTTTAAATGAGTTTTAACATTAATTCAATAATATTCTGTTTTTTGGGGGGTACTATTAATAGTTAGTAGAACAATGGTGATCCATCAGTTAACTGGCAGTACACATTTTTATTACGTGTTTCAATGTTGACCTACACCATAAAACTTGCAAATGTTTTCTACAGAAAAGAATTTAATTTCACTTTTGTCTAAGATTCAAACTGATCTTAAAATCATTTATTGAAGACTAGACATTTGTACATGCATAGATCTGAGATAAAAGAACACATAAAACTCATACAAAATGCACAGCTTTCAGTGACGAATCTTTGAAAAATTCTGCCACAAGTTTTGCTTTTGGTCGGAATTTCGGATTTGCACTCCAGCATTTTTCTATAAATGTTATCCACTCATCCGGTGGGTTAGTGTGCTTTTGGTCATCTTTAAACATAGGACGGGTTCCTTTTCTTATTTCAACAGACAATCTGCCTCTGACTTTTCCGTCCAGTTCATCATTAATGGATTCGCCATACCACATTTCCCACAACACCATTGCCAGACTGTAAATATCAGCTTTCCTGTTGTAAATTGATTTTTGTTCGTGTACTTCTGGTGCCATATAAACCGGTGAACCGACGAATGTTCCAGAAATGTCCTCCTCTGGTTTTGTTAAACCAACATCTGTAAGTTTTATTTCTTTGTTTTTAGTTACCTTAAATTAAAGTATGGAATAAATTTTAGCGATGAACATTTATAAACAAATGTTTTTCTAAATACAGTTTTGAATAGTTACTTATTACATCTTATATAAGTCTCCTTGATTTTTATTGGTTCATAGCTTGTGTTTTTTCGTTTATCAGATTATATCTGTTCAAAATACTACTGGAGGTATAAATTCTATATATTTCACGTAACAAAAATTTACAGAAACATAAATCCCGTGAACTTGATTGTCACAAATTTCTCATGGCATGGTGCATTTCCAAAAGATTTTATGTGGATATTGTTTTTACTGTACTCGAGATTCTTGTCATACCATTTGTGCGTATTATATTAAAATATAGTTGTTAGTAGTGAGACAAAGTTTACCAAAATATTTTCTAATTTCAGATCTCTGTGAACTAGTTTCTTGCTATGTAGATAGGATACACCTTCACATAACTGGACCACATAATGAACCATTGCAGTTTTGGCCTTTTCGTAGTCCATTGTTCCTTTAGTTTGCTTGCAGGGGATGTCTTCTTTCAGGGGAGATTTCTTGTCCAGGTAAATATCTTTCAGGTTCGTGATGCAACTAGCCATAATCATAATCCAATATGTCTTCTGTGGTGATCCCTTTTGTAGAATTGTAGCTCCATAATACTTTATAATGTTGTCGTGCTCCAACTCCCTACAATTAAAATAGCAATGTAGGTCACAGGTAAGTAGAGAAGGCATATCTAAAATTCAGCTCTAAAGATAATGCGAAGATGAAATATGAATAAGATATGACTATATTCTAGATACTCAGAAAATTAGCTTTCCTGTATTGTACTTATCACCCGTCGAGCAACTCTTTAAAACATTTACGATAAAAAGTATAACGAAGAATCACTACTCTCATTTTATAATCTTCAACAGTTCCCGAGAACTCCATCTAAGCATCCACTCAGTACTAACATGATTTTATTGATATAATTTGATTGTTAAATTCCTCGACCACAATTTCGTAGAATTGTAATATGTACGAATACAAAAGATTCAACATCCACAAGCAAACTAACTTAAGTCGGGTTCGGCGGATTAATTTAGGCTTCATTGGTTTTGATGCTTTAAAAGGATGACTGTTTTGGCTTTTCTTCATGAGCGTACCTGATGAAGATAATCCCATAACTTGAGTTGCGGGCAGGAAAATCATATTATTTGGGATTTCTTAAATGACTATACTGTGTGTTAAAAGATTCTGACCTTAGAGTTTCATCTTCAAGTAACAGCTCTGAAATGTTATTTGTCTGCAGGGGGTCTTTAAACATTTTAATGGCAACTTCAACTCTCTGTCCATCTGTATTTAGATGACCAGGATAAACATTTGCAAAACTTCCGGTTCCTAATTTCCTCTTTTCATTCCATTCTAATTCCCGAAGGCGGTAATCCAATTGCCACATTTCGTAGACATAGAACAAATCAAGTTCACCTTGTAAGACTAGACATCTGCGTAGATTTTCAGGAATAACATGAATAGTCTCTTTTGTCTCCATGACTTCAGATTCTAATGACGACATCAATCGTTTATCCATTGCTATCAAGTCTGGTATCATCTTGGCAATTTTGTTTATATCTTTTGAAAATCGTTTTACATATTTACCTACCATTTCTTTCAGTTGTGGATTTTTTATTAGGCATCTTAGGTAAATATCAGTTGCTTTGAACATATGATGTGTACGTGTTTCTTTTTTATACTTGTTGAAAATAGGTTTGATCTCTTTCTTTACAGTTTTGTCAAACCCGCCAATACTACAGACAAAATCACTAAGTTTATTTTTGTCTTTCTGAGGTTTTCCTGTAGATGACGGAGGAGAGCTTCTCAGATTAACTGGACTGTCATGTTTGAAAGATCGATGCAAATTCGCAACAGCCGTTGAGTCCCCACATGCTAGCATTGCTGCAATGTAAATCAACAATGTAATACACAACTGGACATTTTTTTTCTCCAGACAGTTAGTATACAATTTGATCGTCATTAAAATCAGAGAAGGGAAATACTCTATTTACTCAATCTTAGAAATACGAAAACTTAGTTTAAGGTTAACCGTGAAAAGGTATCAATTATTAATTATAATCAAATTAAAATGTTAATAAGTAAGTAATTCATATAAAATATTGTATCATAAAAATTATATAATTGAACCTTTTCCCTGGAACTTATAAAAAGAAAGAACGAATATTATTTATCTTGGATCATATGAAATACCTCCAATTTTCTTCATATGGGTTTCCATAAGTTCCACTTCTTCGCTAAATTTGTTTATTATTTGTTTCTGAATTTTCAGTTTGATTGTACTTGACTTTTCCCATTCATTCAGTTTTTCTCGGAGTTTTTCAACAATACTATTTTCGGCAGCACATTTTAAATGCTTCCATTTTCTATCAGGTTTTGGACACTGGTCATCTAACCAGACTGTCATACCAGCTTTTAGATCAGCTGAATTTAGATAATCTACCAGTTTACTATAAAGCCTGTCGATTTCCATGTCAATTTCCTCATGGAGTCTGCCAATTATCAACCTAGATTCTTTTTCAAGTTTTTCAATGCGTATCTCAACTTGTGCCATCATTTCTCTTCTCTCTTCAAGAGTTTTATTGCTGTTAAGCTTGCTCACTTTTAGAATGTACAAGGCACGTTTTTGTACTTGCGATAACCATCTGTAAAATATTAAGCAACATCAGTAATGTGATTATTGTTAAATCAATATATTATTATATTCATATATGAATAATGTTTAATATCAAGTATCAAAACATGTTGGGCAACAATAAATAGCCTTCAGAAACGGGCGGACACTCACAATATAGGATAAGGAGATGTGATATAATGACTGCCAACGAGACAACTATCTCCTGTTGAAATAGGCTCAAGGAGAAGGATGTAAATATAATTGATTTTATCTTCTACTTTTTCTTTAGATAGAACACGCCCATTAAATTTCTTATTTGACATTTCTCCTAAAATTAATGTATACATGTACACATGTAGTTATTTTTGAATTGATAGTATAAATACATAAACGAGTGTGCTAAATCCTTCTTCCATCTATTCCGTTTAGTTTGACGCTATATTTATCATTAGATAACATGCATTCTAGGTACAAATGCAACGATATAATAAGGAAATTATAGAAAATAAACAAAATTTTAACCAGCAGGAAAATAAACACGTGCAAAATATGTGGATATCCAACCTGTATTCCTTTTTCAGATACTGTTCCATTTTTTTTAAGAATGAATTGTGAATAGCTTTACAAACTGCTTGGAAGTCCTCACTATGTATACCACTTGGTTCCAAACGCTGTTCCTGGATACAAAGAGAAAAAGCAATTAATGAATTTTGTATGTAGACATATACCGAACTACCACTGGATGTTTCGTCCCCAATGGTTTCACCAGCAGAGTAGTCAGCACTTCGTCTGCCGACATAAAATATCATTTTCTGAAAATTTACTGTTCATAAATGTTAAAATTTCGAATCACTTATGTTATTCTACCCCAAGTATTGGTGGTCTTAAATTTGAAACGCCTTTTCCTTTTTATTCGGGGGGGGGGGGTAAATGCTCTCCAACGGTTTTTCCATTTGCTTTGATTGCTTGAAATGTAGGTCGTACCCTGTTAAATCTTAATTTCAAAGACTAAACTATACTTATCCAAATGGTCGGTCCATTTATTCACAAAAACTTATAGAATTTAAATACAGCACAACAAATGTCAAACTAATTTACGCCATTTGAAAAAGTTTGTAATGAAAATAACAATTAAAATTTCGTGCGTCCGTAAAATATAATAACCTTATGGAAACTAGAGAAATTACAGCGATTATATGTTTAACTAAACAATTTCAAAGGATAAAGATAATTGTTACTTCTTTACTATACTTATTAAAAAATGTAGACATAATGCCTGTATTGATATTTCTATGCTGACTTACATATATTGATATGTTATTATTGTTTTATATCTGTTAAATCGTTAACATTATATATTAGGGTTATTTAAACTATTCCATAATCATAAAGTGTAAGAAAGGTTAAATGCGAACTCTATATCTCCTTCCCCGATTGAAACGTAGATATCTCAGATATTTCTTAGCTGAAATAACTATCTTGAAATTTTATCATTGATTATATATCTGTTTCATTACTTTAAATCAAATAGATGGACATTTAAACAATTTTAAAACTATGTCAAAAAACACTGTTTAAAAAAAAGTTTATGTCATGACATTGATTTGTTTCTTTTACAAATATACTACAATGCTAACTCAATACCTCATTCACTGACAGAAATGCAATCTGGCCGTCTTTCAGTTCAGGACAAGTCTTTAAAATCTTATCTCTTGCATTTATCTTAGCGTCATCTAGTTGTTCTTCAGGGATGACATCACATTTATTGCAGACGACCATCACGTCTTCATACGAGAAACCATGTTTAGACGTTCTACTGACATGCTCAATAAAATCTTCAACCTTTCACACAAATTTAAGATAACAAATGTAAGTAAAAGAAAATTGTAACTGTTTGATTATTTTTAACATAGGGCCATTGTGAACAAACAGGGTCCTTAAGAAAAAGAAAAGAAATCTTTTGTATGTCACGATATTGAAGTTATTAAGGAATGACACCATACGTGTTGTCTACAACCATTACGTCATCACAATGCCTAGTTGCCTGTTATTACCGATAAGAAAACACAATCCACTGCATACGTTTGTGTATTTCAAAATATCGAATTGTTAAAGAAATTGTGTTTCCCATACAACTGTCTTATACGTTTATTTGTTGTTGTCATTTTCTTAACTGCACTCAGCACTTTTAAATGCAAAAAAATCCTACCATCATTTTATCTTTGATTGAATTCACATTCTTAAAAGAACTCCCTATCTCTCTCTCCATTTGACTACAGATCTGATACATTGAGCTGCAGATTAACGAAACCATTACCTACCTTTCCTGTCTGAATATGTTCAAGTTTAGAAATATCTAAAACATAGATAAACACAACATTTGGTGGCAGGTCTGATATAACATCTTCTAGAGGTATTGAAGTGTCAATATGATCAGGAATGTCTAATACATGTATACCACTCTGAAAAGTATAGTATATATTAAAACACGTTATAGATTATCTTTACTGCAGAGCTTTTTGCAAGCATCTACAGATTTATAGATTTATCAGAAAATTAGATAAAATGCACGTCATAAAACAAATTTAAATAACATTTTGCTGTAATAATCTAGTCTAATATATACATGAAACATGAAACATTGTTCTCGATTCTCCAACTACGCATTAATAGTTCTATTGTATTTTTTTCTTCTGTGTCATCGGATTTCTGTCTAACTGACGTATAACACACATATCCTTTTATCATTTCATTATTAATATTAATATACAAATACTATTAATAAGAACTTTAACGAGATCGGGCCGACTTCAAATGTCCTAAAAATATGTTTAATTTTGGAAATGTTTTTTTTTTTGGTGAGTCACTCAGGTTCTGTATTGTGATATTAATTGATGATTGAAGTCAGTTTGATGAAATAGTAGTGTTACCCTTTCTTAAATAAAATATCCTTACACTGCGTTGGCATTTTAAGCCCCTCCCTACGAGGTAAAATTGGTGGATTCATATCAAACTACGAATTACAATTTTAAAAACAGATTTAGCTAGCAATAAAGAACGGAAAAGAAATTGTAATACAAGCTTTTTTAATATCAAAACATGTAGTTATTGCCTTGAATAATTTGATACTAACATTTGGATATAAATAAGTGACATTATTAGCTTTTAGTATAATTTGACTTTTAAATATATCTTTAAATTTCAAACTACCTCTAAAAATTCGAAAGGAAACTCTATCGTAACTTTTTCATGAAAGATCATCTCATCTGCAGAAGTTATAAAATCATGCAGAGTTTTTTTGCTAGTTTGTTCTTTCATATCAAGTACTGTGACCTTTGATTCCATAGAACTTTGGTCTTTGCTGTACAATGTTGCCTTTGGTTCACTCCCTTGTTTCAGTTCACAGTAAGTCCTTGTACATCCTTCTTCTTCGACTGGTAGAATATCTGATTGTAGCAAGAGATTTATAAAACTTGTCTGACCTGAACCGAGCTCTCCTAAATAAAAGAAAAATATAACAATGAGTAATTGCATAAAGTGAAGAAACTTAACTATTTCGCCGACATAAACATGCATCATTCAACAAAAGACACAATTTGAAAAATTCGCAAAAATAACACTTATTTAAATTTTATTTTCTTCTTTTCCATTTTCTTCCGACTTATTGACAAATTTATTTGCCATAAAAATCTGCAAAATGTATGAAATTTTTAAGCTAAGATTAGTGATGATCAAATATATATATGAAAATTCGTGGATGGTCCTTAGACCTGCCGAACAAACATACATTATGATTTACATTACATAATATAAGTAAAAACATATGGATGGTTGTCAATGCTTAACTATCCACCAAATGCCGATAAAGTCAACACCCATACAACCTTTTGTGAAATTTTGGATTTGTTATGCTCTTCAACTTCGATATATGAGGTTATAGATATGACAACCTGATTTAACACTAAAGCCACTGATGTCAATAGCCTGGCATCGTTGGTGATTGTTTTGATCCGTTTGATCCGAGCGCAACTGATGTGTATAGCTTGGTATTGTGGATGATTGTTGAACTGTTTTGATCCGAGAGCCACTGATGTGTTTAGCCTGGTTTCGTTGATAATTGTTTTCAACTGTTTTGATCTGAACGCCGCTGATGTGTGTCATCGTTGATGATTGTTTTGAACTGTTTTGATCGGAGCGATATTATATATATAGCCTGGAATCGTTTTGATTGTTCTGAACTGTCTTGGTCCGAGCGATATAATGTATATAGCCTGGAATCGTTGTTGATTGATTTGAACTGTTTTGATCTGAACGCAACTGATGTGTATAGCCTGTCATCGTTGATGATTGTTTTGAATTGTTTTGATCCGAGCGCCACAGATGTGTATAGCCTGGCATCATCGAAGATTTATTTGTTACGTACGTTCACTAAATGCACACATAAACAAAATTCTATTTCAAAATTCTTGAATGAACTTGACAATTAAAATTTTCAAATTGCAAACTTTTTAAATAGTATGATAATTCACTTACCAGCAATGACAAGTGCACTTTGGCTATTTTTCAGATTATGTATTTTACTTCTAGCTATTTCCTCAATATTCTTATATGATTCACATATACTTTTCTGGTGAGTAAGCGACAACTGTTTATAAAACCTTATCATGCTTTCAAATTTTGCTACCAGTTTTTCAATATTTGATTTTAACTTCTCTGACGAATCGTTGACATATCGGTTGATCTGAAAAATATTGAGTAAAATGAAAGTGTGCAATATTGTATATACCTGTTCAAGTTTGTATAAATATTGAAATAATTCTATTATGCACACATACACATACACTATTATAAACGCATACCTTTTCATCTGATTGTTTTTGTTGTTCATCGGAAGTTGTTCTCCAATGGTCCAATATTCGCTGCAAAGCTTGGTCTTTGGTTCTAAGTCCTTTTGTGTCCAGTCCCCAGGACTTCAATAACATCATTGCAGTTTTGACATCTGGAATTTTAGATATATCCTCTTCGCTGGTTATATGATAACTTGCCCGTTTGACAAAGCTGCTTGCCATTTTTTTTTGTACACTCGATTGTCCTCGTTTCACGCTTCTGATTTTGAGCTACATTGTCAATAATATCACTTTATATTTCTTTGTTAAACTTGATAGCAAACTTGTTTTGTACTTCCGGGTTAAAAAGTCATTTTAAAATTACATTTAAAAGACGGCGTTATATGAAACTTTGTACACACCTAGCTTTTGAAAAGAATTTCAGTTTTAAAGTCTAAAATTACGCAATCCAAACACTGACATATCATTTAAACTTTATGAAATGCATGTTCAGCAAAACCCAAGTTTGGATGAAAACAAAGCTTACATTAAGTAACGCAAATTATGCAAATTTACCGGCTTTTTACCTATAATGAGTTAGAAAACTATTATCAACATAATTAGACCGATCTATTGCCAGACATTCAGTTTCACATTATATATTCAGCACACTTTGAAATTTGGACAATACATTTTCAGATTTTCATTGTTCATTTTTTCGAGATCATAGTTTATTATGTTTTTGTTGGTTTGCAAGCTTTTTTCACCCAAGGAATACCTAGTGAATTGAATAAATGTACGTAATTATGTGCTGCAAAATCAAGTCGATAAAAAGTTCTGATCGTTCGAATCGATTGCGTATTGTCATATTTTATAAGATTTTACACCCATGATCTCACAATAACAAAACCATGCATAGTTGACATGGTTTAGAGTTTCAAATTAAAATTTAAAGGTCTATGCGTTCATAAGACAAACAAAAGCCTGTGCATTCAACAGGCGATAATGTTGTTGACAACCTTCCTTAATAAACACAAGTTATATCTTTTTTGAATTCATTTTTCTTTAGTTGATCGGATTCAATATCAATTTGAAGAACACAGAATATCATCCCTTCAGACTTATCCTGCCCGGCAGTGAAACCAATGGTGAAGAGCACACCAATTTGGCCGTGAGGGATTTCTAAATACACAACCATGTCTAGTCTGAATGGCAACGTTAATCATATGCATCGTTAATAGATAGTCACACATTCTGCATGTTATAGAACCATAGCGACATATCCATGATATATTTGCCACTGAACGTTAAGCAAACACAAATAATAAAAATTGAAGAAGGAGCCAGACGGAACTGTGTGGGTGGATTTTGTTCTCTAAATGAAACTGTTTCAATCATTCCAAACCGTCAAAAGTCATCCTACCATCCAATGATCGATACATTTATCTTTAATAAAGTTATGATATAACAGTTTCATGATGATTTCAGGTTTCCAATTGTTATCTTCTAATTTCACAGCAGTAGCATATCATATGCCTCATCGTATGTCGTTTACATGTCTTAATTGATAAATAACGCTAGCGCATGTTAAAATTATACGAAACTGCTCCATCAGAGTGAGGAAGAGAGACTGAAATAGACACTACATTAGTTTTACGGTCACCATCACGAATTGGTTGACCGATACAATATGTCTGTGTCTCAACTCACAAGCGTTTTATTTTTGCTGTCTTGGATCTGTAGATACCAGAAAAATCTCTGATCTGTAAATTTAGCGATTGTGTCATATTCACATGATTGTGAAATTTTTACTGAGTTAGAATTGGCATGGCGGGTGATAAATCCATATCAGGAGACAACCTTTCGACGTACTCGTCCACGCTCGTTTTTGAGTTCATGCGAATCCTTCATTTTTTGTTTTATTTTAACCTGTATTTGTATCTTCCTAAGGGATTTATGAGATTTGAACATTGATAAACTATTGTTGCCTCTAATAAATTAACATGAAGGTTCAAACATTGTATCATAAAGGTAAATTATCTCTAGAATTTTGAGACAATGATCATCAAATTCGTAATGGTCACTTTAGAACGTGTGAATTGCTAATTTCGGTCATTCTTCCTCATATCCATGTAGGATTTATGCGGCCTATAAATATAAGTAAAACCTTTAGAAGGCTTCATATGAATTCTGCTTCATATGATTAACAGAATAAGTCGGAATTTAGGACCACAAAATTTGTATACATTGTAATATCGATGAACAGAAATATGTTTGATGACTACAAAAATGTTCCTGCCCAAATAACCTTTTTTGCAAACTCTTACTCCTGAACTGAAGGTAAATCCAGAAAATCGCTTAGAACACACGAAATTGGTAAGTTATATTTGTATTTACTAGCACTGGGTCAATAGCATTGCTAGTGATCTGTTAGAAATCATGACAAAAAATGTAAAAGACAAAAAGATTAACAAAATCCAGGATCATCTCTGGAGCTCCGGAAGGGTACGCAGACATTGTAAATTCACATATTTTTTAGCATTTAAAAGTTGAAAATAACTGTTAGAATCAAACAATAAACTGTTATATGCAATTTCACAAATCTTAATTTCCCTGTTGTCAGCTCACTTGGGCCAAAGATAAAAAAGTATAGCAAAAATACCGAACTCAAAGGTAAATTCAAAAAGGTGAAGTTCATAAAAACTGACACAATCAAACATTATCAAGCAACGGAACGACTGACTTGGTACAGAAATTTTCAGAAGAAAATGGTGGGTTACACCTAGTTCTATGTAAATGTGAGCTATTGTCATGACCACTTGGAATCCGTCGTTATCCAGTTGTCTTTTCAGGCTTAAAACAGTATTTGAACCAAACTTGTAATATGGGTCATTTTTTAAAAATGTAGAATTTCAGTATAGCTATGCCCTTTTTTTATTTTGAATGAAACTCGCATTTGTAAACGCCATCAGTGTCTGAGCAGAAGGTTGATGAACCCGGGTTATGTCAAAGAACGTCTCGTCCTTTTTCTAAAAAAGTTCATCGGAAGATACCAAGACCTAGTTGATAAATATTCCGTATCAACTTCACAAATAATACATGATGTTCTTGATGTAAAGATTTTAGGTACTGACGTTGTTTATCATCTTAATTACGTGTTATATTGTTCTTTTATTTGTCTTTGTAAATGATTAACCTTTACTGTTTAGTCCAGTTTTGGTAATATCCTTTTGCCGTGGCTCGGTACTTATACATCCCGCCATTGTGTTATATTTTTTGTATTCTTGTCTTTCGTTTTTGCTTATGTGTTTTGTTTATAAGCCTTTTTGTTTTTCTTTGTTGACATATTTGTTTGCTTTAATAGTGATTAAGATAATAACACAATGTTGACTGCTGTACCCCTATTTTTGACATTTTTACCTATTATGTATGTTTGTTTTGTTCACACATTGTTGTCAGCATAATGGAATTTTAAGCGACTGTCATACAAGTGAGAGGTTTAGCTAGCTATAAAACCAGATTTAATCCACCATTTTCTACATAAGGAAATGCCTGTACCAGTCAGGAATGTGACAGTTGTTTTCAATTCGTTTGATGTGTTTGAGCTTTTGATTTGCCATTTGATAAGGGACTTTCCGTTTGGAATTTTCCTTGGAGTTCGGTATTTTTGTAATTGTACTTTTTTGTAATTGTAAATATTTCTCTGGGTTGTCAGAATGGCCCCACAGCCTCTAATTTGTTGGAACAAAATCAAGTAATCTTTATCAGCACTGATGATCTGTTCCTGCGTCTCCCACCCCCTGGTTAACTAAACTTCCCTTTATTTTCGTATCTGTGAAACTGGAAAATATTTCTATCAGAAACGGGATTTTTTCCATATGTGCAATATATCATTATGTAGAAAAAATATAAAATCATTCAAAAGAATTTATCTGGCTTCATATATGATGTGTATTATGTGTATGAACTTGACAATGCATCCGAATTCAAATGTTGCAGATTTTTGCCGGTGATGCGATAGTACGGTCCGTCCATGAAGACTGGTTTCAAACTTTTTTCATCTGAGCGTCACTGGTTGGTCTTGTGTGGACAAGACGCACGTCTGGCGTATTGAATTTTAAGCCTAGTACCTTTTGTTAGCTATTATTCGTGTGTTTCTTTGTCCTATATGTTCTCCCATTTATTTGTATTGTGGTCCTGTCATGTGATGTTGTCGTTTTGATGTTGTGTTTGACGTTGCCATAAAAGCGGGAGGTTTGGCATGCCACAAAACCAGGTTCAACCCACCATTTTTTTCTTATAATGTCCTGTACCAAGTCAGGAAAATGGCCATTGTTTTATTATAGTTCGTTTCTGTGTGTGTTACATTTCAATGTTGTGTTTCTTTTTGTGTCGTTGTTCTCCTCTTATATTTGATGCGTTTCCCTCAGTTTAAGTTTGTAACCCGGATTTGTTTTTATCTCTATCGATTTATGAGTTTCGAACAGCGGTATACTACTGTTGCCTTTATTTATCTGCACAAAAATACCCAATGAATCAAGTGAGCCGTAAAATTCACATTTGAGACCACCCCTTTCATTTTACCAGTCAAAGTCGGTTCAACAGTCGGTACCGAGACTTTCCGTAAATCTCTAGTAACATGTAACTGTACAACTCTGACTGGTTATGCTAGTAATATTTCAATATATGAAACAATCCGCGAACATCTTATGGTGTTTACATATCTCAGTTAATAAGTTACGTTCGTGCATGTTCACGCTATACGGACAACAGGGATGTGCTCCTTACACAAAAACTGCTCCATCAAAATAATGAGGAAGAACGACTGAAATCGACCCTTCATTAGTTTTAAGGTCACCATCAGTAATAGGTTGACCGATACGATGTGTCGATGTCTCAAATCACTAGCGACATGTTTTCGCAGTCTTTGATCTTTAGATACCAGTATAGTCATCTGATCTGTAATTTTACCGGTTATGTCCTATTTTCGATAGTTGTAATTAACTGAGTGTCTATTCGCATGGCGGGTGGTGCATGCATAGCAGAAGATGCTTACTATGTCGACCCACCCGGTCCGCTCCCATTGGAGAACATGCCATTCCATCAGTCTTTTTTTGTTGTTGTCTTGATTTGTCTCTTCCTTATCGATTTAAGAGATTTGAACATCGGTACAAAGTAAAATTACAAAAATACCGAACTCCGAGGAAAATTCTAAACGGAATGTCCCTAAGTAAATGGCAAATTCAAAAGCTCAAACACATCAAACGAATGGATAACAACTGTCATATTCCTGACTTGGTACAGGCATTTTCTTATGTAGAAAATGGTGGATTAAACCTGGTTTTATAGCTAGCTAAACCTCTCACTTGTATGACAGTCGCATAAAATTCCATTATATTGACAACGATGTGTTAACAAAACAAACCGACATAATAGGTAAAAATGTCAAAATAGGGGTACAGCAGTCAACATTGTGTTATAATCTTAATCACTACAAAATAATGCAAATATGTCAACAAAGACAAACAAAAAGGCATATAGACAATGCACATTTGAAAAAACGAAAGACAAGAATACAAAAATTTACCATAGCACAACATCACAATGACGGGATGTAAAAGTACCGAGCCACGTCAAATAAATCACTACAAAATCAAGCAAATATGCCAACAAAGAAAAACAAAAAGGCATATTGACAAAGCACATTAGCAAAAACGAAAGAGGAGAATACAAAAATTTACCATAGCACAATAACACAATGACGGGATGTACAAGTACCGAGCCACGTCAAATGGAGATTACCAAAAATAGACTAAACAGTAAAAGTAATAATTTACAAAGACAAATAAAAGAATAATATAACACGTTATTAAGATGACAAACAACGTCAGTACCTAGAATCTATACATCAAGAACATCATGTATTATTTGTGAAGTTGATACGGAATATTTATCAACAAGGTCTTGGTATCTTCCGATGAACTTTTTTAGAAAAAGGACGAGACGTTCTTTGACGTACCCCTGGTTCATCAACTTTCTGCTTAGACACTGGTGACGTTGAACAAAGTAAGAGTAGCAGCTGCAAGCTCTTGAATATCGAATGAGTTGGGAAATGTATATCCCATATGCAGGTGAAGTTGGTATATTGCTACTAAGGTGGTGGAAATTAGTAATTTCAAAATTAAAATCGTCTCGTTTGTCATAGATTCTTGTAATTAGATGACCGCTTATGTCAAATTCGAGGTATAAGTCTAAAAATGAGGCAGAGGAAGCTGTGTCTGTTGTTTCCTTAATTTCTAGTTCTGGAGGATATATTAATGGAACCCAATCAGAAAAGTTTGGATTGTTAATGGAAAGAACATCATCAATATATCTGAATGTGAAATTAAATGATCTGGCTTCTTTGATCTTCTTGTTTTTGACAAGTGTCTGAAGGAACTCTGACTCATATGAAAATAAAAAGAGGTCGGCAAGGAGCGGCGCACAGTTCGTTCTCATAGAAAATGCCGACAATTTGTTGAAAAAGTTTACCTCCAATGCAACAAATATGTTGTCAATAAGAAACTCCAGCATATTGATCACTTGTTCCTCTGTATAGCATGTTTTATTTTTTTGTTCACAAAATTAACAAAATATGCCGTTTGGTATCCCAAAATAATAAATTTATAACGTATGGTACCATTTTTATGTTGAAAAGCATTGTGGATTATTTCTTTTAGACGATTTTTCAATTTCACATGTGGAATGGTGGTATACAGGGTTAAAAAAATCATAAGTTTTGATAGAACTAACTTCAGAGAAAGATCGAGATTTAAAATTTTCAAGAAGTTCTTTAGAGTGTTTTAGAATCCACATATGGTTAATACCTCTACGCGAGCAAACAGTTTGACAGTATTTCTGAAGACCCTCTTTCACTGCGGACAGAATCTTTGTCAATCTAATGGACAATTATTTCGTCGAACATTCAGATGAGCCGGCAATGTTCCGTTGTTTGTACGGAATTTTGTGAAGCTTAGGTATCCAATACAAACAAGGTAAATCTTCCGATTGGCTGTTCAATGTAATGTTGATTGAAACTAATATCGCCTTAATTTGGACATCGGCAAACTACTGTCGCCTTAATTTGGACATCGGCAAACTACAGTCGCCTTAATTTGGACATCGGCAAACTATTGTCGCCTTCATTTGGACATCGGCAAACTACAGTCGCCTTAATTTGGACATCGGTAAACTGCAATCGCCTTAATTTGGACATAGGCAAACTACTGATGTCTCTTACTTGTTGAATTCCTCGTAACCCTTACCATAAGCATTTTTCGCCTGGACACATTCGAGAAACACCGAAGTCGTAAGATCAAATTAGCAGTTTCAGTCTACAGTACATTAGCTAGTGGTCATATAATTTATGTAAAAAATATGAATAAAATATATACTAGATAAATGTGGAGCCAACCATATATAGTGCCCTAAAACATATAAAGGGCATCAAACGCGATTATGTTAAATTAGACATACATCATTGAAAAGGACCAAAACGATAAAAAAAAATGCAATACAAACCTTGGTGAAACATTTAATTTCTAGAAGCATCAAGCTGTTTTGTTGGTGATTTAAAACTACCATCACAAATTGAACATGCACTTGAACTTTATATTCTTTAATATCAAATATCTTTCTTTTGTATCAGTTGATCGAAGTAAACTGGCTATAAAAGAATTAAGAAACCCTTAACTTCATACAAATTGAACAACGTTTCGCGAAAATTAACATGAGGAAGGAGAACATTCATAACCATCGAACTGAAAAATTAAATATCACAATCAATCGAAAATATGTACAAGAATAGTACCAAAACACTAAACCTCAAGATATATGCAAAAATCAAAAAGTCAAAATTATATTTACTCTGACCCCTCTTGGAAATTCAATTGAAACCAACCTCATGGAAGCAATAGGTGGTTGACTGACATAGTCCTGACTTGGCTCGAGCATTTACAAACAAATGAATCTCATTTTTATGAGAGCTATTCTACTTCCAATCAAGGTCCTATATCAAGCGTGGCTGTGTATTTGTTCATACCGTGTCAATCTTAAACCTACCCCGGGCGATTCTCTTTTCATGAACCAAGCCTTAATAATATGGTGAATAAAATAAAGGCAGTAATGGCAGTTGGTCACGATCTACCTTATAATGACAAGGAGATCTCAAATGTTAACTGAGAAGAAGGACTTGCTTACAGTCATTTTCACTACGATGACAATTTGAACGTTTGAGAAGTTGCTTTCCGACTCACAAAGGTACTGCATGTCGCATTTATCTTGTAGAAGTTACACAGTGTCTATTGTTTTACAAGTTATATACTTGGCTTTTAAATGTTAGTTCTAAACGTCCCTAAAGATGATAAGTCCAAAAGCGTTTTGGATCCACCATATTCATAAGGTGTTATTATCATTACATTGCAGAATGCAGTATAAGTCATCCCAGTGGAGTAAAGAAGAGGAAATAAATAAATAAATAAATATTTTCAAAAATATCTTTAATTTTTAACTAGATTAAGTAGCAAATCATAGTTTTCTGGCTATCTTAAGTCTCAGATTAAATAAAATTAGTAATAAAAAAGATTTATTACATTTTCTTTTGAAATGTCTGAAGGATATACCTCTGTTTGAGTTATAGAAAATAAAGTGCATTTTGAAAGAATGTTTATTCTTAAACATTTTTGAAAGATTTCAACACATCTTCAGCTGACGGTCGTTTACTTGGATCGGGACTCCAACAACGTTCGATTAACTTGATCCACATTTCATCAGGTTTCTGATGAATATTCAATAATGGACGTAGTGGTTCCTCTGCTCTGGTGACATCTGCTTCGATTGTTTTCATAATCCTTGGTCCAATGTGATCTGCTGCATCAATTCCATACCACATTTCCCAAATCATTATCCCCAAACTGTATACGTCAGCTGATTTGTTGTAAACACCTTTAGGAATCAAAACTTCCGGTGCCATATACACAGGGGATCCAGTCATAGTACCAGAAATGTCTATCTCTGGTTTTGTCAAACCAACATCTGTGAGCTTTACTATCTTCTTTTGTGTAAACTAAGGCAAAAATATATAACACATTATTTCTATAAACAGTACTTAGTAATAGTTTTTGACATGTTTAATCCTGATGAGTGTAACCATACGTACTATTAAATGACATGCACGAAATTTTACACTGCGTTCAGTCATGTAGGTTATTTTATAGTATTTTGTATTTTGTATTTTTGTATTTTGTATTTAGTATTTTGTATTTAGAATAGTATGTAGAAACACGGCATGAATTTGTTTATCATGCCAAATTCAAACATAAAATACAGCACGAACATTACATATTTTTGATTTTTTTCTTTGAAATTATGATTTACCTATTTCTACTTTTTTTATAAAGTTGAGAACGGAATATTTTGGAAAATGTTCATAGCCTTTCTTTTCCATCAGTTTTACATTTAGTCTAATTACAAGAAAATTTCGGGCTAATGCATAGCAGCAAAATAAGGTAATTTATGGGGTGAAATTGGGTATAAGCAAATCAGACAGATACTAAAGAAACAAAATTAGCAGACTAAAAAATTCCACTGTTGTACTTCGGTTGTAAATGTTGTAAAGTCGGTTTTTTTGCTATATTAAACCTACCAAAAATAACCGTTATGAAATGCTTCTTTCCTTTATGGAATCGACAATGAAATCAAGGTTTTAATCGTGCACGAAAAATAAAATAAAAAAAAAACAAACAAACAAACAGATAGGCATTTTAAGAATTAACAATTCGTTACAGTGAATAATAGTTATTATTTGCCTTACCAACACATTTTCTAGCTTAAGGTCTCTATGAACCAGCTTCTTGCTATGTAAGTAGTCCAGACCTTTGCACAGTTGTACACAAAATGCTGACATTTCTTTAAACGCAGATTCTTTCTCTGAAATGGTTCTGCAGTTGGCCGGATTTTCTATTTTGTATTGGGAGTACTTGTCTACAAAAACATCTTTTAAACTACCAGCACAGAATTCCATTATCATTACCCAGTATGTCTTCCCTCCTTTCATTCTTTGCAGAGCATTCCCATGATATGCTATAAAGTTTTCATGCTTAGCATCTCTACAAAACAAATGTGAAACAGATTTCAATATTTTTTTTATCACCACCAGTTTTTGGTGGGGTTCTTTTGCTCAGTCTTTTGTTTTTCTGTGTTGTGTTTTTTGTGTGCTGTTGTTTGTCTGTTTGTCTTTTTCTTTTTTAGCCATGGCGTTGTCAGTTTATTTTCGACTTTATAGTTTGAATGTCCCTTAAGTATCCATGTCCCTTTGGTATCATTCGCCTCTCTTTTTATATTCTGTTATTATTTGTTTATTTATCAATCTTACATGTTGTTGTTTATTTCTTCTTTTCTGTATTTGTTTTAATATATTTTTTTTCAAATGAATCGAAAACATTTAATTTTTAATGATCATATTGAAAATAGTGTTTAATTTGCCATAGAAAAAAGTCAAAACAACGATTTTTATTTTTAAGACAATTTGAAATTTTGATGTTCGAAGAACTTATCATATAAAGGAAAAGGAAGGGCATGATTAGAGTTATTATTTGGTCCATGGAATTTGTAAATATTTGTAATGTCAGTTGAGCTGTCACTTTAATAAAAAAAATACACCTACCTGTTTTATTGACTATTTTAGTTAAGTAGTCAAAACAGATCAATTGACTATCAAAATAACAACAATAAGATTACTCGGGTTGTAAATATGTGCCAAATATTTATGTGAAATGGAAAGTGCTCGACACAGCCTCTCGATTGATTTATTGATTGGTGTTTAACGTCACTTCTAGCACTATTGTGCTTTTTTTGTGGCGGTCAGTTTTTATTGGTGGAGGAAACCTCTCGAACTCAATTTCATAATAAACACGCATTACCATAACTTTGCTTTTTACGTGTTATTCAGTATCATCATGTTTGGAGCACAAGCTTTTGAACATTACATAAATTAAATATGCTCGATTAGTTGATAAAATAGTGTATTTTTGCTTTTGAAAATTACATTTCTGATCTTCTGGCCTCTGTATGAGGGGAAAGCTTATGGTAACAAAAACTCTAGTAGTAAGGGGGTTTAGAAGAAATATATAATAACGATCTGACCAGATGAAACAGAAGATATATAGTAAATCATGCCTTCCATTGTTTTTGAAGATATTTAAAAGATCTTCAAGATTGACAGAAGATTAAGAAGATTTGTTTGTTTCTACTTAGTTTAAATACATAATAGATAAGATTTCTTCTTATTATACAACTGACCTAAGGGACGAAAGAAATTTTGTTTTATCCCAAATTCGAATAAATGATGAGACGCTAGTCTGTAGTGGGTTATGAATAAGTTAAAAAAAATCACGAAAAATTATGCAGCGATACTGGCATGATTTATAAAAAAACCTTTTGTTTTAATTTTCTATTGCTAAATTCAGAAATTAGTAAGAAAATGAGGTTCAAACTCCCGTTTCGTCATACAGCGCCTCACGCATGTATGTTTTTATACGTCCTTGTCATTCCAATTTTTTGGTTTGAGCGTTCCGTATGAAGGTAAACTCAGAAAAACTCTTGGGACGCTTAAAATTTATAAAGTGTTATTTTTGTAAGATGACAAACAATTCATATCTAGTATTCAACTCCCGATCATTTTAAACTAGTTGTAACTCCGAGAATAAAGTTTTGTGATGTTTATAAAACAAGGAAATATTTTTTATCTGATCGGCAAGTTTTTATTACCGAATGACATCAACTATAGTCTGATTATTCATACTGAATACATTTGCTCAAATATAGACGTCATGATTATGGAGGACGAAGGCATTGTAAAATTGTACCTAAAAAGATAGGTATCAGTTTTATTTTCCATTTCGTATTTCATAATATTCGCAATTTTGCGTATGCAATACGCGTTTTTTGTACAGGTTCCATGTCAACCTTTTCTGTGATTAACATTTATTTCCCTAATTTTTTTAAAGTTAAGTTTTATTTTATTTTTTCTACCATCCCTTCTTCATGTTCGATATATTTTCTTTTTAATTATCATTTTAATTTTTTATTTTTTTTAGAAAATGTGCATTCAGAATTTCTAATATAATATAAATAAGAAGATGTGGTATGAGCGCCATTGAGACAACACTCCATCCAAGACACAATGTATAAAAAGTTAACAACTATAGGTCAAAGTACGGCCTTCAACTCGGAGCCTTGGCTCACACCGAACAGCAAGCTATAAAGGGCCCCAAAATGATAGTGTAAAACAATTCAAACAGGAAAACCAACGGTCTAATCTATATAAAAAACGAGAAACGAGAAACATTTATGATTGAACCACAACAACAAACGACAACCACTCCAAGCTTATCGTTGTTACGAGAACCGACCATGCGGGACCTTGGGCAGTCAAGGTGGTTTAAATCTCAATGTAGTAGTTTGCCAATGTAAGATTTTATGAGTTAGGAAACGAAGTAGATATCATCAAAAATGCACGTGATGAATAGTACAGAACAGTACGCAAATTTAAAACACAACAATGCGTCTATCTTCGTCCTTTTCATGTTTGAATTATTCAATTGCAGATAAAACAATACTGGAATACGGGCAAACTCATACCTCATTGTTCTATCTTCCAAGAGAATATCTGTGACTGATTTTTTGTCAATAATGTCTCTGCTTCTTTTTAAGGCAACGTCATGTTTGCTTCCATCGTTTGATTTCAAAACTCCAAAGAAAACCTCAGCAAATGATCCTTGACCTAATTTATCGTCCCAATTACATTCTATATCGGATAATTGATAGTCCACATGCATCATAGCGTCAACGTAGAATAAATCTAAACTACTCTGCAAACCAATACATGACTGTAAGCAAGCCGGACTGCTATCTGCTTTTGTTTGCTCGGCTTCCACTTTCAAAGAAGCAAGCATCTGTCTGTCTGCTTCTAGAAAATCCGGAATAAGTTCTGCAATTTTGTCTATTCCTTTTGCGTATCGCTGTACAAATCTGGATAAGTTGTCTTTTAGTTCTTTACTTTTCAAAATATTTTGAATGTACAAATTGGTAACTTCTGCCATCTTTAAATGGCAATTGTCTCTTTTGTATTTCTTGAAAACATCCTTCGATTCTTTACCAAGTGTTCCAAGAACTGCGACTGCTCCTCCAATTCCAACCATGTTTTGTTTATCACTTTTACCTTTCATTTTATCCTTCTTATTCCTCGGTCCTCTTATTGTTTTCTGTAAGTCTGCAAGGATTCGTGTTTCGTCTCCAAGAAACATACCTAGAAAAATTGTAAATCAGAAGTGTTATACCTACAATACATCATTTATATATTATACAAATATATGTTGATACAAAAAAACGTTTAAGAGTTGATAAAACCAAAAGGGTTAAAAGTAAATCCAAACCCAGACAACGAATCAGAGATATGGACGAGGGATATACATTCCTCAACTTAAAATGATTTGATTTAAAAAATTTATAACAGCAAATGTTAATCAAACAATATCTATTTAAATATCTATACTTTAAAATCAAATCAAAGGTGGAAGGCAAAAATCGAACGCGATATTGAAGAGCATTGCAAGCCAAAATTATCAAAAGGTTGTGCCAAATACGGCTACGCCAATCTATAAAGTGCATTCCTGGATTTACAGGAAAATCATCAAACCGATTAACACAAGGGTCTATAAAAAATATATGTCATCATGATATTAATTACTATAGGAAATAGAATAGCACAAGGACCAGCACCTCCTATGATAAACTTCATATTTGCCAAAACTTTTTTTTACAAACAACAAAATAATCATTTGTATTAAAGTTATATATCTACAATCAAACTCTGCTTTGATGGACTAACCTTCTATGTCGTTTATTTGGTCTTCCATTAATTCAAAATCTCTTTTGAATCGACCAATTATTTTATCTTTGATTCCTGCTTTGATACCATTACGTCTTTCCCAATCGTTAATGGCCTGTGTAAGTCTCTGAGCAATCACTTCACTGGCAGAACCTGCCACTTTCTTCCATTTTTTATCCGCCTGTGGACATTGAGATGGTTCCCACTGTGTGATCTTCGGCAGGAAGTCTTGTGATGAAAGAAGATTTATGACTTTATAATGTAGCCCGTCAGCCTCGTTTTGGACTTCTTCCTGCAGTTTTCGTATGCTTGCTTTTGCATTCTGTTGTAGATTGTACATTTGCTTTTCAATATTTTGAATTTGGATTTTCAAATTCTCAATATTTTCTCTCCGTGTATATTTTGAAACCTTAAGTATAAACTGTGTTCTTTTCAAAACTGTTGAAAGCCATCTGTAAAGACAAATATTCGTTTTAAACTTCAGCAAACTTATTACCACGTTTTTGTTTTGTTTGTTATTTAAATTCTTATCCTACTTATTTTTTTTGTGTATTGGATGGACATCAACCGGATAAGGGAGGTTAGGTGGACAGGACGGGTACCACCTGATATGCTTGTAGGATTTTTTATGCGAACAGGTACAAGAACGATCTCAGGTACGATTTCAACCTCATTACTTGGAGCAAGTGTGAAGATCAATAAAAAAAACTCATCAAAGATACAAGGCTTATAATTTACTACGCCTGACGCGTGTTTCGTCTAAATACGTATCATCAGTGGCGCTCAAATCAAAATAGTTAGATTGATTTACAGATTGTTGCTTGTTTCACGGCCAGAGGCAATTTTTCCACGTATAATCAAGATGTGAAACTATCAATAATAACTACAATAAGTAGGATCTGCGAGGAGAATCGACAGGGAAGAAGAATTAAAAATTTGAACTTTCACAGGAAAACAATAGTAAAGTGGGTAGAAGCAGAATTTTGTCATGCAAAATGCCACCTTCAGACCCGTCAAAGAGTCGTTGCAAGGGTTCTTTAATGTGCAGAGAGCTACACACTCTTTCTACACCAGAAATCTGATTTAACATCCCAATTCAAAATAAACATGGCTTCCAATTTCATACATCCCACACAAATCTTCGAAGATACCAGGCCTATAATTTAGTACGCCAAAAACTGGTAATAAACCCGAAATGATAATGAAATGAACATTGTCAAAGTTTGTGTTGGACAAATATACAAACTTTTAGAATAAAAATAAAAGTTGTTTTGCACTTAACTCTCTCTCATCTTTATCTTTATCAGTGGAATAATAATAAGGTACACAAAAGAACGCACAATAAAAAAAGTTAAAAAAAAACTCTAAAATAGAATTCAAAATATTCTTATTTAGTTAACAACAACTAAAAGAAAATGGTATGCATTTTACCAACTAACCTGTAATATGCTTCATGTTTATTTTCCAGACTAGCTGGCAGTAATTTATTTATGCCCCTCAAGATGGCTTTGTGGTCTTGAAGAATTAGTCCATGAGGAAGAGCTTGTTTTGCCTATAGGAAAATAAAAACAAACAAGAACAATCAATGTAACAGTATCAAATCGTTTATACCATTTGTCTCCACATTTGAGTTTAGTCTAGCCGATTTGTGAAATAGATAACGAAGACTTTCAAATTCTGCCACCGACGTCATACTAATTTACATATTTGAGAAATAATTCATGTTGCTTGAATTGATATTGACTCTACCGTGGGTTACCCCTTTAAGCAAAATATATTTTTTCCCATGTTTTTTTTTCTAGTTAATAGGACAAACACAGTAAATGCTTTGGATCGAAGCGCTCTAAGTCAAGACAAGTATTTCCCGGTGTAATTAAACACAGAACAAAAATTGACGTAAAAGATCAAGAAAACTGAATTTGTGAATGCTTAAACGATTTTTTAATTTATAGGCGGTTAGAAAACGAAATTATGAAAATTAAAATAGTTAAGTGTGTTTTTGTCAGAAAAGATTGATTGATTGTTGGTTGCTTAACGTCCAGTGGCAAATATTTCATGCATATTCAGGACGAGAACAAATTAACAATAAATACAATAGGTAAGTTATGCAAGAGGGGCGTCCGGGATTAAGGTCGGAGAAATTTAGACTGCCACGGGAAATGAGGGTATATTGGATAGGGACAGAAATTTAGCCTTGCAACAGGTCACCTACGGACCCCTCAAGAGTTGTTGCAAGGGTTCTTAACGTGCAAAGAGCGTGGCACTCTCTTTACACGAGGCATCGGATTTAACGTCCCCATTCTGACCGGACGTGGCTGCAAATTTGTACATCCCGCACAGCCAAACGGACGCCCAACTTTAGCGAGGGTTTTACCGCCGGTCGGAGGAAGACCAATGGTGACCATATTTCTATTCCCCAGTCACCCTTGGGGGTTTGTCAGAAAAGAAGGAACTGGTCTACGAGTAATTACATTTTAAAATAGCACTGTCCATCAGAGAGGTTGGATGTGTATCCCGATATACAAATGTGACTTACAGTAAAGTTTAAAAATTAAAGCAAAGTACTAATACTATCACATTCCACGTTTTATTTTATAACTGTCTATGACATGTCAGTAAATTGTAAAAATCCAAAATCAAATTATATATGTCGGTCAGCTGACATACAATTATATAATAGTATTTTACAACAGGTATGAACCCAAAGATTTTGAATGGCGTCATATTATAATAAATCTAAAATTGTTTTTTTTTATTCTTTTATCTTCACCATAACTGATAAAATATAGTATTTTGTTAGACAACCTGGCCTCTTGGATTTAATTTATTTTTAATTACAAAAAACGAAAATACTATACTAGAACTTATTATATACAAATGTAAAGGCATAATTTCTGAACCCTCGAGCAGTTTGACTTTTTTTTTTGGATAGGAGAGAGAAAACATAATTGCACTCACTCTTTCAGTAGATAGGTAATATACTTGATCTGTTCTAAAATCTGGATAGCATTGTCGTAATTTGTAATTGTTACTTTTCATCACTTCATCTTTGTCACGGGAAGGAACTTGTTCCCATTTATTACATACAAATATGGTGGTCTGAGGATTAAATTGTTCCTCTGATAAATTCATAACCGTTCTCAGGAAATCCATAATCTGAAACATAAAAAAAAGTTTCGCTGTAATAAATATTTACACCAAGATGTCATTAAATAAAATTGGATATCCTACATTTTTCATGCTTTTCAATAACAAATCGCCTAAAGACCCTTTCCTAAATTAATAAAAACTATCATTCTGTATTGACAATAATATCTTGGTGTAAGTTAGATACACCCATTCGGGTTAACGGCCTCCGGTGTACCTAATACTTACATAAAAGTGTTATCATGTATCAGCAAAATGTCCTAGTTTTGGCAATTAAACCAGAAATCGGCAAGATAGAAAAACGATTCATATTGCCATACAAAAGAAGTGATAACATTGACAAGGTATCAATTTGATGACAGAAAAAAGAGGCAATTTAGATTTAATTCCAAATTCATAACTATAAAGAATCTTCCGAAAGTGTAACCTTGAATCAAAACAGAGAGAAAAGATAATTACTTCTATGTAAATTATATTTAGTCGTCTCATATCTTCGTGGCAAACAGCAGTCGGATATGAGAATACTATTCCCAATACATGTATAAGCTTTCATACAACAAAATTTATCGACAATGAGGCGAAATATGGAAACAGAGGGTAAATCATTTCCGCCAAAGCACATTCCCTTAACAAGGTAAAATACGTGTGTATCCTTTATGTATAGGATATTTTGGATCGATTTCGTTTTGTTAAACGTTAATATTTAAGCGTTCAATATCACGCATGATATCGTTTCAGCTATTTCAGTCTATTGTATACAAGAATGTGTCCATAGTACACAGATGCCCCACTCGCACTATCATTTTCTATGTTCAGTGGACCGTGAAATTGGGGTCGAAACTCTAATTTGGCATTAAAATTAGAAAGATCATATCATAGGAAACATCTGTACAAAGTTTCAAGTTGATTGGACTCTAACTTCATCAAAAACTACCTTGACCGACAGACGGACGGCGGACGGACGAACGGACGGTACAACGGACGAACGGACGCACAGACCGAAAAACATAATGCCCCTAGGTGGGGCATAAAAAAAAGTTGCACAAAATCGTGTTTACAAAATTTTGTTTCCGTTTTATTAAGACACACATTCACATAAATAAATAAATGTCCAAACTGTACACTTTAGTATGAGTTTTAGTATCGATGAAATATATCAATTGAAATCTGTACTTTATGATCAAAACTGAGCAATACGTCTTACCCTTTTGTAAAAAAAATACACAACCGTGTTCATGAAAATTGTAACACTCTACAGAATCCACAAATTACTAAAATTTAAGAAGAAACTAAGGTTCCGACTCCCTCATGAAAAGTTTACCTTGGTAATTTTAGCTATTCTTTTAAGGTCCTTTTTGGTCACATTGCCCACGTTTATATGTATCTATACCTCCGTGGTTTTCAAATAGCTGAGTTTGGGAGTTCCTGAGGTAATCCCAGAAAGCGCTTCAGACGCACGAAAATTATAAAGTGGTATTTTTATGTAATAGGAAATATATACATACGATCAGAGTCGAAATGGATGTCATTCAATGATACCCAATTTTACTGTTCTCAAGTTTAAACGTAGACTGTGAAAATATTTCTGTAGAAATTCACACAAATGGTTATTGACGATTAATATGCAACATACCCTTCCTTTTTGTACACCCCCTGCAGATGCACTGTTGATGATATAGATACAACCAAATGCATTTTCTAAGTACTGTTGTATTCTCTCTGTCATTTCTTTACTGGTTCCAATTCCAGGCGTGTCAATAATCACAATTCCATCCTGAATAAAAATAAATTAAGTCTTGCTTGTCGGGTATTATTTTTATTATACAACCATATCTACTTAACTTCAGAGTAAAACAAGTATTTCAGGGGAACAAAAAGAGGCAAAAGATACCAATGGCATGATTAATAATCATAAGTAAAAAAACAAGTCTACCAAACACTTCATCGAAAACTTAAAACTGAGCAACACGAACCTAACCAAGCAGCTCCGGCTCTACATGTTGCACCCTTCGTGTTTCTTATGGCAAGTACAAATTCGACATTTAATATTTTTAATAGATACTCGACTCGTGTTTGTACCTCAGGTTAGTGAAATCTTTTCTCGCGAACATTTTTTTTTCATTTTAGGTGAAATGGTGAGAGTAAGGGTATAATTAATGAACTTGATATATTCTTTTTTATCAATATTTCCTTATATAGCCCCAAATGGCAAGCCAATTTCTATAGTCATAAGCATATCTGTGGTTGACCAAGTTGGAAAAATGCTTTGTGTGAAATAATTCATTTTTAACATCATCATCTCTGTGTGCATACGTGTTAAACAATATCAGGTGACGTTAAATGTTTAGAAAAGTAAAAGTATTCTAACATTGATAAAAATTGGAAATCTAAAAAGGTAAACAATCAGTCTTTCGCTCAAACACAGTAAAAAATTCGATGCCAAATCAAACACGCAAACTCTGTATATTCTTACTTACTTCCAAAATATCAAATGGCCAATAAATTTCTACTTTCTCATTTTCATTGTCATCTACGTCATCAGTGACGTATGATATATGTTGTTTTAATTCCTCTATTCCCTCAGGGGTACTAATGTCTATTTTTGTCTTTTTTCCCTCTTTTGAACAACACACAGCAGTTTTTCTACTGCTGTACCGTAGCTCACAAAAAGTTGCAGAACAGGACAGCTGACTTGTAGGCAATAAATCAACACCAACCAGCAAGTTTATAAAACTACTTTTGCCTGCAACTGATTCTCCTTAAAAAAGAAAATACTTATTCAGTGAATACACTACATAGAGGTTAAAATTTAGAAAACATTAACGGAAGATGAGCATTTATGACCCATTGATACATACATGTCAACCCATTGGTATATTACCTCCGTGAAATAGCACCCCTAACTAGTAATCTATATATTTTAGGTACTATTTGATTAGTACTAGTTATGGATGACTGTTAGTCAACGGTTATTGATAATAGCTATGTAATATTATGTTAACATTTGTTTTTGAGTAAATTTTATACACATAAAATCTTCATGCTATGTTTACCCGTGTTTTCCTTTCTTCCTTGTTTTCTTGCTAGCACTGATTTATGCAAGTATGTGGTATTCGTGGAATTTAGAATCTCTCTATTAGTATTTAAAAAAAATATATATTCAGTGTAAACAGAAGTTAATTGAATTATTTAAAGGATATTTTTCATGTAATTAATCAACAGAAATGTTCGGCGTTTAGCATTTGTGTCAATCAGCATTTCATTTGCGTCAAAATAGTTCTCCCATTTGTACAAATATATATTTTTTTTATCAGCGCCACTACAAACATTTCTTTGGCACCAGTTAACAAGTTTAATAACAGTCATGTAAAACATACGTTTAATATAATTTATTGATATGGTCTATACAGCTTATTTCCTTTCAGTATACCATCTAACCCCTTCTCACAACGGGGAGGCGGAAGTGAGATTTTGATTTGATTTGATTTGATTTTTGGTGTTTTAACGCCACTTTTAAGCACCGCTTTTGGGCTACTTCGTGGCGGCCAGTTTTTATTGGTGGAGGAAGCCGGAGTGCCCGGAGAAAACCACCGACCTTCGATAGGAAAACTGACAATCCTAGTCAATTAAGATTGGAGTCGAGTGCACCCGCACGAGCGGGGTTCGAACTCACAACCTCAGTGTTGACTGGCTAGTGATTACAGTAGTAACTACTTAGACCACTCGGCCACCGAGGCCCCTCAGTGAGATTTTGAGCAGGATTAGTTAATTTTCTAAAACTATTTAATTTATCAACACGGAAAATTGATCATAAATGTTTTGTTTGCCATAAAACAGCAAACATATTGACCTCATATGTACATTAACATATTTTTAGTATGTTCTGGTAGAGTATTTGTATGATGATGATGGATTATTGTTAAACGTTCAGTGGCAAGCTAAATGCATATTCAGGATTCATGATATATTTTTAATATCAAACCTGCTTAGTACCTTAAATACCGACACGCTAATGTGTATTTCTAACGTGCTAGTTCATAAGGCCCCCAGGAAGACAAGCCATCCTAACTGGACACATTATTCTGTTCCAAATCGACCTGTCTTTGCTCTTAATCCTAAATGCTATGCCGTGTGCTTAATGAATAAGCAGCAAATACCAATTTTCAGTATTTGGTATTACCAGCTAGGGATCGAATGCAAGACCTCCCACACTTGATGCGAGCACTCTTAACACCAAGGCGATTAGAATATTTGTAAGCAACACTTCTAATAGACTGGGACCGCACCTAAATATTTTCAAGAATATTTTTCATAGCCAATATAATTAATGTCCATTAAAGTTTATTTAGAATATAACCAACTCATCGTATCAAAAGTGTTCAAATCAATGAGCTCTTCCAGTAAGTCAATACTGAATACAAGTGCATGAAACTTGCATATGTAAACTCATTAAACACCACTTATCTGTTGAGTTCAGATTAACGGTTAATGATCTATAATGAGTGTGATCTTACCAGACCAATTTAAAATGGCGCAAAAGAAATATTTATCTTTTGGCACAAATGAAAAATTTGATATGCCAAATGAAAATTTAGATTTTTTTTCAAATTGTCACAAATATACACTTGTTTCCAATACACATACTTTGATTACAAGAAAACACTTCGAGCAAACCTGCTACGAGAACTGCACATTCATTCGATCTAACTTAGAGCAAACCTGCTACTAGAACTGCACATTCATTCGATCTAAGCTCCTTTATCTTCTGATTTGTTGTTTTTTCTAATGAAGGGAATACTTTGTTCAGACTTGACTGATGGTTGGTTGGTAGCTGTCTGTATATACTGAGCATCTCCTCACAACTCTTGATAAGTCCATCTCTGTTCCTTTTACTCTCGACTATAGCTTCTTTAAGTCCACTTGTGACCTATAAGACGATGTTATAATAATACTTAACGAAGAGTTTTAATCAGTTGTCAAATTTAAGGTCTTTATGTGCACAAACTGCCTCAGTATCACTACCTCTCACTTGCCTGTTTGAGTTCTTTAAATCTTAAAAAGATATTTATTAAAATCGAAACATAGACATTCTACTTAGTAGAGGATGTTATATCTCATCATTTTCTATTGTTATAAGAATTCAAACGAATTTTTCGGCAATAATTTTTGATCAGCTATCTTATTAGGTAGTAAATACGTATAGAACTAATCGTCTTATACAAAGGGAGGGATATTTCATGATTAGAACAGTCATACAAATGTCGTTAATAACAGTTTTCATTGAAATACAAAAAAATAATATTTCATTTAGATTAACCCCTATGAGTTTTGAATTATAAAGCATAGATTTGGTGAACAGAACACCTCATCAGCTGCTGTCACAATCACTTTATTCACTCAGAATCACATCTTCTCCTCTGGAACTCGTGTTCAATGTCAGTGATCTAACCGACTGAGTTAAGAAGTACTACCCTAGTTCAGTTGAGATTAATTGTTAGAGTTTGTTTACGTTGTAACAATGTAATTCAAACAATCTGAACTTTATTATTTTTTTATTTTCAAGATTTTTAAGCAGACTATACAAGTCAGCAGTCTTACGCTTTGGTTATTTGAATAGCTGTGTTGCTGTCTTATTGCCGTATTCCACACGTCTCCATCTCACAAGAAAAGACAAAATACCTTCGCATGGTCTCAAAATCTTAACAAAGCATTTATGCAGTATAGTGTCTATCTTATAAGCATCCATTTTTGTTGGAAACTGCACATTACAACCTTGAGAGTATAACTAAAGGATAAAAGAAGAACCGTATGAGTTCATTATTTGAATTGAAGTGTACTGGAATAGATTCCTGCGTTCGAATTCAAATTCATATTCATATTTTTTTCCATATTATTTCGTCCCGTTTTCAACTCTATAAAAACAAAAATCATTAAAAACTAAGAACAGTCCATTTTTAAAAACTTCCCGTAACGTGCATTTAGAGTTGATTAGGTGAAATACTTCCATGTCTACATAACTTTAGATAACAAAAAAAAAAATAAAAGAACAACGCCAATGTCACCCACCGCTGCACATATTTTGTCTGTCCAATTGTAATAACTCCAGTAACATTTTTTTTTATCTTTTTAAACTTTTCAAAAAAATATCACAAAAAATGTAGGCATGAGAGGGTTTACATTGCAATTGTCTCTATAATTTCTGTTTCAAAGCGGCATAACTCCCGTATAAGTAGTTGATAGCCGCAGATCGAACTCGTCTAATCAATTGCTACGATAATATTTGATAAAAATATGATATAAACCGTTGAAATTTACTTCATAATAATTCGACAAGAAGTATAATCGTGAAAACTCTCCATATTGTTTTCATTTCCAAGGACACTATTTCCTTAAAAAAGTTGATCGGCGCTGATATTAACCTTTGATAAAAATCGGACTATAAATGGAGGAAGCCGGAGTGCCTGGAGAGAACAACCGACCTTCGGTAGGAAAACTGTCAATCCTAGTCAATTAAGATTGGAGTCGAGCGTATCTGCCACGTGCGGGACTCACAACTTCAGTGAGAACTTTAAGACTGGACGGACGGACGGACAGACGGACGCACGCACAAACAGACATTCAAACGCCCGGTATTTCTATGTCCCCGTTGTGATACGAAGCATATGCATTTAAACGATTTAAAGCATCTTGAAACAAAGAAATTTTAAGGCCAGATCTTTCTTTATCTTTGATGCATTGTAGAGTCTTTATTGTTATTATATTTTTTAGTTTACACATTGCCGTCATGAGCTTATACGGGGCCTCGGTGGCCGAGTGGTCCATGCAGTCGAACTACTATATCAATAGCCTGTCAACAATGAGGTTCTGAGTCCCGCACGTGGCATCTGCGCTCGACTCAAATCTTAATTGACTAGGAGTGTCAGTTTTCCTACCGAAGGTCGGTGGTTCTCTCTGGGCACTCCGGCTTCCTCCACCAATAAAAACTGACCGCCAGGAAACAGCACACTATTGCTGAAAGTGGCGTTAAACACCAATCAATCATGAGCTTGTAATGATAAAGGCTTGCTATAAGTAAAGCATTGTAGGAGATTAGTTTTTGAATTCGTATAAAGCAGTGTAGTAGTTCATTATTCATACAGTTTTCTTTATGTATTTTATATAAGCCATTGATTGAATTGGTCCTTTTCCAAATCAAACTTCCTCTTTCAAAATTGAAATATCACGTCCTAATTGTGAACTTCCTTATTGCACCTTAAATAGTTAATGGTTTTAATTATAGTTGGACAATATATTCATATAATAACTATTGTCCTCCTGTGTCATTATTTGGTGAATAAAGAGTCATTGCCAAAAGTGCATGGTGTGCACCTAGTACAATGAAAACCATTCATTGAAATGTCACTTGTTTGTGAAAAGGGTGATTTTTAACACTTAACATATGTATAATCTCAACTAAAGTAATAAAATAAGTAAAAAAAACTTTTTTGAAATCATGAAATCAGAAACAAATCTGAATCAACGAATTACACACTACCATAAACAAAACTGGAACAAATCTGAATCAACGAATTACACACTATTATAAACTTATAAACAAAACTGGAATTAAGGTTCCTGTTTGAACTGGTATTCATTTCTTTTTCTGTCACGAACAAATACTATAATTGTTCATAAACATCAGTGAAAATGCAGACACTTTCAGTTAGAATTAATTTTACAAAATAATTCGGTTGTATGGTCATAGTAATACACGATTTTAATATAAAATCATAAAAAAAATCATTCATGGCTTCTTATATTGTAAAGTGACCTTTATAAAATATCATTTGACCAAAACATAACATAATTAAATTGAATGGATTGGTAAACGATATACATACATGTAATTTAAAACTCTTCATTAAAACAATTGTTAAAAGTCATATCATGAAAAAATGAAACATAATAATAGAATATTTTGAAGTTGTAACCTCATCTGTCGCTTCCCGTTGTGTCTCTTCTCTTGATAACCAATGCTGCATCAGAGCATCTTGAACGGCATTTTTATCCTTAAGTCCTTTGGTTGATGCACCCCATGCCTTCAAAATTCTCATCCCCGTGTTAACGTCAGGGAGTCTGAATATATCATCGGCAGTCACTATTCTAAATTCACCCGACATCGTTAATTTCAAACTTTACAATAAAAACAAGAATGTAAGCTTCCCGGTTTTTAAGGTCAAATTACTAAACCGTGACAATGTTTGTTCTATATGTATTTTAAACCTGAAAGAATAAGTATGTCAAACGTGAACATAAACTATTTAACTTTTCAATGTACTCGTTTAATTCATTTTGAGATGCGATACGAGTTATAAATATTAGAAACCAAAACGAGACAGAATAATAATTTTTTATTTATGAAAAGGGGGATATTTGGAAAACGTCACGTAAAGAAACCAACAAAAAAAAATAAAAAAATAAAAAACAACCAAAACGGCTCAAGTGTCAATACCATGTGTCAAGTTCGAACTATATATGACATTAGTCCAATTTCAGATAAATTATTTAACAGTGTCTACAGAAGATTTGCCTAAAGTCTTGAAGAGGATAATAAAGAAAAATAGGTATAATTGATGACAAACGCTGACGAGGTATCTAACCTTCAATAAGGGTTGGATTAAACTAGTATCTATTTTAGTACCCAAACCGTCCACTTTTTATTTCGATCGGACAACAAAAGTACAAACGGAAATCGCAAAATAAGATTTAGTCCTGTAAGAAAATACATCACCAAATAGTAATGGTATTACAAGAACACTGAAACATTACTCATTAGAGAGAAACACACAATCGACATGATACTTATTATTAATATACATTATACTAAAATAGTGAATTACTATATATAAATATATATGAGGGAATGGACGTTTTCTTGCTACAGAAAAAAAGTATAAAAAAAAACTGAACTCCAAGGCAAATTCAAAAAGAGGAAGTCCATAAAAACTGACAAAATCAAACGGAACTAGAGAAAAACAACTGCCATATTCCTGACTTGGTACAGGTATTTTCCGACGAAAATGCTGGGTTAAACCTGGTTTTATAGTCAGCTAATTCGCCCAGTTGTCTGACAGTTGTAACCGTGTATACAAATGTTAAACAGGTATACCGAAAAATACAGACCAAGTCTTGAATCAGATTTATAATGTAAAGATAAAGTTTAATATTACGCAAGTGAGAAATAAACCATTATCTAATAGAAAATACTTGGCACCATGCTCTTTTTAATAATAAAGGCAATAATATCCGAAGTTTTATAAGAAGAAAGACAACTCTGATTTTTCTTATGTTTATATAATATCCAAACAAATGCAGCGGGTTTACCCGTTTTAATAGGCGCCAATCTTCACCCTACCTGAAACAATAGTGTAACATCACAACATAGAAATACACACTATAAAATATCAATTGAAATGGCTTAACTCAATCAAAAGACATATTAACAAGAACAAGTGAACATACACTGAACGAATAGATTTGATCTATGACACAATGTAAATACAAAATTAATAAAACAAGGGGGTTAGATGTAAAACAATATCAGAAAGACAACCATAATCTTGGACAAAATGCCGCCAAATAAAATAACGTACACAGGTAAATAAAAATAATTTTGTTGTAGGGAATACATGGAGTACGGAAATATTTTTTACAAAATAAATGATTTTGTTGTTCCTAGTACGAGAACAAAAGTGAAAATTTATCGTCATACTAAACACTTATCAAAGGTGTACTTATAAAAATAGTGAGACGAAACACTAAATACGTAAATATTAAATAACAAAAATACATTACAAATTGTATCAACAGGTCAAATTAACACGAAAGTACGATTTGAGAGTACTGGCAGTTACTGAAAGCTAGTTAAAAGCCAAAAACAATTAATAATAAAAAATCATGCATCAAAGACTAAACTCAACTAAAACACATCCCAGGGATTTAGTGTTTTAACGTCATGGACAGTCAAAGAAGACATGACTTGTGCAATGCCAAAATAAAAGTATCGACAGGCAGTAGGATAGTTAGGAGTTAACCTGTTAATAAATATGTAAAATGTAATATATAGATAGAGTAATCTCTTTATAGAAAAAGAACGTGGATGTGTATATATACATCCCAAAAAACCGTTTGAAAAGAATACAAATTTAGTTATGTTTTAATTTGCTGATGACAAAATCGATATTTGTGCCAGTGTAAACTATATTCAAAGATAACATGTTCTCTTTCTGATAAATTGCATGATATAGTTGCCAGTTGAAAAACATTCTTCCGTCTGCCTATCTATTTATACCGTATAAAAGAATCTTCGCATTTCTAAATAGTTATTAAAGCCTGCTCAAAGAACTTAACTTGATGTTATAGAAAACAAGCTTTCTCATGTTATGTCTTCTAAGAATAAACTTTATAAACATAGCAGTCTAACTTGATATTGCGCAATGCTAAAAGTACTTATTTGACCATGTATATTCTCTGTATGATACTATTATTCATTACGTATTTAAAAGTCTGAATTTTTAAGGCTTGAAGGATATCATAAATTTTAGCTATGGCTTCATGATATAGTATGACCGTGATGTTATAGCAAAGAAGTTATAAGGGAGAATTTCTATATTTGAATAAAATAAGCTTATTTCAGGAACCTTTTGGCTACATTTGCATTTATTTTCTAGCATGTATAAGTCAACAATCACTATCTACCTTTTGACATCAATAAGACATTAATCCATCAACACAAAATTCTGAAGATACCAAAAGGTCAACTTAAGGGTTTCAACGATTAATAGACGAGTTTCTAAAAAAAAAACACCGTTTAACTCGAAAACACAAAAATGCAAACATTACAGACCATAACAGAGGTATGGTGGTCTATAACAGAATCCTTTTCATTTATGTACATACCAGGCGCAATATCTGAAAAAAAGACGATTATGATCGATCTCTAAATATTTTCCATAGAACGAGCTCGAGGATATAATCACAAGTTTATAACATATTTACCTGATGTATAAAGTAACTATTAAACTTACCATTTCTTTTGTCTCTCGTACAACATCTTCTCTAAATATGCAATGTTCAAGAAGAAGGTCTTGTGCTGCTTTCGTATTTTTCACACCTTTTGTTGGTATTCCCCATTGTTTCAAGAATTTCATCCCGGTCATCATGTCGGGGAGTTCGAATATATCATCAGCTTTTTCGATGCTAAAATTGCCAGACATTTTGTCCGTTATATTACTACTTCCTAGTCCTAGTTTTACTTGTAGTCAATAGTTCTGCTTGATTACACAGTAGTTAACCCTACTATTTTGAGTTCAGTTCAATAGATAAATTTATTAAATATAAAGTCCTTTGTTATATATCATAACTATAGCAAAGTCTTTTCATAAATGCATCTTTAGAGCAGATGAATTGGATCTTAAGGTGAAGAAATTGTGCAAAATTGTCGACCCTTGTAGTATAAACTCTTTAAAGAGAATTGGATTACCAAAAGATATTTTTACATGTTCTGTTCACGACGTAATTTAAACCTTGCATGAAACTTTACCAGTTGTAGAAAAACAATCGATACGTTTATAGCATGGTATTGGAGTTTAAAGTAAGTATATAAATCCGTCGTTTCTGATTGGGTCACATAAAAAGTATTTCCATGTATTATATTTACATTGTCTATTATTTCGAAATTACAAATCCTTTTCCGTGAATTTATGAAATAGTAATCGTATTAATTTTGGATTACAAAATAGGGAATGCAATTGTACTTGTCCATTTTATTAATACGCAGTATCCATAAAGACAGTCCACACGAGATATAACACGATAATCATTGGAAAAAAATCCGAATGATCATCATTATTAAGGTGCTCTTAATCCCCTTTTGTCTGATGGTTATTCATGTTGTAGTGCCGTTGAAACTTCCTCAACAAGCAGAAGCACCAGTGTGAGAGAGAGGGTGCAATTTTTAACTGAACAAATTCATCTAGAATATGTATATCACGTCCGTCTTGTTTGATAAATCTACCCACGTTTTAATTTTGAATTCCTAAAACATGACTTATTAATTGAAGTAAAAGAATGTGTCAACTCTATGTAAAAGAGGAAGAACATACCAAAGAGGCAACCAAGAACCATAAATAAAAAACAAACAAACATAAAAAGACAGACAGCACCATTGCCAAAAAGAAAAACGACGAAAAGACAAACAACAGTTCATAAAACACTTCACAGAAAACTAAAGATTAAGTAACACAAAGACCACAAAAAAAAACCCCGGGATTGATATAAGGTGCTACGGAAGGGTAAGTAGTTTCTGCTCCACTAGAAGTACCCGTTGTGTTACTCATTGCAAGTAAAAATAAGGTGATAATTCGCATTCGATGATGTCACAATCGAGGAAAAGAGGACGGGATCGTGGCAACGACAAATGGAACATCACCGTGACCATTTTTTGACACAAGAATTCCATAACTTTCAACAGAACCACGATGGCGTCGATTGCTTTGAATTTATGAAGCATCGATAATGTGGAATTAATAATGACTGCCTAAAATATAACCCTGATTTAACCCTCTTTTTTAATTGAAAGTGTCTGTAACAAGCTATGGCTGCAGCGATAGTTGTTCTAGTGATGCTATGTTTAAAAAGGTTTTCTCTCAATATCGGCGAGTATAAATGAGTTCTGATATTTTTTATATAACTTGGACTTGATTCGCTTTTTATTTCATTATTCTAAGAAACATGGTCTAAATCAAGAAACAATACACAACACATACTAAATAGTTTGATTTCAACGTCTTCAACTAACATATCAATTACATTGAATTTCTAAGTTTTTAATAATAGTTAAATCTCATAATCTCGGGGTTTGCCAAGAAAAAAATGTCTGCTACCACTGACTCATATATCGCTAACTTTCCTCATCGGGGATTCTATCAATAGCAAAGCCTTTTTCGGTTGAATGGCTTGCATACATCCACTTCATTTGAACTTTGGTGGATAGTTTTCTCATTGGGAATCATACCACATCTCCTTTTTTTTTATATTGGAATGCCTTTTGAAGCCAATATTTTAATAATATATGTTTTACAACAAAGAAAATATTGTAAAAACTATACTTTGAAGAAGATGTATCTCTAACAGGAGTATGATCTGTTTTTACGATAGTACATTTTATTATAGTATTGATAAAAGTATAGCACATACACGTGATGAGTGCATCAAAGTCTGAAAAAATAGACATGTTGGTTCCATTTCGCAGCATCTTCAGAAAATATTTTAAAGAACTGTTTCAATGTTAAAATAAATGTTTTTAACAACTTAAAATATTGATAATCATATTTAAAACGCTGCATATTTCTTTTTATCCAACCAGAAATAAATTGAAAGAAACTAAATTCGCTGTCCGATTTTTATCGTAAGCACGAAAAGTGTAATGCATCAATATAGAGTTTGAATAGAATAAAGTTTTTTGGCAGCAAAATACACAAACATAAAACATTTTCGTTGCTTTCGCTTGAAACTTGCCATTTCATCATTGTAGAAAATATGTAATCGATTAAACTGTCAAAATTTAATATTTATTCTGTAATAAACCCATCTTAAAATACAAACCTTTAACTACTTCGTTGAATAGCACTTTTGTATTGTTTAGGCAAATATTTATTAAGCGTTTGGTGTAATGAAAGAAATTTAAAAGATTTTTACAAATTGAGTGATAAAGTATTAGAATTCCTTTTCCTCCAGATATCAAATATCATCACAGAAACTAAAAAGTTAACGGTTATTTTAAAAACGTTCGTGATTGAATTTTTTTTTCTTTGGTTGAGTGTTAAAATTTATAACGATTACATCTGCTTGCTGGATATTTTTCATAGTGATTTTATAAGTTATGCCGCTTTTTGTGAAGTTGTCATTAAAAAATGATCATGTTGTTCAGTGTACCTACATAGATCTATATGTAAGATGACCACGATTTACGACTACCAAGAGTATAGAACAGTTGAGTAATCATATTTATAAATACCACTACTCACAAGACTGGACAAAATTACTGCACTATCAATTCATTCAGTCCATAAGAGACATTTCTAGGACTCCTCTTTTGAATATCATGTATTTAAACTGACCGATGTGGATTTGCATGGAGACCAGCGGTAAAGAATGTCTTTTTTTTATGGGAGTTAGGAGCGTTTTCTATTATAATATCATATGATCGAATATCAAGAAAAAATTTAAGTTCCAAAATTTAGTTCCAAAATCGAAACACATATTTCGATTAAAAAGGTGTCATTTACCCCCATAACGACCTTCTATCCACCAAACTAACAACAAAATTTGCACTGCTTGTAGAGGTTATATATAAGGATCAGGGGCCTCGGTGACCGAGTGGTCTAATTGACTTGGATTGTCAGTTTTCCTATCGAAGGTCGTTGGTTTTCTCCGGGCACTCCGACTTCCTGCACCAATAAAAACTGGCCGCCACGAAATAGCCCAAAAGCGGTGCTTAAAAGTGGCGTTAAAACACCAAAAATCAAATCAAATCAATATAAGGATCATATTTAATACCTTGTATGGTCTTTGTTTTAAGAGACACCTATCATCAAAAGACAATCGAATTACATAATGTGTATGATGGAAAGACTCGATCTCATAATTATTTAGTTTATTGATAACCTGAGCATGTGTACCTTCAAAAACATTTTTAACAGTAATGGTATTGATGAGCATGAGAGAGTATCATTTAAGTCGTTTATAGTCAGAGATAAATTCTTAAGAACATCAATAATATAACAGCCAAGATATTTCATCAATAAAACCAGTTTTTCTTTGATGTATTGTTATTTGCTACTTTGTCTTTGGATTTTATCTCATTTTCACCAACCATCAACCGTCTTCGTCTCACTTTGTAAAAGAAACATAACAGTTTTGTAATAACCAATGCTTTGGTACAAAGAAATCGATAATGCAATAAATTTTTACAAAAATGTTTTGAAAAAATGTTCTACATCTCTAGCATCAAGTCGCTTTTTTGGTTCATCATTCCAGCATGTTACTATGACATCTTTTATTTCTAGAGTTGGAGGGGTTTCCAATTCTAATGATGGTCTCAGATTATCACTTTTGATACCTTCTTCAAGATTCATATTTTTATCACGTAAAATTTTTCCTATATGCTCTGCAGCATCCTGGCCGTACCAGATTTCCCAAAGGATAATTGCTAGGCTATAGATATCTGCTTTTCTATCATAAACCCCGGTTCGTAGTATTATCTCTGGTGCCATATATGCAAGGGATCCTGCAAATGTCCCAGATATGAAATTTTCACTTTTTGTCAATCCGACATCAGTTAATTTAACAATATCTTCTTCGTTCTTTCTTGTAACCTATAAAAAGAAACACAAATGCTTTATTTCAGGTTAGAATGTACTTAATTTCTTGAATTTTACAACACAATTTTAGTTTCAGAATAAGCATTACAACGTATTATAAAATCTGCGGTAGGAACTGTTGAAATAAGGTAGTTATCAATGTTCAATTGATTTATCATAGATCAAGGTAAAAAATAGAAAAATAAAAAAGATTTTCCGGACCTTATGGATGTCCTTTTTTTACTTTCTCAAATTGGTATCCTCTTTTCAAATTTGCCGATTTTGTCTCTTCACTCATTAACGGTCATGATTAATCATTGATGTAAAAAAATAGGATATATCATTTCCGTCGAATAACACGTGTTTTTGGATGACCTATTATATCCAGTACCAAAGTTTTGGAAAGCCAGAAATATAAAAAAAAAAATTGAGAGAATTAAAGCAAAATAGATCTTATCGGGTAGTCACACAGAGAATGATGTAAAGCAGGTAAGGACTAACTTAATATATAGTCCTCACTATTTACTCGTAATAAGAGGAAAATCACGAAAAAAAAGGAAACCTGCCCAAGTAGGCTCATCAATTACTGCAAATGCATTGTTTTGCTACTATTACAAAGAACATTTTAAGAAATTCAAGATAAAAATCAAAAACAACATTTTACCTTTTATTTAAATGATAAAGTGTGGGTTTTAAATATTCTAAATCATACAAAAGAAACTATTACATGTAATACTCATTTTAGTCAACTGATGAAAGAAAGCATACAGACAGATATATCTAATCTATATTATCGCAACAGTCTACAACAGAGTATTAATCTACACAAAACATGATGCACAATGTAAAAATTAAAAATAAATTTGTTTTGTAATTACGCATGCGGAAGACTTATATTTCTTTTATATTTTGGTTGCAAAAAAAAATTACATAATATCTTGCAATGAAATTTAAAACCTGTAACTTGAACGATATAGAAGTTTTGTCTTTATTCAATTATATGCCTCACATTCATGTCATGCAAGGTGCATTCTATTTGATACTTTTTGTCGTATTGGATTACATGGATTTTTAACCAAATATATCAATAAATTACAAACACATTCAAATGGAGTGTCTGTAAAATAAGTCTTATAATTTGAGTTTTTTTTTAACAATACCGATACGTCATCTAATCAGACTATAGTTTTCTTTCTTGCAACAATGAGAATGTTAAACCTGACAGAGATGTTAAAAATTAAGATTACATAGGACATCAATTCAAGGCCCAACATCGACATAGATTTGAGTTTATATCTTTTTTTTAACGAACAAAACCGACTAATATTTTTGTGACTTTATTGGTGTGTAAAATTATTCTTGAGATGCATGAAATATTTGTTACTAGACCTTAATAACACACACATAATCATGTTACAGAAGATGGTTTTCGTTTGTTTCTTTCATATGTGTTAAATGATATGTATATTATGTACAAGTTGTAATTTTGTACAAAAAATATACCACTGGAATAGAATATATGCATGCCTGATACAAAACACTAATGCACAATTTTTATAAGGACAATATATGATAATTTTGGTACTAATATAATCTTACTCAATCTGATGTCCTCATTTACAGTTTATGCCAAAGAGGACAATGCTTATAGTTATGTTTAAGTATATTAATATGTGAGGAAACATATTAAGCTGGTTAATTATTGAATACAAATTTGTATAAGAAATATAAAATAAGTTGTTGTTAAAATGATAACTTTAACAAACAAGAGGCTCTCAAGAGCCTGAATCGCTCACCTGTAATTTTTTGCTTAAATCTTTCATCAATAATTATTTTTGCTTTTCAATATATATATTAATGAGTGGCTTAAAAATGCCATTTAACTGTTCTTTGTTTCTGTCATATTTTCTTCATTTTACACTATGTTCTATTTTTAGCCATGTCAACCATATTTTCTGAGGAAACAGAAAATAAAACACAAAGTTATTCTAGATAACCTAAGAATCATTCAGCTTAAGTTTGGTTGGAATTGGTTCAGTAGTTTCAGAGGAGAAGATTTTTTAAAGTTAGAAAACATGATAAACAAATTGTGTAAAATTGTCCTTATTTGTAGATCTTACTTTGTTGAACATTTTTACTGTTTACAGTTAATCTTTATCTATAATAATATTCAAGATAATAACCAAAAAATCCAAAATTTCCTTAAAATTACCAACTTAGTGGCAGCAACCCAACAATGGGTTATTAGATTCATCTGAAAATTTCAGGGCTGATAGAACTTCACCTAATGAACACGTTTACCCCCATGTCAGATTTGCTCTTAATAATTTAGTTTTTGAGATATAAGCCAAAAACTGCATTTTACTATGTTCTATTTTTAACCATGGCGGCCATGTTTTTTTAGAAACAGAAAATAAAACACAGACTTTATTTTAGATACCTTAAGGATCATTCAGCTTAAGTTTGGTTGGAATTGGTTTAGTAGATTTTAGAGGAGAAGATGTTTGAAATAGTTTACATGGGACGGACGACGACGACGGACGCCAAGTGATGACAAAAGCTCACATTTCCTTCGGAAAGGTGAGCTAAAAATATGCACAGATTGAAATTCCTAATTTATACAAAATAACGACTTTTCCCTGATAGATTTGGCTATTATTTTTAGGTCCCTTTGGGTCATGTTTCGGTTCTTATGCATCCTTGACTTTTACAATATTTGGTTTTGGGCGTTCCTAATGAAGGTAAATCCAGAAAAGCGCTTCGGACACATATTTATAAAGTGTTGTCCTAATTTTTTTACTCTCCTTTTAATGTTTACAATTGTGAGCTTAGTAACAAATATATTTGACATCTAAAAGCACCAATAAGTATATAATTATATTACCAGCACATTTTCGAGCTTTAAATCTCTATGAACTAAGTTTTTGTCGTGTAGATATTGTAGTCCTGCACACAGTTGAACTGCATAGGAAGCCATTGTCTTAATTTGGTTGTTTCGCATGTCTGCCGGTGCACGCCCCGGATTTTTGAATTGACCACCGACAAGTTTATTTTTTAGTGTATCAAAACAAAACTCTAGAATCATAATCCACTTCAACTTTTTCATGCCATTTGTCTCCGTTTCCAGTAATACAGAGCCATAGAACTGAATGATATTTTCATGCTTTAGACTCCTGAAATGAAATATAAAGATTGTTATTTAGACTGGTGTAAATGTACGTCAAAAGTTTCAATATAATAACTTTCGCATTATGCATCTGTTATCGAACTTTTTATTCGCTCAAATTGTTTATATTTATGGCTTTCCATTTTTTGGTTAAGAGTGTTCTGATATGAATGTTATTCCAGCGCACGGAAATCATATCATTTAAACATTAATCTTGCGAAAGTGAATGCGTACGAACAAGACAATGGTGATGCAGTGTTACCAAGACATTAAAATTGCCATTTCGTTGCTCAGTCTTTAGTTTGCCATGTTGCTGCTGTTTGACTTTTTTCATTGTTTTTATTTTTGCCAATATGTCTGCTACACTTTGACTTATGAATTTTGATTGTCCCTTTGATATCGTTATCCTTTTTTTATATTTTATAAGGATGCCTTTTACCGTAAAGTATACTGAAGCTCTGAAAGACTTGAAAACTTAGTGAGTGAGTTGTGCAAATGATTCATAACTTGTATATATTTTTTTTATTTCAATTTTTAAACCTGAAAACTGTCAGTAACAGTAAAAATGTTTGTACAAAGCAAATATGGGGTATACAATATTAAAGTTATTGTATTATAGATTGGACCCCCCTTGCCTGAAAATCTATTTCAACCAATATTTGAGGAATGTTTCATAATTATTTCAGATGATGCAAATGTGAGAACTATATAAGAGGCATAACAAAAGTTAACATTCGACAACGTCGATAACTGCACTGCAGCTATGAACAAAACACATGGAATATACGACCTAACTAACTTCACGCACAAAAGGCGTTCATGTTTAAACTAGCTACAATAACAAACAAAAAACGGCATTTAAACATCTACTGGTCGCCAAACGGCATTTAAACATCTACTGGTCACCAAAGGTCATTCTGTGGTTTTCAAAATAAGTAGGCGTTCATAAGTTTTCTAAGAAATTTTCAGACTTTTCAAAGACGCATCGTTTTTAGATTTAAACTAAACCGAAGTAATATATAACATAAGAATTAAGTATACCTCAGAGTATTTTCCTCTCTTAAGATATCCGTGACTGTTGAATCTTTAACACTGTTTTGATCATTAGTTATCTTCAGAGCTACATTGACATTGTCCTGTCCAACTTTTATGCTTGCTTTATAGACATTAGCAAAACTGCCTACTCCTAAAATATCGTTTGTGTCCCATCTAATTGCATCATGGGAATAATCTTGTTTCATACATTTTGTAACGTAGAATAAATCAAGCTGACCTTGGAGGTCATTGGCACGTTTGCATAAAGCTGGATAAACTTTGTTTATGTCACTTTTTGTGTCATTTAAATTTAATTCCATTTCCCATAGAAGCTCATGGTCGGCTTTAATAAAATTTGGAATTTTATCTGCTACAGAATCTATTCCTTTGATAAAACGTTTAAGAAATTTTGACAGACTTTCACGAAGTCTCTGTCCATTGAATATACTTTCCATAAAGTGAACTGAAGCGTGCATCATCGTATTTTCTGGTGCTTTGTCTATTCTATATTTCTTTAAAAGTTCTTTGACTCTCTTATCTGTGGTACTAAGTAATCCTGCACAACTTACTGCTGATCCTAATCCTCCAAGAGAATTTGAAATGTTTCTATCTTTGGATTTTGATAACATCTTAGCAGTGATGCTGTTTTGAATATCGCTAGACTGGACATCCCCACTAATTCGCAAAACAACTGTTTGTAACATAAATATTATGTTTTTATGTGTAATCATTTTTACTATTATTATCCAAATATTTCAATCCTTATATTTAAAAATTCACAAAAATGGAGTATTAAACTGTAATCTTCTATAAATTATCTTGATCATTTATATAAATATATTTATCTGTTCAAATGTGAATACCAAATACAAATATAAAACATTAAAGAGTGTAAAAATTATTTTTAAATCAATTTACGACAATAAAACAGATTTGGTATTTTTGTTGTAATTGACATGAAAACAGCATCTCAAGTATTGCTTGCTGTATTTTTCATTTCTATTAATAACGAAATACTGAAAATATGAAATTATAGGAAATCCATATTTAAATGAAAGAGGTGTCGTATAATTTTCAATGAGAAAACTATCCACCAAAGACTAAAGTATAAGGATGTAATCTAGTACAGCCCTCAACAATGAGCAAAACTCATACCGTATATTGTAAGCTATAAAAGGCCAAGGAAGAAAAGATTGTGAAATAATTTTTCAAAAAGATAACCAACGGCCTTGTGTAATAAAATGAATAACATTAACCGAAAAACAACCATGACAGATAGCCACCTACAACAACCCCTGGACTACATGGTATTGGATTAAGACAAGGACATTAAGAATGTGGTGGGGTTGAACATGTTGGAGCGTGTTTAACCGTCCCTATAACCTGGGACAGTGGTATGACAGCAGTACATTAGAACCTGACATCATCCTCGGCGCTAAAACCTGGTTTGATACAAATATACCACCTTATGATTACCTTCCATGAGAGTTATATAATGTGTTTACACATGACAGACCACCAATTAATGGCCAAAGTCATGGTTATAACAAAAGAGTTCATCAGCTCAGAAATAAAAGAACTACAGATTATAAAATAGTCTGGGCAGAAATTGATATTACAGCTTCAAAAAATATCATAGTATCATAATTCTATAGACTTCCATCTGTCACCAGTCTAGTGCTAGAACAATTCCAACAGTCACTAAACCGAATTAACAAACAATCAAAACCACAATCATAATAGGGAGAGACTTTAATCTAGCATATATAGATTGGCAAACCACTTCTAGTACACCTGGATACTTATCAGAATCAACATCAAATGCTTCTAGAAATAATAAATGAATCAAATCTACACCAAATTGTCAACCTTCTAACAAGAAAAGAACGAAAACTTGATCTTTATCAACAATCCAACTTTCATAAACTAAGTAATAACTCTACCATATATATTGAGCTACGTGACCATGATATTGTCTATGCCGAACCAGACATCTGGCTTAAGATATGTAATTTCTACAATCAAAAAGTTTAACAAAACAAACAATTTGATTTTCATGTGATTCGGACTTTTTATGAAATATTACACTGTAAATACCCAACAGTCCAGATTTCGAAATTATGTTAAAGAATTGGCGATATAGATAGAAAGCGAGGCCGGTGATCCCATTTTTATTGGCTTATCTTTAAGCCTTTCCCTAGACTAAAGTGTAAATAAAATTTAAAGAAGATATAATTAGTAGACCTGAATAGAAGGATTTGTCGTTAATGAAACATATTGTTACAAAGCACATCATTAACCATCTTGAGAATATTTAGCGTTATGTTCGATCTCCAACATGGCTTTAAATATTCACAATCATGCGAAACACAATTACTATCATTTACCCAAGAACTATCAGCTGCAAACAACAACACTCACACTGAATCCAAGTCATTGTAAGAGTTCAAACCATATTTGAAAGTGATATTTGATTCAACATGTTTTAAATACGCACACTTGATATATAGTTTTGGAAGAAAAGATTATTTACGTTTTTAAAGATTATTTAGTAATAATAAAGAGATAATAAAGAGAGAAATATTTACCAGCAACTTCTTGCATTTGATTATCCATCAGCTTACACTCTTCTTCAAATTTCTGTATGATTGTGTCCTGAAGTCCTTGTACAAAGTGGTGTTCATTTTCCCAAGCGTCAATGACTTGCATAATTCTATCTGCAATCATTTCTGATGCGTCTTGTGCTACTTTTTTGTAATCCGCTTGTTTAGGACAGTCTTTTGCTACCCATGTACAGATTTTGTCACGAGCTGCCCTGGATCTCAACAGATCAGCCATTTCTTTATGCAGTAAATCAATTTGTTTTTCGGCAATATGTTTTGCAGATTCCAAAACTTCTTCAGCATCGTTCTTTAATGTCTTAAGTTGATCTCTTAGTTTACTTATAGTGTCTTTGTTTACTTTAACGTCTTGTGCTTCCATTGATTGGGTCACTTTTAGCGAAAAACAAATTCGTTGTAAAACCATTTTCAACCATCTGAAATATTAATTCATTTAAAACTAAATGTTTTGGTATTTTGCATAACGATAAAAGATGAAAGTTCAAAAATTTATTTTGATAGAAATAAATTTCAATTACACATTTTGCTCGCCGCGATATGCGAGTATTGAGGCGGTTTAAAGCAAACAATTATCAATATAAAATCTTGTATTGTAATTAATAAACATTGCTTTCGTTGAAAAATATAAAAGCAAACATTAAAAGCAGATTTTTCTTTATATATATAGGTGTGTTTGCTTTTGCTTTACTGTGCATCGAGTACCTATCTCATTGGCGTATATCTTAAATCTCCTTTAATTCATTTATATAAATTATGTCGTCCAACTATGTTTTACTTATGGCCGTTACCAAAACCAAATCCCTATATAATTGTTCCTTTGAGAATTATAATACGTAAATACAGAAAATTGAAAAGTGTATTATCCTCTTATAGTTGATGTGTTTCCCTCAGTTTTAGTTTGTAACCCGGATTTGTTTTCTCTCAATCGATTTATGACTTTTGAACAGCGGTATACTACTGCTGCCTTTATGTAATAATGTTAAGCAGGTTTTTACATTGGTTTAGTTGGTTAAATTTATTACCGTTTGCACTGCTTTTACTTTTATTATTATTATTATTATTATTATCATTATTATTATTATTTTGTGTCTGCACAATAAACATACATGCTCTCACTTTCTCTTAGGTGTACGTTGATTAGTTTTGTGAAAAGAGAATTGGCTGGAACATGACCTTTATAATCCTTCATATCCTAATATTTACCTATAATGTGATAGTAGTTTATTTTTTATGCTGGCTGGAATCAGACTTTTAATTCCGTTTTCAAACAAAAACTGAAAGTCTGGAGCTATCGAACCGAAAGAGACACTTTTCGCTGCCTGTAGAAAAATATCAAAATATCGGTTACATTCTAAAGTATGCTTTAGCAATATAACAAAAATAAGATACCGAAACGAGAGATATAAAGCACAAAAATCCTTGTCTAAAGCAGCTTGAATATAGGTCAAATTTAAAAGTTATATTTTTAGCTAAATAAGAAGCTAAAATAAAAAAAAGCACTAATATCATTGCTTTAACGAGAAGCATTAATCGGATTCAGTGCAGATAATAACACATGCACAGTTCAGTCCAAAATTCATGTTATCCCCCTACCGCTAATATATTAACTTCTTTTATTTACAATTAAAAAACAGTAATTTGCACGTATAATCAGAAAATAAAGTCGAACATTTTTTGTTGTTTCTACAATAAGCACCCAAAATATTAGAATTGCTAGAACAAAAAATGTCTAGTTCTATTAGATAATGCACTAGGTGTAGGTAACTTCGAGTACTTTTTTATCCGTACTTTTGTCTTTGTGTTCGTTCTGTTATTGCCGATTTTTAAGCCCTTTTTGTTATTTTTGAAGTTTGTTTTAATATGTTATGCACGTGCCTGTCCTAAGCCAATGTCTGTAGTCCAGTGGTTGTCGTCTACCATACTTGATTTTCGTTAGATATTGTTTACTTAAAATAGACCGTTATTTCAGATATGATTTTTTTGCTATTCAGTGACCCTTTAAAGTTCACCCCATTACAGTATAGATTTGATGTCATTGATGGCACTTTATAGATGGCCTGCAGTTATTTACATGCTTATGTTTGTTCTATGGTGAGAAGTGATCATATTGGCTAACCACACCACATATTCTTAGTTTTTTCATATATCCACCAAAAACCACCTCCAATGTATCGTTATACATTTTTATTTGTAATCTTATTTTCTGAAACATAACATATTAACAAACTGATACGACCTGAAGAGTGGAGATTGTAAACACTTGTTCATCTTTGACCTCTGGAAAAATCTTTTTTAATTTGGTCAAGGTTAATGACTTGATCTCCCTCTGCTCTTGTGGAGGAACCACGTCCCATTTATTGCAGACGAATAAAGTTGCACGTGAATCAAAGATGTCATCTGATGAGTTAACAACTGAACGTAAAAAATCTGAAAGCTGAAATAAGTAAATTGATCCATATGAGAGTTTGCATGTGTAAAGAAAGTGGTAGTAAAAATATGGAAGTTAAAGTTGCAAGTTTATATTTATTCATTCAATGCCAAATTATATTAAAAACTAATTTTATAAACTAAATGAACTGCCAATGTCAAATTAATTCGGATACGAGTCCTTCTTGTTTTAAACTTTTTTCTCCCTCTTCCTTTTTTGTGGGGATATCGAAACTCTTAATTTTCATGTATTAATCGTGATCTTACTAATCTTACATACTCTTCCTCTCTGTAATCCTGCAGCTTGAGCAGAATCTATGATGTAAATAAATCCAAATGACTCTTTCATGTATTCCTGAAGCCTTTTAATGATCAATCTGTTTTCTCCAATTCCTGGGGTGTCAACTAATACTATTCCATTCTGCAATAGTTTAAAGCAAAATAGAAAGTTTAGTTAAAATAAGATTATATAAAAAAGAAGATGTGGTATGATTGCCAATGAGACAACTCTCCACAAGAGACCAAATGACACAGAAATTAACAACTATAGGTCACCGTAAAGCTATTCTCCATTACCTTTTACTTGATGTATTCTCTTGTGCAATTTTTGGGGGTTTTGACTTCTGTTTTTCACTTTTGTTACCCTTTTCCCTTTTACTTATAAGATAAAGTCAACAAGATCCCACATCCAAAATTACAAAATACTTTACCTTTTTTATCGAAGTGGTTTATTTTTCCGTTATTACTTATTACTACAGATCACCAATACCATTTATTTTTATATTTTACCTTTATAATTTCGGAAGGCCAGAAAATTTCGATTTTCTCAAACGGACTTTCATCATCCTCATTTAATTCTTGAATGTGATATTTTAGTTTCTTAAAGTCATTTTTTTCATCTTCGCCAAGGTCTAGACGACGGATTCCTTTTTCATCCTTGTTGTATAAAATCGCCTCTTTTTCATTATTTCTACTGTGCCGTATCTCACAAATTGTAGCAGTGCATGCCAGCTGTTGAGTCGGTAGTAAATCTTTCCTCAAAATAAGATTAACGAAACTACTTTTCCCCGCTACTCTATCACCTGTTTCAAGAAAAACATACAGCTTCTGTTCAAAATATTGATTATATAAACCCCCTTCAAAGATTTAATGACAAAAAATGAGTTATGTTTTTCAGAAGAAAAAGTTATCTATGATGGGTTTTTATTTTACTTGGGTCTTCAGTCTTATCTATTGCTGATTTACTATTTATTACATATTATATCAATCTTACTGGATAAAAAAAACAAAACACAAATATAAAGAAGTCACTTTCTTATACAAATTATTAAAGCCAAAATAATTATGTTGCACTTCATGAATGAAACATTTTCTTATTTCAAATTCACTACGCATTGTGATGTAATGTGCCATGTATATGTATTTAATAATTATAACAGTCCAATTGAAAAATAAAAGTCAAGAACTAGATGTACCTAAAAGAAGATTGCACTGTAAGTGCTACAATACAAATATTGGTATATATTTTACTATACATGGATTAAGTTGAAACAGCAGTACTACCGGTGCAAACATTGACACAACTCATTTTAACATGCACTACAAAATAGTGCAAGAGTTGTAACCTTGGTTACCTGCGATCAATATAAAGCAATCTTGGGAGAGTATGTCTCTCTGTCTGTATTCCAGTTCTTCTGTGAAATTTTGGAAAACACTATTTATATCTTTCTGTAATATATCATTCAGCTTGTCATAGAACGATTTCACTTCGACATACTTCTGAAGTAATAATTCTCTTGTTTCTTTGTTGTTTACTACAACTTCGTCAAGGTTTGGAGGTTTCTGAATTATATTAATTATTTCAGTATTATTAGATTGTTAATATCGTGCAATGCCAACTTTTGGATAGTATAAGACCAAATACCTTGGTATGTGAATTACGAGAATAAGAAAACCTTCAATTTTTTTCACTTTTTAAAATAAAGATACTTAAATGATATCTAAATTGAGGAGCATTAAAATCAACTATTGCAAAAAGTGGTGTCAAATAAAAAGGATATATAACTGTCAATCTAGAAATTGAAGTGTGTATCATAAATGAACACAGTTAACCGAGACATTTCAACCTGAGTCAATCATGAAATTGATCCTTAATATATAGGCCTTTGTACGTTTTAGCTTTTCTGTGTCGCTACTAGTTGATAAAGTGCAGTGCAATATCTATTCTATTGGATATAATGAATACCTAAATCTGATGTCTTACCTTTCCTTCACCGGAAGTTGTATGTTTCTTATCCCATTCATTTAACAAAACTTTAATAATCTGATCCTTTGTTCTAAGGCCTTTGGAGATAAGTCCCCATGATTTGACAAATCTAAAACCTGTAGGTACATCTGGAATACCGATTATATCGTCTCGACATTTAATTTCAAATCCTTTAGACGACATTCCCTTTTTCACATATGAAATGCTTGGTTCCTGGAATGCATTTATTTTGGTTATTGTTAATCATAAACTGCATATTTAATCAGTATAATACATCCTTGTCCATAATTTGAGATCGATTAGAAGTTTAAGTCGGTACTTTATTTCAGAAATAAAAATGTGTTTATAAGGGTCTTTTGTTCTTCGTAGTTTCTAGATGATTTTAGAATGATATGACAAAGATATGTATGTGTGTAGTGTCATTAACAGAATGAAAAGTTATTTAAACAACTGACAACGACCCTTAAAACATCTAATACTATTTATGTATTAAGTGATTTGCTTGGATGGATTAGAAGAATGGTTTATTTTATTCCTCTTATATAACTAAATGGGGACCATTGAGGGGAATGTTGTGAGCAAGTTCTTTCAAAAGGCAATCATACCTTAAATGGAAAAGAAAATTTTGTTAATAAAGCTTGATAATTTTCCATATCTTTTATCGCATACAATTTTTTTGTAAGAATAAAAAAATGGGGTTTTTTTTTTCATTCAAGGGTAAATACCATTGTTTATAAATGTGCCAATTTTCGACCGTTTGAATATACTGATATGGTAATTTGGTAATATGAAACAATTTTTAGCTAAATCTTAGTTCCTTCAATTTTTTCTCACATTGATTATCAGTTTGTTTGACGTTTATTATAAAGAATGACACTGTTCCCAATTTGTATCTCCATCTTGATATGGAAAAACATAGCAGCATGACAATAAATGTTTTTAACAGGATAACTTTTCATCAGTTTATCAATCCTACATTTAAAATAAAACTTATGATTTGTTTCAAAAATAATTTGTTCCGTTTTGTTTTTAAATCCTTTACAGGGACAAATTTGTTCTAAAACCAACGAAATTTTCAGAATTATTTCTAAACCTGCAAGACTGGGGGAGGGGGTTATGATAATATAATTCTTTTTAATTAATCTAGAAAAAGTTGTAGAACTCAACTGATTGATTGATTATTGTTTGCTTAAAACGTCCAGTGGCGCATATCTCATGTATATTCAAAAGACCACATTAACAAGAAATCAAAAGTTCTGCAAAGATGACTCAAAGAAGCCAAATGAGAATATGTTGGATAGTTGCACAAACAATTTTTTGGGCTGGGTTCTTAAACTTGCAGAGACTACACGACTTATCGGATTTAACGTCCCGATTCCAATGGACGCGTCTGTGTATCTATGCATCCCACACAGCCAAATAGCCAAATAGCTAAGTTTTTTACTGCCAAATGGGATAAGTCTAATTATGACCATATGTCTATACGTGTCTATCATTAGGGTCAGTGAAATGAAAACATATGCCAAGAAAAAAAAACACTTTTCAAGACATGAATTTAAGAGGAGAATGTAATTTTTCCATTTTTAAAATCTTGTCATTCGATGTTCTTTAAAATTAATGTTAGTAAGCCAATATTGTGTTTTTTCTCATTTTATTTTCCAGATGTTAGATAAAGTTTGATTTATGACTTTTGAAATTGATATTATTTTTTAATTTAATTGAACAAAAATTATTATGAATTCCAACAAGTCAGGTATAATTAAAGATTACACCCCAGTTCTATTGTTATACTTCACAGTTTCTATTTCTTACACCCCAGTTCTATTGTTATACTTCATAGTTTCTATTTCTGAAACAAGTGTAAATTGAATAGATCTATTGTTACGAATAACAAATGATTTTGACCACAGGGTGTGACGAGCGGGGTTTCTGGAAACCCCTGCTTCTACATCCCGCAAACAAAGTCCATTTTATTCGTAACAATAGAAATTGATTATTTTTTAAATAGCATGAACATAAGGAAATTACTAATATTGTTCACTACAAATTGTTTCAAGATATTAAATTTTTTTTTTTAGGAAATTCCAATAGCGAAAAAAAAATAAAGCATCTATTTTGAATACAAAATAATCCTTTAAATACTCCTTTGCTTGAAGGTAATTTTTTTTTATCCCAGTCATATGTCTCTATTCTAAAGCATATATATTTGGTTTAAAAAAAAATGGGGATTCTAACTCCCGGGACCCCCCCCCCCCCCCCCCGGTTACCCATTAGCCGATCTGGGGTGGGGGTTCCGCGGTTTGGACCCGACTTTTATTTAAAAGATCAATGCATTTGAATGGTTGGACCCCCCCCCCCCTTTTTTTTTCTTGAGTTGGGAACCCCCAGCTGGATTAGCCTCTGTTTGCCCCCAAAAAGGGAGTTCCTAAATATTAAATCTGTATCTTTGTATGTAGAGCGTGTCTGGTAGTCGGGTCACACCTATACCTTAGTATGTCCGAACATGAATGTTTGTTTATTCTCGAGAAGAGGGGGGGGGGGGTATAAAACCGTAAGTACAGTTATGATTACCTTTATTACACTGATACAGTTAAGTACTTTGGGTTATAATATTGCCTTTATCTTAAGTCTCTTCTACCAAATCCAACGCTTGCCACATTATGTCGTCCGTCTTATACCCGTCCATATTGACAACTGCATACAAGGATCATGATGTATTTTTTGTTTGTAATAAGAATACACGAAACGGTCAACCTTGACCCGCTGATCCATTTTAGCACATGGATTTAACGGGAATATGCAAAACAACTTTGACATTTGTAAAATATAATCACTTGTCAAAGTTTGAACAAAGATACCCTAAGAAAGGTTACTAGTGGGGTTTCATGTAATCATTAAAAAAAAATTCTTATAAATCATGGTTTGATATTGTCGATAAATATGCTATCGTTTTTTTTTTTTATTTAATAATCAATGTTAACAAATATAGGGTTTAGAATGGGGTGTAAGTTAGTTATACACCTCGGGATACGGCGTGTCTGGATAAGAAACCACTCCGGCCTCCGGCCGACGGGGTTTCTTATCCAGACACACCTATCCCTCGGTGTATAACTATCACTTAAACCCCAAACAACATAGTGTTTGTGTGTAAATCACATTACATAAACTGCTTTATAAATGAATTAGGTATTGACAATTCACTTGGAAACGCAACTTATACCTCCACGACACTAACCAAACAGGAAATCCTTGATAATCATAGGTCTGTTCTATGTTCCTTTGGAATTTCAACCAAAGATGAAGAACTGGGTTTTCCATCACTTTATTGGATACCTAAACTATATAAGTGTCAACCAACGGTATATTGCTAGGTCTTCCAAGTGCTCCAGGAAACCTCTTTCTAAATTAATAATATCAATTTTATCAGTAATAAAAGCCGGGCTTCAAACTTATTGTGAAACTACCTATTCTAGAGCTGGCGTGAATCAGATGTGGAGACTGAAAATTCCAAAGATCTTTTAGAGTACATACAATCTAAGACTCTTTCATCTTGCATTAGTATTAAAACATTTGACTTTTCTACACGTTACACAAGTATTCCCCATTCCAAACTAAAAGATAAATTGAAAGAGTTGGTCCTGCTTTGTTTCATAAAAAAGAATGACCAATGTAGATACAAGTATCTTGTCTTAGGGAGGGATAAATCCTACTTTGTAAAAAATCACTCTGATTCAAACAAAAAAAATTTCTGAAACTGACATTATCAAGATGCTTGCTTTTTTGATTGACAACATATTTGTTACGTTTGGAGGATGTGTTTTTCAACACACAATTGATATTTCCATGGGAACCAACTGTGCCCCCCTTTTTACCGACGTGCTGCTTTATTCATATGAGGCTGACTTCATACAGGAACTTCTTAAGAAGAAAGAAAAGAAGTTAGCAGTATCCTTTAACTTTACTTTCCGCTATATAGATGATGTTCTCTCACTAAATAATTCAAAATTTGGTGACTATGTTGAACGCATCTATCCCATCGAACTTGAGATAAAGGATACAACAGATACAGTTAAGTCTGCATCATATCTTGACTTACATCTAGAAATTGACAATGAGGGTCGGTTGAAAACAAAACTTTATGACAAAAGAGATGATTTCAGCTTCCTAATTGTAATCTTTCCATTTCTATGTAGCAACATTGCAGCAGCGCTTGTATACGGAAAATATATCTCCCAGTTGATACGATATTCCAGGGCTTGTATTTCCTATCATGATTTCCTTGATAGAGGGATGCCAATCACAAGGAAGCTATTAAACCAAGAGTTCCAAGTGGTGAAGTTGAAATCATCCCTTCGTAAATTTTACGGACGACATCACGAGTTGGTTGACCGTTATGGAACATCTGTTTCACAGATGATAGCGGACATGTTCCAAATGTCGTAACTACAATCCTGTCCTTTCCCCCGAATGTGACCTACCGATTTAGACTTATTACCGGGTTTGTACTAACATGTTCAACACGACGGGTGCCACATATGGAGCAGGATCTTCTTACCCTTCCGGAGCACCTGCGATCACCCCAAGTTTTTGGTAGGGTTCGTGTTGCTCAGTCTTTAGTTTTCTATGTTGTGCTTTGTGTACTATTGTTTGTCTGTTTATCTTTTTCTTTTTTAGCCATGGCGTTGTCAGTTTATTTTGACTTGTGAGTTTGAATGTCCCTTTGGTATCTTTCGCCTCTCTTTTAAAAGAACTAAATGTTTCAGATACTTTGAGATTTGCTTACAATATAATTAAAATGCTGACAAAAAGAGGCTGAAGATAACAAGGTAACATTACAAATTTATAAGTCAAAAGAGGAACTGACAACGCCACGGCAAAACACAAAAGACTATGAAAAGACACAATACACTAAATATAAAAACTAAAGACTGAGCAACACAAACCCCATCAAAAACTGGGATGACCTCAGGTTTTCCGAAAGGGTAAGCAGATTTAGATGGCACCCGTCATTTTGCTCATTGTAAGTAAAATATGTTTTGATTTAATCGTAGATATTAAAGGTCTTTTCCTGGTTCAGTGTAGGATAATCCTTTATTTTTATTTTAATTTACAGAAGTTTTATAAGCATAAGTATTAATATTTTTTTATATGCGAATATGTTGAGTCAATCTTGAATGTTTTCATGTTACTCATAAATTAGTTGTTGAGCAGGGTCGTTATAGAAAGATGGACAAAGATCAGAGAATTTGTAAATTTTGTATTTTAAATTCAATTGAAGATGAAATTCTTTTTCTAATGGAATGTCCAGCATTCGAACAACAACAACAAGTATTGGTTGAATTCTACTTTAAAAATGTGTAATAATTTCAAAAATCTAAATACAGAAAACAGATTTATTTGGCTTCTTTCTTGTGAAAATGATGACATATGCAACACTGTGACATTAACTTGTTATAAATGTTGTACAACAAGAAAACAACTGCTACAGTTAAATCCATATTATCATAAGCATTATCGGTTTTTTTTTTTTTTTTTTTTTTTTTTTTTTTTTTTTTTTTTACTTATGTCTTTATGTAATCATTATATGTAACATGCCCTTCTTGGGCCGATAATTGGTTTAATAAAGTATTCGTATTTGTATTCGTATTTTGTTGCTACCATTGGATATTTGCTGAAATACTAAAATTCTTCTTATATACCACACACCTGTTAGTTCGTTCGTTTTTACTACGATAACTTATTGATTGAGGAATATTAAGTTGACAAACAATGTATTTACGTGGCAACCTTAAAAAAAACTAAGACAATCATACTAGATTCTCCAAGAGAAAATGACACTTTCCCTGGAAAAAATATAAAAGTATGAGAGCAGTATCTAAATAGATTGTTTTCGAAAAAAATATTCTCGTGCTCTAACTTGGTTATTTATGTATCATGGTCACTAGTTTGTCAAACTTTCCTTTATTTGAGGCACCATTAATTTACGCAGTGGGCTTTTTCCTCGGAGTGCTGGAGATTCAAATAAAAGAAATATCTAAACCCTATCGTATCAGTCTTTTAAAGACGAAACGCGCGTCTGATGTAATGAATTTTATCTGCAATGATTCTTTAAAAATATTAAAAAAACAATTACTCTAGAAACACAATGTACATGTATAGGTCACCATGTTGGAATCTGAACTATGCATTTTGTTTTATAGTGTAAAACTTTTACCGTATATGGTATATAGATAGGCACAGGTGAAGGTTTGTGCACATGTAAACCTTGTTTTACTGACCTCATTTTATGGTTTTACCCAATCAGGCTATGTGGACCCTGTCTTGTGCGTTGTTGTTTGTCTTTATTGTAACGTATACTGTAAACCAACTTATTTTCGCGGATACTTTATTACGCGTTTAGCCCTTTCTAGTCCACTTCGCGGAGATTTAATTTCGCGATTTTGTAATTTACTTGATGCAGTTAAACAAGGGAGGATCTAAGTTATACATATTCGCGACGATTTAAATTTACGTAACTTTTCTACTCGCGAAAGTCGCGAAAATAAATCGCTCGCGAAAATTAGTTGGTTTACAGTATTTCTCAGACGAATAGTGATTGGTGTTATTTGTAGAACTGTCCTATATTTCTTTTTGATTATTCCTGGTATCCTTTTAATGTATTGCTTAATTTTAATTGTCCAGTAGAAAATTTAACACATCTATGATGGATAATATTAACCTTTATATAAAAGAATGTAAATACACTTAAAAAGTCAACCACGGAGTAGACAATCGATGTTTATAGACTAATAAGATTGAAACGATAACGATAAGGTAGTGAAAAAAAGTAAACTAATACGTTTGATCCATATCATTTCCATTACCAGAAATATTCTTTTACTATACGTTGATTTCTCACGTCATTTAAACGTTTTATTGGCTTACTTGATTCCTGTATCTTTGAACTGATAAAGTAATTGTGACTGCTTGACATTTTTCAAACACTGGTCTTTATTCTTATGTACATAATCCAACCCTGCATAGTGAAATATATTAATTTTATCATTTGAAAACAGATATCGAAGCAGTCATAAGGAAGTTATCCCCATTAGAATATTCATCCCTTAGCTCAACGTACTGACGTAGATTCTATGCCCAACAAACGCACAAATTACGTCAAATAACGTCACCCAAAACCAAACACTTTGACGGAAAGTTAACAATTGAAATACATGTATTATCGTAACATTGTGTTTCAAAATCTGGTGTCTTTTCTAACACATCTCTATTTTGAATTCTATTATATTTGTATGCTGTGATTTCAATGAAAAGAATACACAACCTATTATTTGTTTCTATTGTCTTCTAGAGGCAACACTATTGAATACATGGAACAATTTGCCATCAGATGTAAAAGATAAGCAATCGTTAAAACTTCCTTTTTATTAGCAGTCTCGCAATACTTTGCTGAAACTTTTGCTATAATTAAATAATAATATGAATACGTATTTATTTGAATATGAGATAATGTACTTTGATCTCATATTGCCTAGAGAACCCTCACGAAGATTATATTTGCTTTTTGAGGTAATCCTCTTGAAATACAGATAATTCTTTTATTTTTCTTAAAAATTGAAAGATGCAAACTAGTACTTAAATATTTTTACTGTATAGACACATTGTTTTTATTCTACTAAACATGTTTATTTATTGTATTTTATCGAAACGATACACAATCCGGAATGCATATATAAGTTTTTGTCCACCCGAAGAGCTTTTCCTCGATCTACCTCTAATCAGAAACGCTCAACATAAAACCTTTGAGAGCCAAAGATATATAAATTCTCAAGGAGATACATACAGTAACAGACAGATATCAAACGAATAGCACAAACCAGTTAAGGTCAACATTGCCGACGGGAGTTGGAACGTCAGTTTCTATGTAATTTCTAAATATTTAAAAAAAAATAATCAATGTTATAAATCATGTCAGTGCCAAAGCACTGACTACTTACCTACTGGCACTCTCGTGGACTAACAGTCCATCAGCAGCGGCATTGACTCAGTGCTAGAAAATAAAAATAGCACAAGAAATTTGGTGCGTCCGAGACGCTTTCACCAGATTCACCATGAAAAAAAAATGAAAGCCAAGTAAAACAATGATTGAGGAGCTACATGACCAAAATTTACCTAACCAAAAAAGGGAGTAAAATCAGTCAGTCAGCGAGTCTTGTCACAGTAATTGTATTTCAGTCAGATTATTTCATGGATGTAAAAAAAGATGATTAAAAACCTGTTCGACGTGCTTGTTTCAATACTGTAGTTACTGTAGCTAATATATGATCTGTCATTCACCATACAAACAAGCAAACGTACACCATATGTACACCATTAGAATATATATTTGCATATAATTCGAATAAGTTCGTCAGTCCAAAGCATTTCTACTTAGCAGATGGTGACAATGAAAAAAGTAATGTCACAAAAATACCGAACTCCAAGGAAAGTTCAAAACGGAAAGTCCATTAACTAATGGCAAAATCAAAAGCTCAAACACATCAAACGAATGAAAAACAACTGTCATATTCCTGACTTGGTACAGGCATTTCCTTGTGTCGAAAATGGTGGACTAAACCTGGTTTTATAGCTAGATAAACCTCTCACTTGTATGACAGTCGCATAGAATTCAACCATGAAAACCATTGTTTGACATTCAATCCGAAGCGGTACAAACTCAGACGTAAGATATTGATTTCAATGAACAGGATTCTAGCTTCTTGCAAGTTATTTTTCATAAATGTATATTCTACCACAAAGCCCCGTTGAATACAATATTTACTATTATTCCACTGTAAGTAAATATTGATAGCGAAATCAACATTTGATTGGTTGAGACTATCCGATGTAACATTGAATAAAACTTCATATTCCCCTCTGAATGTCGGGACTTCCATCTGCGACGTTACGCGCGGTTAATGTACACAACATTTTAAAGATTTTTTTTTAAAATAACAATAGTTTTGTTATTTTCGTACTCAAAATTATTTTAAATCTAAATAAAAAAAAAAATAAAAAGAAGAAATAATTAACGTTTGATCGGTATTGTTTATCAAATTTGTTTATTTCCTATTTAGTTTTAAAAACAAACGGATTAGAAAAAATGTGTGTAAATTAATAATTTATGCTCAGGAAGTAAAACAAATTATAGGCAGTGGAATAAAGCATTCATTTCCGTTTGCTTAGGGAGATATGAAGATGTGTTTACTCTCGAAAACTCACATTTCCCTCGGCGATGCCCTCGAGAAATACGATTTTTCTTGGTTGAACAAATCGTTATATCTCCCTCACGCACGGAAAATAAATGTATAGTATCCACCAGAGATATTGAAATTTGAAAATTAAGCTATCAGAGTGGATAAATAGGGTTGTCTACGGAGCGGTACAATATGTTTCTCTAATGATTTAATGGAAAATGCTTGATGTAACGTTTTGAATGGATATGGCGGGATATTGCGCGAGACAAATTTAGTTAACGTGTTGTTTTATTAAAATTTATCAAACTGGTCAAACCGGTTAAAATGCGAACAGAATTAGATAAAATTATACACATAATTGTATTGTACTACTATTTGAAAAAGTTTCTTATATATTGTCAACTGTATTCACTCTTTAGTTGTATATATTGTTTTAGGCTATACCAAACAAAATTTTATTTTTTAGACAAACTCTCTTATTGTAACAAATTTAGATTCATCATCCGACTAAATCAATGACACTAATGAAGCAAAAATTGTTCAAAAAATGTTTTAACATCTGTAGAATCTGGTCTATGATCTTTATCCTTTGACCAGCATGATTTTAACAAATTTTGCCATTTTTCGTCTGGTTTGTGTTTCAGTGTTAATGAAGGCCGCAGTCCTTTATTTATCACTGCTTCATCAAGAGTAGTATATAGCTGTTGTTGTATATGATCTGCGACATCGAGTCCATACCACATCTCCCAGAGCAATATTCCTAGTGCATAAATATCTGCCTTTCTGTCATAAATTCCTGTCGGAACAAGTACTTCCGGTGCCATATAAACAGGGGAGCCAGTATTGGTTCCACTAATGTCCCTTTCCTTCTTCGTAAGTCCTACATCGCTTAGTTTGACTACATCCTGTCCGTTTTTATTCTTCACAATCTGCAATAAAAACAGAATTTCACATGATTATAAAATGTCAGTTGATTACATGCAATGTATTCATTGGGAAAAATCTACAATTTCATGTTCAACAAAAAAAGGGAAGGAGATACAAAAGATGCTATCGAACACCATCAATATAAAAAGAAATAAAACAAACAACATCTCTACCGAAAGAAAGATAAGTACAAAGACAAGCAACAGATAACTATAACACTACATAGGAAATTTAGATTAAGGTGGCTGGGGCGTCTTAATTAAAATTGATAGAATTTTTTAATAAATTGTCAAAATGAAGTTTTTATCATGCTTTTTTCAAAAATATAATAAAAAGTATGGATCACCGGACTTTTTTTCACGCTACAGGTTGTGCAAAATTGTCAGATTTTGTATAGATTATGCATGGAAAATCAAATTTGGTGTGATAAAAAGAAAACTACATGATAGAATTTTAAGATATAATGTGAGAAGATAGCTCTTTTAACATGCTTTCATATAAGAGAAAGAAAAAATGGGGTCACCGAACTTGTTTTCTTGCTACAGATTAAAATAGGTAAATTCATAACACTTTCTATTATAAAAATTACTTTATCTGAGTTATTTCCCCTTTTTTGGCAAAGTTGAAAAAAAATTAATCAAACACAAATAAGGTGTTTTTGAGAAATTACAGCCGTAATTAATATAAAACACTCAATTTTCTATATTTACACCAAAAGTCTAACACAAGAATTATATACTATTAAAATTTGCACATTTCATCAAAGATCTAGACCAATGTTATCTGCTACTTCAAAATCCAAGATGAAGGAAGACACCCGAGCCACCTTAAGCAACACAAACCCTATCAAAATATATGGGGTGAATTCCAATGTTTTAAGGTGATAATAGTTCCCGCTGAAATAGTGAAATTCGTCGTGTTTCTGCTGTTAAACTTTGTTGATAATACAGATGCGATTGTAAGGCGTCACGCGATAGCGCATTATGTTTTACAAATATAGGTTAAATAAAACATACTGCTAGACCTAATACAAAAGTTTGAAACGAAAAAAGTATTTCTTGACATTGGTCAGATGCAACACAGAAAACGTCGACGAAAAGCACTACCAACTCCTTTTAAAAATCTCGGGGTGAACAGTTCTTGCTCAACTTATGACATCCTATGCTACGAAAAATATTGGGAAGTGTATTCTACAAAGTTTGATACTATGTTTGCCCTAGGACTTTTATTAAGATTGACAATTGTGAAGACATTTTGTAGACAGAGGTTCATTCGTAAAAAACAGTTGACAAAGTTTTAATCGGACAATAATGATGGCAAAAATACAAATAAAGAATTTGAGTTTCAAGTAAATTAATTTGAAGTTGACGCCATTCTATTGTGTAATGTTAGTTGGGATGTCATAAAAAGTAAAATAACAAAAATACCAAGGAAAATTCAAAACGGAAAGTTCTTTATCAAATGGCAAAATCAAAAGCTCAAACACATCAAACGAAAGGAAAACAACTGTCATATTCCTGACTTGGTACAGGCATTTCCTTATGTAGAAAATGGTGGATTAAACCTGGTTTTACAGCTAGCTAAACATCCCACTTGTATGACAGTCGCATAAAATTCCATTATATTGACAACAATGTGTGAACAAAAAAAAAAATGTCTTACAAGATGAAATCAACATGTTATAAATTCCATGTGTCCGAAGCGCTTTTCTTAATTTACCTCTATCAGGAACGCTCAAAGCCGAATATTTGAAAGCCAAGGATGTATAAGAATCGAAACAGTTGAAGAGCTATATGACCAAAAAGGACCTAAAAATAGCCAAATCCATCTAAGGTCAACTTTGCCTGTTGGAGTTAAAACTTTACTTTCTTTATAATTTCAAAATGTATCAATGGACAACTTTAGAATGGTTTGTTTTTAATCATGTCATTAACAACGTCAACATATTTGTTCTAAAATTACCAAATAAACATCTTTGTATTGGACTCATTTAAAAAAAATAAAGGACAAAATTAAAATAAAAAGAGATACATTCTGCTGTTTTGCATTTAATGAGTCACAAAGAAAAAATATAAGACAAAGTTAAAAAATGACAATACTGATAATTGACAAGCCATCTTCTTTTGAACATCTGAGTATTACTATTCAATAGATTTGTGATACTTCGTTTATTTCAAAATTTAACTGCCCAAAAATGGGATTGATCATTTTTTCTCCTTTCAGTATACTGTAACATAATGTGGTGTAGAAATGACTATAACTTCAGTGTGCAAATTCATCCGGTACACTAGAGAATTGTACTTTTGAAAGCAAATTCATTTAACATCTTGTAAGATCAAACAAAAAAGTTCATAAACGACAGCTTTTAAAAAAGCGTTAATAGTTTGTCAAAGTAAGGCGACGGTAGTTTACCAATGTTCAAATTTCACAAATCGATTAAGAAGAGACAAATCAAGGAAACAAACACACTGAGGGAATCGCATACATTGAACTTGTAAAAGGTGTTTGCAAACTAAGTTTTATTTAAAGACATACTCAATTTATACACAGAAAACGTATTTTGCTGTCAAACCCTTTTTGGTGAAACTTTATTCATGAAGATCGTTTAAGAATCACAATATCGTAAGATTTGACATATACTTTTAGTTTACAATAAAAGTGACATTAACCGAAGGAATCCTACATCAAACTGATATAATTATGATGTGATCATGGAAGATAACACAAATCAAATGATAATAATTATCAATACCAAGAACATTACTTATTAGACTTAAGTCTTTTAAATTTCGTTAAGGTTTAAGAAGATTTGATATGGCCAAAATTATTTATATTTTTATTAGCTCACCAAAATATTTTCTAATTTCATATCACGATGAACCATTTTCTTTCTGTGTAGATATTCCAATCCTTCGCATATCTGAATGGCATATCTTGCAAGCTCCTCCATTTGTTCTACTTGTGCAGAATATATTTCAACTTTACCAGGATTGTCGTAGTCTGGGCTGAGGAACTTATTTTTCAAAGTATCATCACAGTATTCCATTATCATAATAAAGTGTACCATTCTTTTAGTTTCACCGCTCTGTTGTAATATGCAACCATAGTATTGTATGATATTTGGATGTTTTGTTTCCCTAAAATAAATATGTAAATCTTTAAAAGAAGGGTAGAAAATGTGCTCGGCTAAACATATTGGCATTTGTTAGTCTACACTTTTTAAAGAATCACAAAACACCGAAATTAATTTTATTTATGAAATGCACATTTTAAAACTTAATATCTCGTCAGTTTTGCTCATATAATAAGATATTAGGAATTCGAAAATATAAAACTAAAGTGATGTAAAATCAAATAGGTCGTCGAAATACTGAGCGTCGATAGAATAACACTACAATTTCACAAATTCAAGGTTTTTTTTCAGCTGAAAATTTCTCGATCATAGTAATATGAGGCAACAGTAGTTACTTATGTTCAAAACTCTTTTATCCATTTAGAATATACAAACTAAAAGGAAAACTTAAGGAATCGCAGGAACTCCAAACAGAGCGATACCGTCTCCGTCAATAGAATAAGCGTCTTCTGCTATTTATGCAGCACTATCCGAATTTCACAGTAAGGAATAAGACACAATTTTTAAATATCAGGTCATACGACTATTCTGGTGAATAAAATTGTACAGGATGAAAAGGTTTCTCTCAAATGGTTAACCTTTTACAAACAGAACTTTGTATTATTTGAATTGAAACAATATGTTTGAAGACTCATTTGGCAAATCAAAAAAAAAAAAAACAAAAACCATAAAAAAAAAGACAAGCCAGAACATATTAGAAAAAAATGTAATGAGAACAGAGACACAGTACAAAACTAGAAGTCGAATGTATTAAAAATAGCATAGCGAAAACGACAAAAAAATAAGTTTGAATCCCATGCAAAACCGGGACAGGCTGAGGTGTTTTAATTTGTACTTAACCAGAGGTGCCAGTCATATGGCTAATAACAAGTTGAAATCCTGTGACGAATTACATTTGGTAACAATTCATTATCGAGGAAAAGAAGAAACGATAGGGGCTTTGATAAATGGAAAACATTTCCACCACTGACATACACTTTCTGTTACTCTTAACCAAATCAGAATGGGGTTCGTAAAACTTTCAAAATTATCACTTGAGCTTTTTCGACAATAACCCTTGGTTTTTAAGCTTCATGTTTAGCTGCAAACGACCAACATAGAAATATGGAGAAAAATACAAGATCGAAAATATTAGCGTTGTATCATTTTGAGATAGGTAGGCACTGGTGGAATACTGCTACACAAAAACAAAAATTTCTCAATAAGAAAAGTGAAGCCACCTCTTTTGGAGTAAATCTAACTTCTTAATCGATTCTCGCTGGAGATGACCACCAACGCGAATCAAATACAGTAAACAATAAATTGCAAGTAAATGCAAAATCGAAATAAAAAAAATTAAAAAGGACACAATATGTATACTTTTAAGCAACACTGATAAGTAAATCTTTGACTATACAAATATTTTCTTGTCATGTTGCCGATCAAGAATACCTTAACGTTCTATCTTCCAATAAAATGTCCGATACGACCCTTTCTGACAGTGGATCTTTACAATACTTCAGTGCAACGATTTCAGTATGGCTGGATAGTTTAAGATGACCTTTGTAAACGTCTGCAAAACTTCCACTTCCTAAAAGATCTTTTCTGTTCCATTCAACGTCACTTAATCTGTAGTCCATATCCATGATATGATATACGAAAAACAAGTCCAATTCACCTTGAATAGTCTGACCTGAGGAAATAAACTGTGGATACATTGTATGCAAATTATCATCTGCTTTTCTTACACTGTGTGTCAGTTTTTCTAATAGCTGGCTATCTGCTTTTAGAAATTCAGGTATTTTCTTGGCAATCTCATCCACGCCTTTCACCAGTTTCCTAAGATAGTGCGAAATTTTATCTTGTAAATCGTTTCCATGAACAATTGACTCAATAAACAGATCTGTTGCTTCTGCCATTTTCCTTGTACTATTTTCTTTTTTGTAACTTTTAAATTTTTCTCTAAATTGTTTGTTGCTTGCTATTGCTGCACTCGCGACTGCTACAGCTCCGCCTAAGCCTTTTATGTCATCTATATCATCTCTTTTTGCTTTTCGCCATATGTTTTTGACAGGTGCTTGCTTCTTTATTGATTTGTAAAGGTCCTTTATCATTTTTTTATCGTGTTCTCCAAGAAGTGTACCTTTAAAAGAGAAAAATAATAAAACAGCAATACAAATGTCGTTTCTTTAAGTAATATGCTATGAAAATTAGTTTTTTTAAGTAAACTGTATTAACCTATCATGACTATTTGTGAAGTTATTTCCCATAAATATGTAGTCACAAAATGAATTAAACATTATTTTACTAAAAACAGTGAAATACACGGTAAATTATAGAATTTTAATTACTCAACCAATATTTACTTAAAGTGACATGTTGTTCACATCCTGATCCTTTTGCGGTCTCCATGGCAATCAAACCAAATTGCTTTATTTCTATAATGACCTCCATGAAATCTTCAGAATTAAAAGAAGTTGAAGTTACCCACATACGCAAATAACAGCAACCCAAAAACAATAAAAAAAAAAAGGAATATCCAATTTTTCTTGACACAAATACATGTGGGGCATTGCTTTGCTTATAGATTTATGTAATAGTTTTATTACTGTTTTCAAACATCTTGGTATTTATTTTAGAGATGTTGATAATATGTCGTCTTCAATTAATCCTCATTTTACAAATACTCGTTTATGACTCAGTTAAATAAAGACTGATAACCCAGATCATCAATCTTTTGAGATTGTGGTGATTTCATTGTTCTAATTTTCCAACTTTTTCTCTTTTCCTACCTGTCAGACAATCTTTTGTCAAACGAATTATGAATGGGTAGTCTAAATAATTATTCTCTGTTTGAAAATGTATAATAGAAAGCTTTGTTTTTCTTTAGAAAAAAAAAACTAGCAAAGATATGTCAGGTTTTTGCCAGAGATTGTACCTTCTATAGCTTCAATTTGGTCCTCTAGAAGGTCGCAATCTCGTTTAAATTTCTTTATCAATTTTTCTTTGAGTGAGTGGACAACTCGTTGTTCCTTTTCCCATTTATTAAGCTCTGCTGAAACTTTACTTGCTATTTTGTCAGCTGCTTCCTTAGCTAACTTCTTATAACCATCAGGACGTGGACAATCTTCCTGTTTCCAGGCAGTCAATGTGCTTTTCATGCTCGGTGAAGTTAAAACGTCACTTGTTGTTTTATGCAACTGAATTATCTCATACTGCAGTTCCTTTCTCAGATCGTCAATGGTTTGTCTTGATTTTTCCTCTAAAGCTTGCATATTTCGTTTGATTTCGCCCATCTGTTTAGTCATTTCTTGTTTGTCCACAGCGTCTATTGTCTTTGAAACTTTTAGGGTATAATTGGCTCTTTTAACTATTTGAGACAACCAACTAAAATCAAAAGTAAAATTGTAGAAATCAAATAAATAAGTCTTGCGTACAAAATTATAAATAAATTTATGTGCGGTATGCGTAGGAATTTCCTTATCTATTTTAGTCTCTTGTTTAAAAAGAGAATAAACTAGTTATGCAAATTAGTAGGGTATCTAATAGTGTTTTAAGTTTATAGAAGGCTTGGCGGTGACCACTCGACTTGCAGACAATTTGTCTGATGTCCGATTCAGAACTAGACCTTGACGAAAACAAATTTAAAGAGGCTCGTGACTAGTCAATTTCGGGTTTACGTTCTGTCGCAGAATCAACAAATAAGAAAAACTAATTCAGAACAAGACTAGTCACCAGAAGTTTCTAGTGCAGATTTGTTTTCAATGATGACAACTTATTTTAATAACAAACTTTCCGGCATAGACAAGATTTTTTTCTGCAAATACAGAGACATTAGTAAAGAGAGCTAAGAAAGCATATACCACCTTTAAAATTAAGAGGAATCAGGTACAATTTGAACTTAATTGGGATATTCGAGATAGTATTAATACTGCAATTAACTGCATTGAGAAGAATCACCCAAAAGGCAGTCCGGGTACTAGAAGATTCATTCACTCAGCTCAAGAAGAGACATACATTGATTAGAATTGCAGGTAGGTCCGTGGCCGGTTGGAGAATTGTTAATGAATTCCTTTCAGATGAAGTGACCAGCGACTCGGAAGATGAGAAAAAAATACTGTAAACCAACTAATTTTCGCGAGCGATTTATTTTCGCGGTTATAAATCGTCGCGAATAATTATGTAAAACTTGGATCTTTCCTTATCTAACTACATCAAGTAAATTAGAAAATCGCGAAATTTAATCGCCGCGAATAGGACTAGAAAGAGCTAAACGCGAGATAAGTTGGTTTACATTACGTGCAGCGGACAACAGGGCAGTCAAAAAGATCGAAGCAGAGAAAACAGATGAACGTAGCAGCAGAAAGCGTCCGACAGAAGCATCGTTCAGCAACTCAAATGGCACATAATGGTACAGGTGGTTCTGATGCTACATTTCGCTTTGAGCCCTTTCGACTACCAAATCAACGTCAAAACTTCAGACGTTTGCTACCACCATAGCATGCAAAAGTATTGGACAAGAGACTGCAGAAAGGGAAAGGCAAGGAAAGGAGCTAATAGAGGATCTTCTTGCTAAAGATCAGAACTGTGACATTTTGAAGGTACAAGATTTAGATATTTCTCGAACATATTATGAATATGATAATTGTAATTTTGATATTTATGTTAAAAGTCGTTTGAAAAAAAAAAACATTAATTTTTGGAAACAAATTAATGCTTCAGATTTCATTTTTGATGTTATTATAGACGGTTATAAAATTCTGTTGCTTCGTGAGCCTGAAGAAATATTTTTACGAAATAATAAATCGGCATTAGATAACAGTGATTTTTTTTCAACAGCTATTACAGATTTAATGAAAGGTGACTTGATACGTGAAGTATCGAGTAGACCGCATGTGGTTAATCCTTTGATCATCTCGACTGCGAAAAATAAACACAGGATTTAATCTTGTTTTCGACTACCTGTTTGTTCACGTGTCTTAAATTTAGAATTAACTAAGATTGGAAAGTAGTTAAACAGTATTTATTTTCTAATTGTTTCGGTTTTGTTTTTTGATATGAAATCAGGGTACCATCATCTTAGTATATTTTATGAGCATCAAAAATGCTTAAGTTTCTCCTGGAAATTCGGATGTGTAACAAAGTGTTTTTGTATTTTATGTACTTCCTTTTGATTTGAAATCTAGTGGATATATCTTTACTAAAGTTGTTCGACCTTTGGTTAAACATTGCCGAAAGAAAGGAATCAGAGCCGCCGTTTATTTAGATGACGGGTTTGGTTTAGCTGAGAAGGAAAACACATGTAATAAATAAAGTCAGATCTTATAGCATCGGTTTTTGTATTAAACAGAGATAAATGTCACTGGACACCAGCACAAAAATTAGAGTGGTTATACAATTAGGTTTTGTCTGGAATCTAGACATATGTGATCTCAATATACCAGAGAGAAGAAAGAATGATTTAATTGAAGCAATTATAGGCAACCGTACGGCCTTCAACAATGAAAAAAACCCATACCGTATGGTCGGCTATAAAAGGCCCCGACCTGAAAAATATGAAACAATTCAATTGAGAAAACTAACTGGCTTATTTATAACAAACCAATTTACGAAAAACAAATATGACAGACATGAACCAACGACAACTACTGAACTACAGGCCCCTGACTTTGGAATCCAAAACATTTAGAGAAACGGTTATTCGTCTCTAAAAATTTAGGTTTATAAAAATTACATGTTCTGCATTTTTGTACGTCGAAATAGTCACAGTGTCTGTTAGTATCAGAAAAAGTCTTGTCTTATTTATATACATATATAAAATATGAATCAGTCTAGAGCAGAAATGAATGGTAGAGTTGTACAAGAAAATTACAGCAAGTTTAGCACATAAATATGTTATGTTCGTTTGAACATCGTGAATTCAGAACATAAATAAATTCATATGCGGTATGCGTAGGAATTTCCTTATATATTCTAGTCACTTGTTTAACATGAGAATAAACTTGTTATGCAAATTAGTAGGGTATTTAATAGATTGAAAACGGATTTAAGTTTGTCGAAGGCTGGGCGGTGACCACTCGACTTGCAGACAATTTTTTTTATATTGTTAAATAAATATAGACATGTGCAGTAAATGTAAATGAATGTGTATTTTTAGTATACTGATTTGTAATGTTTATTTTATAGATTTGACACGGTGAAGTGTTTTAGCAGCGGTGTTTAGGACATTATTGTTTGATGAAAATACATTCATAGAGAGTTGATTATGTTGATTATGTTGAATAAATCGAAATAGTCACCGTGCCTGTTAGTATCAGAAATAGTCTTGTCTTATTTATATATATATATATATAAAATAGGAGTCAGTCTAGAGCAGAAATGAGGGGTAGAGTTGTACAAGAAAATTACAGGAAGTTAAGCACAAAAATATGTTATGCTCGTTTGAACATTATGAATTAAGAACATAAGCCTGGTATCTTTGATGAGTTTTTTTTAAATAATGCTCACAAACTTGTTTAACTTTTTATATGCCTGTCCAAAGCCTTTGACCTGTAATCCAGTGGTTGTTGGCACACTTTAATTGTTTAATTATAGCGTACATTTGGCCGTTGGTTTATTTCTTTTTAGCAGGTGTGCTTATTACTATAAAACTATACAACTCAATATTGCAATAAGGTCGACCAACACACAATTACGTGTGGCAAAATTCTGGTTAAACCTTAGATAAACTCAATTGATCATTTAGTCAACTCTTTGATAGTTAAGATTCCACCTTGAAACTACTCTTCCACATAACCAGCTAGATATATTTTAGATTGGGCAGTTTGTTCTTGCTCTATCATATATACCCTTACGCCAATGAAGAGTCTTGTGTAGACGAAAAGGGCGTCTGGCGTAACCAATTGTAAATGTGTATTTTTACCAAAAAAACCTTTTTGCCTTTATCTACAAATGCATTTTGGAAATTAAATTCATCCATCCTTAAAGTAACATTTACGGTACCAATTCTACAGCACCAGATGCGCATTGCGACATTAAAGTCTCTTCGGTGATGCTCGATGCCAAACTATTTTTAAGATCCAAAAACGTATATAACTATTAAAGAGCTGATACAACCAAAAAAAGACCGAAAGTTAGTCAAAATCCGGACAAGGAATCAGAGATGTACATGCGAGAAATACATTAATTCATTTTAACTAATTTCCTTAATTTAAAAATTTTAATATATTAATAAAATAATGTCCTAAATTTAAAACAGCAAATCAACATAAAATAATTCCTGTATTTTTATTCCAGTACCGAAGTTGTAGCAACTAGTCTGATAATGCCCTCCGGAACTAACAGTTCACAGCAGAGATAAATGTCAGTTGAGTATTAACCCTTTATAGACACAACATTTATGGTACTAATTGTACTGCGCCAGATGGGAATCATATTAGCAAAATTGGATGTCATAATTTTTCATACCTTTTTTTTAGATGCAAAGATATAAATTGTGTATGACCTATACTAGTATATAATCTGAAAATATTCATCCACACTCAACCTGATGTATTCCGTTTAATTGATAATTATTGATAACTAACAAAACCGTATCCCTTCTCTTTTGCCCAGTAATATTTTAAACTTGCAGAAAGTGTATAAATCGATGTGTAAAAATAATAATGTCTTAAAATGTCATATTTCAGGAAAAACTGTCAGAACAAGCAATACAAAAAAAAAACATGCAATATGTGATATGGTAAATAAAAAAGGGGTTACTAAAAAGATTATTTTTATGATTGCATGACAAAGTACGTTGTTTGAAGACATTTATGCATCTGGATTTCATTAAAACCAGGAGTATCTATCATAAAAAGTCCTTGTCGACTTTGTTTACCAAAACTAAATAACTTTTTAATTTTCATAATAGTTGCATGTTTTTAATTCTGATTTTTATCCCTCCTATTACAAAGGAACTTGTACTAATTAGAAAATTATGTCGTTAAAATAATATCATAGTATAATATATGCATTACCAATAATGTGAATTGAGTTGTTGGCGTAAACTTGCAGGGAACAAATTCTGTAATCCTTTTGAAATAAAATCTTTATGAACGGAATCAATGGCTCCGTATTCCATGGCCCGTTTTGCCTGTATGGAAGAAAAGTAATTGTAATACCATCTAGAAAAGACATTAATATAATTTTCAATGCAGAATATTTGAAAGGAAAACCTAGTTTGCTTTTTACAGTACCTATAAATTAATTAGAAAATAAAAAATATAGGATTGCTTAGCATACTGCTATTGATTTAGTCAATCTGTCCCTTTTATAGAATTATTGAAACTATCGTCAAAGAAGATTTTAAAAATCGCTCTCATTCAATATTATCGAGCTACAGAATTAATACTAGCAATTCTTTCAAAAAAACATTTGCACACAGTAATGATTGTTGTACATGAGTACTGAAATACTTATGTATAATCATCAAGCTCAATACTAATTATGAAATTATTTCAAAGCATCTCTTAGGAGAAACTGTATGTTCAGTGAAGGTCAAATATATCAAGTCTGACACGATTATATCGTGACAGTGACATCACAGATGAGAGTGACAAGAGTAAAGCACCCTACTCATTTTAAAATACATATGATATCATTTTTAAATTGCATATTTAGAGACAACAAAACAAAAATTGGCTCATTGTTTAATCTTTTTCCTAGTTTTTCCCCTCCCAACTCATTTATAAATATAGAGCGTAGAACGAAATGTGTTTCATCAACCAAATGTACCTATATAGGAATGTTTAATATATACCTCTGTAGTTGAAAAGTAGAATATTTGTTCCACTCGAAGTCCCTGAAAAATTTGTTCTAGTCGGTACACAATTCCTCGTCTTATTTCTTCTCGGTCCTTAATTGGTACAACATCCCATTTATTACATACAAACAAAGTTGAAGATGGGCTAAATTCTTCGTCTAAAGTATTTACTACATTTCGCAGAAAATCTTTCAGCTAAAATACACAAAATACATTTTTGTCTAAACACAGTTCAAGTAAGTGTATATAACATATTTTTTTTCTTTTTTCATTAAGGCATCCACAAGGTTTGATTTTACATTTTTTTTAAATTAACTGTTTACAAAACTTTGATTTTTCGAAATACTAAGAATTTTTTCACCCAGGCAAACGTTACCTAAGCTGTATTTAGCAAAACCTTTCGAAATATTAGGAGGTTTAGCTAGCTATAAAGCCAGGTAACAGCCAGGTTTAATCCACCATTTTCTACATAAGGAAATGTCTGTGCCAAGTCAGGAATATGACAGTTGTTATCCATTCGTTTGATGTGTTTGAGCTTTTGTTTTTGCCATTTGATAATTGACTTTCCGTTTTGAATTTTCCTTGGAGTTTTGTATTTTTGTTATTTTACTTTTTAGGTCCTCAATTTCATACTTTATTTGGCTTTTCAACTTTTTTTAATCGAGCGTCATTGATGAGTCATTTGTAGACGAAACGAAACACGCGTCTGGCGTACACAATTATAAGCCTTGTATCTTTGGTGAGTTTTCTTACCCGTCCTTTCTGAACGCCGCCTGCATTAGAAGTATTAACGACATAAATGAAACCACATGACTTTGACAGGTACTTTTGAAGAGATTTATGCATCTGGATTTCACCAAAACCAGGTGTATCTATTATAACAAGACCTTCCTGAAAGAAAAAATTCTACCCAATTATACACAAATTAATTACTTTTTGCCAGAATGATTTCACATTAAATTACAATCAGTAGCGTCCTTCTGGAAAACGTGCCGAACAATGAAAATCTACCGCTGTGTTTGCAAGAGGGATAATCTTTTGTGACTATAGTTTCAACTATCATGTCATGTTTTGTTTTTCCTATATAATTCAAGCAGGTTTTTTTGCGTCTTTTATTATATATTATTTACTACTTGGAATCTTCACTATATTTTTGGCGATTATTTGTCATTTTCTTTATTCTGTTGTTGTCCTTCTTAACAACACAATACCGATATTTCATGTGTGTGCTGTCATTCAGATTTAATGTGGATAGTCATGTATGACAATCGTTCGGCATCAGGAAGGATGGATACATTTTTTGAAGGTAGATGGTTACAGTTTAAAAACAAAGAGATGTGGTATGAATGCCAAAGAGACAACTATCAATAAAGGCAACAGTAGTATACCGCTGTTCAAAAGTCATAATCGATTGAGAGAAAACAAATCCGGGTTACAAACTAAACCCGAGGGAAACACATCAACTGTAAGAGGAAAACAACGGAACAACAGAAACACTGAAGTGCAACAAAAACAAACACCAACATACATAGAAACGAGCTATTTTAAAACAACTGCTATATTCCTGACTTGGTACAGGACATTTTAAGAAAAAAAATGGTAAGTTGAACCTGGTTTTATGGCTAGCCAAACCTCCCGCTTATATGGCAATGTTAAAAAATATCGCTAATATGACAACACTACGTGACAGAAATACAGCACAAACAAACGCAAGAACACTCAGCACAGATAAACGCACAAATAAATAATATAATAGCCGGTACAACATGTAAACCGCAGAATAACAACGAACATCTTCTATTAACGACAGAACAGGACATCACAAACAGTGACGTATTTTTGTAACGAATATATAATCTTGAAATTCATACAATTACAGACTAAAATAACGAGAATGTTAACTATGGACACTGTACGACAATGATCAAAACCCATATCCATTATTAAGGTCCAACATGACAAAATGTGAAGCAATTGTGTCTAGTTCTTTTCAATATTCTTAGGAACATCCATGAGTGAGGATGTAAGGACCGTCTCCTTTACGTAGCAAATTTTATGTAAGTAAATCATATATAAACAATACCGACTAAAATGGGAAATCTTCGATGCCCTCTTCCACTGTTTTTGAGAAATTTGGATCCGCTACTGAATACTTTTGAGAGTCTTTGTCCGGACAATTTTCTAATTTGGCCGCCCTCAGGACACTACTAATTGATATTTATGGACAAAATTAAAACTACTGCAACATCACTTACCGAGATTTGATGCACTACCATTGATATTTACGGATTAGTTTTATGAAGAAACTATTGGTTTTCAACTTGTTTAAAATTTCAATGTCTAATCCCTTTCGGGATTCTGAGTCCGTAGCGATTTTCTGATTTGGCCGCCCTCAAAATCCCTTATCAAGCCCTTTTAGGTCTATTCGTAAAAAACTACCCCACCTCGAACCGTTGTCAGTTTAAAGTGTCCTTCATTCATGCACCTGCGAAGGTTACTCCATAAAGAACTGTACATAACTATACAAACGAGTTATGTTTATCAAAATAAACATTTCATCTTAATTATAAAAAGACCATTTGTAATTTACTTAAATAAAGTGAATGACCGTGTCAAACATGATCATCTTACAACATTTCGTTTTAAATTTTATTAATTTTTATTCCTGAAATAGGGTCACATTCAGTAACGTTTATTGATTATAGGTTGGCTACTTTCTGCTGGCTGTTATATACAATGCAATCACCATTTTTACACGTTTATTATCATTTTGGTTTTCTTTTGGAAATTGACTCATTTAGATGTTGAGAACGTAACCTCATAAAAATATTTCTAATGTTGTTCGTAGCATACTTTTCTATACAGTTTCTCCATTTACATAAAGCATGTAAAACAAATCATTTCCCACAAACATGAAATCTTATTACCACATCGTATTATTATTCCAACTGTTCCTCTCTAATAGTATAACATACCTCAATAACATCAGTTGGCCAATATATTTCAATTCTATCGTATGGATTGTCACCATTATTGTCTTCAATAGTAATGTTTTTCTTTAATTTTTCTTGTCCATCCATTGTACTCAAATCTATTTTCACTTCCTTTCCGCCTTTAGCTTCAAAGCAAATTGCTTTCTTACGACCATCTTTGCTCTTTCGAATTTCGCAAACAGTCTGTGTACATTTAATTCCACTTGTAGGAAGAATGTCTGCTTCAAGCAATAAGTTTATAAGACTGCTTTTTCCTGATGTTGCTTCACCTAAAAATGATGTCTCAGAATTAACGGAATTTAGCAAGGAAGCAGGAACCCTTGCCTTTCCTACCGTTAGAACGCCACATACGGGTTGGGTTGTTCACTATGTGTGACACGGAGGGCAGCTTCGAAGCGCAGAAAAAAAAATGATCGAAATAAATTATCACATGGTAATGAGGCATTTACTACAAAAAAGATATTGTTGTCAGTAAGTTTGTCTTTTTCTCTTTTCTACAAAAAAATTGTCAAAGTATGTTTAAGACTAGCTGACAATAGGTCTCTAGATACTATGACACGAACTAATTCCGTTGTTTCTAATCTCACCAATGATACTACGTAGACCTAAGGTGTACAGTAAAAATAAGAAAGGCCACAATTGCAAATGAGGCAATTATCAACTAAGAGAACAAAGTACTACTAGGATGTAAACAACTACGTATACAGGTCAACAACGAAAACAAATCGGTTGTTATAAGCTAAGCTATTAAGGTAGATAGGGTGTCTTCCTCCATATTGGATTGTGAAATACCAGAAAACAATCGGTCTAGATCTATAATAAAAGGTGCAAATTTTGAGAGTAGTAGGTAATTCATGTGTAAGAATTTTCATTTCAATATAGAAAATGACATATTTTATCATATTTATGGTTGTATTTTACTAAAAAACAGAATACTTTTGTTTGATTCTATATTTTCCAACTTTGTCACATAAGGGGAGGCAACTCAAATGTAAGGGCAGATAATTCACATTAAGTTACTTTTACAATAGAATGTGTTAAGAATTTATCTATTTTATTATGTAGCAAGAAAACGGGTCCGGTGACCCCATTTTTTCTTTTTCTTATCTGAAAGCATACTATTAGAGCTATCTTCTCATATTTTATCTCAAAATTCTATGGTGTAGTTTTCATTTTATGGTAGAAAATTGGGTTTTCCATGCATAATCTATACAAAATCTGTCAATTTTGCACAACCTGTAGCGTAAAAATAAGGCCGGTGACTCATTCTTTTTATTATTTTTTTTTAAAAAGCATGATATAAACTACATTTTGGCAAATTATTAAAAAATTCTATGGATTATAATCTACCTTAATAAAAAGAAAAACAATTATTGCAAACGCTAACGACCAACATGCGCTGGACTACATTCTTGGGACAGGCGCATAAAGAATGTGCCTGGTTTGAGCAGTCTGAGTCCAGAGTTGGAGCAGGTGGTAAATATTGTCACCCAACGCATCGTTCCTGAATTGAAGGACCAAATAGCTAAAGCAATTGAGGCTATCCAGAGGACACCTACGCCCTGCTCAATCCCATGAAAAGTTGTTGGGAATATAAAACCTACACAAAACTCTCAGAATGAGAAAAGAAAGCCTTGTGAAACATTTCGGAGTGACTTTCGGAGGGAAAAGAGCTTTAAAAACAATGGATATAGATTTAACTCCAAGTCAGCATCGTCAGTCCCCGGAAGCATATAGGCTAATGGATTTAGGGAAGACACCAATTAAAGTTGAGAGATTAAGACATAGTTTAAAAAGTTAACCGAATAAAATTGATGCACATATATTGTTAGATGGATTTACAAATGGATTTAAAGTAAACTACATGGGTCCGCTTCAATCTTTTAATTGTTCAAACTTGATTTCTGAATTAGAAGAAAAAAAAATTAAAGAGATTCAGGCTGGGCAAATAGCGGGTCCCTTCAAAAACAAACCTTTTTCTAATCTCCGCTTATCACCGATAGTGCTTGTAGCTAAAAAGCCTCCCCAGGCTCTGAAACTCACGGCTGGCGTATGATTCAACATTTGAGTTATCTATTTGGAAGTAGTATTAATAGCTTTATTGACCCCCAACTAGCAACTGTGCAATACATATCCTTGGATAAAGTTCTTGGTACTATTAGTAAACTAGGAAAGGGGGCAGAACTGGCACGAAAGGATATAGTCCCGGCATTTAGATTATTAATATTGCACCCTGATGAATTTGTTTTATTTGGTTTTCGCTTCCAAGACCACTTTTATTTCCAGAAAGCGCTCCCGATGGGTTGTTCGGCGGCGTGCGCCCTGTTCGAAAAATGTGCATGCTTTTTGGAGTGGTTGGTCCGGTTCCAATCGTGCAAAGCATAGATAGAGTATTATTTCCTACTTGCTGGAGAAGCTAGGTCTGGGGAATGCTTGCATCTCATGAACAATTTTAGGCTTATTTGCAGTGGTATTTGAGTTCCCTTAGCGGAGGATAAAACTTTAGGTCCTTAGTGTATTATGACTTTTCTGGGTTTAGAAATAGATACTTTGGAGATGGTTATTCGAATATCACAAGACAAATTAACAGTAGTTAAGGAAAATTGGAATTGATTATAAAGAAGAGAAAAATCACTCTAAAAGATCTTCAATCTCTAGAAGGCTCTCTGAATTTTTGTGCCAAAGCAATTCCGTCAGTTCAAGCATTCAACAGGAGGTTTTGTGATGCGATGTGTGGGATACAAAGGTTAAATCATTTTATCAGGGTGACACTAGGTATGAAAAAGGATATAAAAACTTGGCTTACATTTCTCAAGAATTTCAATGGTACTTTGGCTTTTGATGAGAGTGAACGGCTTTCAACTTGTGAAATACATTTGTTTGCAGACAGCGCTGGTAACCCAGATTTAGGTTTTGGGATTTACTTTTCAGGTCGATGGGCTTATTTTCAAAGGCCTTCTAGTTGGGAAAACCATGATTTGGCTGACATAACTCTCTTAGAGTTGGTGCCTATTGTGCTCTCAATCTTATGGTTTAAAGAGGATTTGCATAACAAACGAATACTTTTTCATACAGATAATAAGGCGCTTGTGAGTATTTTGAACATGAAATCCTCAAAATCGAGACGAGTGATTGAGTTGGTTCGGCCTTTTGTATCACACACAATGCGATATAATATGCAATTTAAAGCAGTACATATAGAAGGTTCGAACTTCATTCCTGATGCTATTTCACAAAAACAGTGGCACAGATTCCGCATGGTATCACCAGAAGCAGAGACAGAAGCAACACCAATTCCAGAAACTTTTCTGCAGCTGATTTCCGATCTGAAATTGATCGTCCAGTAGATGCTTTACTAGCTTCGAACACGAAGGATACATATAGAACGGGGTTGCGAAGTTTCGAGATATTCCGTAAAGATTTTGATTTAGAGTGCGTTTGGCCGCCTCCCCCCTCGCATATTGTACTTTTTATTGCATATTTATCACTGAAAGGGAGGGCACATAAAACTGTCAGTTGTTACGTGACTGCTATTGGTTTTCGTTGCAAGGTTTTACAGTCTCAATTTATGGACTATTCATAAAATTTTATTATACGTAAAATGTTAGAGGAATTGAAACGCTTTAACTTCTCGAAAGATAAGAGGCTTCCAATTACAATGGAACTCTTGGCTAGGATAATTGAAAAGTTGCCATCTATTATTCTGCATATGAATCTTTACTTTTTGCGGCAGCTTTTTCAGTCGCCTTTCATGGCTTTCTTAGAGTTGGAGAATTGGTTTACACAAAATTAGGCAAAGTGCAAAATATAATATCAGTACATGGTACACAAATTTTATGCGGAGCAAAAGTGGGGCTCATAAGGCTTCACATAACGCACTCTAAGGGGGATCAAACTGGTAAAGGTATTTCTATTGATATAAGGAAGACAGACACTCCAATTTGTCCAACACAGCTATTAAAAAGATACCTAACAGTAAGACCAAATAAAAATGGTCCTCTACTTAGTCAATTTAGTGGAAAATATGTGTCTCGTTATCAGTTCTTCTGTATATTGACCAAGGCATTAAATGTAATAGGTATTGATTCAAGTAGCTACAAGTCCCATTCATTCAGAATTGGTGCAGCTTCAGAAGCCTCAGCTAAGGGAATTTCTAATAAGGAAATTACGAAACTGGGACGATGGAAATCTGTTGCATATAGGTCATACATTAGATTGGAATACTTTTAGTTTGATGTGGTCATGGACTAAGCAAAGAAATTATTGTTTATCAATGTAAATAGTTTGTACATGTGTTATTAAAAAAAAGTAATTGTGTTTTAATAAGTATGCTTGAGAGATATGAGAAAAAAATCGGTTTTGATAATTGGCTCGTCCATTGTAAAACATGCATTTACCCATGCCCGTACCACTTATGACGGCATCCATTTGGGTTTGAAGCGGAAAAATTGTACTATTTGGTGGCAAGGTAAAGAGGGGCATGAATTGGGACGAATTAGTACCAAGGATAAAATATTTTTTAAAATTTGAACAGGAACCAGATTTTTTAATTGTACATTGTGGGGGCAACAACATATACTCCTGCAAGTTACATAATTTTAGATGTCAAATTAAGGGATAACTGTATAAGGTTTCAGAATTGCAACCTAAAACTAAACTTATTTGGTCCCAGATACAACAGAGGCTTTTTTGGCGGAATGGCCAAAACATTAAGTCTCTGAACCGGGCTGCTGTAAGGATTAAAAATTTTGCTGGTTGGTTATGTCTCAAGTCTGGTAGAGGATATATAAAATATACTGAAATAAGGTGGAATGAGAAAGGACTATTCCGCAAGGACGGTGTCCCTCTTTCAAACATAGGGAATACACTATTTTTGTAGAGAATTCAATGTTTTCTCCAGGAAGTTGTTTAAGCGTTACTAATGAAAGAAAATGCACATGTAATACTTTGGTGTACAAACTGTGCGGTTACAAATGCAATAATGTTTTGTTAGTTCTAGTCGTGCACTTGCAATAGTGTGTGATGATGTTCGTTTATTCAAAGGCTTTGCCTGATAAGGGATTGATATAATTATGTATTCACAAAAAGTAAAAAAGCCACGGCTTGTTGTGTCGTTTCTTTTGATTTCATGGCGGTGTGCGCATGTTTAACATGTGACCATGTGGCAGGAAAGCGACACGACGCCAATCTTGCACCATGTTCACATAATGGACTATAATATCTGTTACTGGGCTTCTGTTCCCAGGGCCAGTATTCTTAAAGTCAATGTCAGTATTCATAAATGGACAGTAATGATAAAGTGCTCTTTTTGTACAAATGGTTCTAATTGATCATTCTTGGTCCATGCTTAATTTATAATTGATAAATTGTGATCCATGCTAATGTTATAATTGATTAATCGTGATCCATGCTAATGTTTTAATTGATCAATCGTGATCCATTCTAATGTTGTAACTGATTGACAGTGATCCACGCTAATGTGTTCTTCGTGATTCATGATCATGCTAATGTGTCATCTTGATTTATGATAATGTTTGATAAATTTGTATCGTAAGCCTAAATCCATCAATTGGAAACACAACTTCAAAATACTGATGGATTCAGTCGAGGATTATGCCAGGCAATCGGTTAAAGGCGAGAAAGAAGACGTAGACACTCTTTCCGAATAGATTAAGGCTGTGAGGTCGTTGATACAAATCAGAATTAAGAAACTGAATGGGTCTATCAATACCCATGCTACGTCAATCTTTAAAGACCCAAATGTTGCAAAACACTTGTCCTACCTCCATGACAAATATGTTGTTGTCCCCGCAGATAAAGCCCCCAAACAACACCGTTTTTGTGTGTAAATCACATTACATAAACTGCTTGATAAATGAATTAGGTATTGACAATTCACTTGGAAACCCAACATATACCCCCACGACACTTACTAAAGAGGAAATCCTGTATAATCATAGGTCTATTCTATGTTCCTTTGGAATTTCAACCAAAGATGAAGAACTGGATCTTTCATCACTGTATTGGATACCTAAACTACATAAGTGTCCTTACAAACAACGGTATATTGCTGGGTCTTCCAAGTGCTCCACGAAACCTCTTTCTTAATTATTAACATCAATTTTATCAGTAATCAAAGCCGGGCTTCAAAATTATTGTGAAACTGCCTATTCTAGAGGTGGCGTGAATCAGATGTGGATACTGAAAAATTCCAAAGATCTTTTAGAGTACATACAATCTAAGACTCTTTCATCTTGCAACAGTATTAAAACATTTGACTTTTCTACACTTTACACAAGTATTCCCCATTCCAAACTAAAAGACAAATTGAAAGAGTTGGTATTGCTTTGTTTTATAAAAAAAGAATGGCCAACGTAGATACAAGTATCTTGTCTTAAGGAGGGATAAATCCTACTTTGTAAAACATCACTCTGTTTCAAACAAAAATTCTCTGCAACTGACATTATCAAGATGCTTGATTTCTTGATTGGCAACATATTTGTTACATTTGGAGGACGTGTTTTTCAACAAACTATCGGCATTCCCATGGGAACCAACTGTGCCCCTCTTCTTGCCGACTTGTTTATTTATTCTTATGAGACTGACTTCATACAGGAACTTCTTAGGAAGAAAGAAAAGAAGTTAGCAGTATCCTTTATCTTTACTTTCCGCTATATAGATGATGTTCTCTCACAAAATAATACACAATTTGGTGACTATGTTGAACGCATCTATCCCATCGAACTAGTGATAAAGGATACAACAGATACAGTTAAGTCCGCCTCATATCTTGACTTACATCTAGAAATTGACAACGAGGGTCGGTTGAAAACAAAACATTACGACAAAAGAGATGATTTCAGCTTCCCAATTGTGAACTTTCCATTTCTATGTAGCAACATACCCGGTGCGCCTGCATACGGAGTATATATCTCCCAAGTGATACGATATTCCCGGGCTTGTATTTCCTATCATGATTTCCTTGATAGAGGGTTGCTGCTCAAAAGGAAGCTATTAAACCATGAGTTCCAAATGGTGAAGTTGAAATCATCCCTTCGTTAATTTTACGGACGCCATCACGAGCTGTTTGACCGTTATGGAATATCCGTTTCACAGATGATAGCGGATATGTTCCTAATGTCGTAACTACAATCCCGTTCCCTTTTCACGAATGTCACCTACCGAATTAGACTATTTACCGGGTTTGTACTAACATGAGCAACACGAAGGGTGCCACATGTGATCACCCCCAGTTTATAGTGGGGTTCGTGTTGCTTTTTCTTTAGTTTTCTATGTTGTGTTTTATGTACTATTGTTTGTCTGTTTGTCTTTTTCTTTTTTAGCCATAGCCTTGTCAGTTTCTTTTCGATTTATGAGTTTGAATGTTTGAATGTCCCTCTGGTATCTTTCGCCCCTCTTTTGTGAGCCGTGGGCTTTTTTGGTCAATTAAAATAATGGTTCATTTTATATCTCTTTGGTATTTATTCAAGCATGAATCTTAAGTTAATTCAACCTTTACTAATAGGGGATAGCTTGCTTTAACTTTGTGAACTTGCAGTCTCAGTTGGTATTCGAGTTACCTTTCTTGATACAGTTTCTATATATGTAGGTCTGCGATTTTCTGAAAATCAAACTTCGCTTCTCGGAAAAGGGTCATGTGGCCCAGTGAACCAATAACGTTTGTGACGTCAGTATATCGTTTGCATCAGCGTTCAGAGATTTGAAGAAGAATAAGCAGACATTTTTTCGACAGAGAAAAGTTCGAAGTTTTGTATAAATATTTCTATGTAATGTGAGAAAAACCCACCCTCCCACCTCTTGATTTGAAAATGTGTGTATTTTGTCGATATACTGCTGCTGTTTTGATTTATTTTTCAGGTTTTTTATGGACAGTATATTATTTCTATGTACCCAATGTTGTATGATGATTCGTCATGGCTCACCAAGAGTGTAGAAATTCCAAGATGACTCAAGAAGAGACTTAGTTAGTAATATTCCGTTTAAATTTTGATCGTTATTCTATAATTGAACTCTCTAACGTGAGGGTACCCAAATTGCACCTATTTTGACAGTTTTTTCACCTACGTTGTTTTATGATCCAGACAAAAGTTTCCATTCTGTGTTTATTTCGTATACGTATTCTTATTTACTATATAGTTACACCAATTTAATTTTGAATCCATATTGAATCATAGAAAAATGGGTTTGAACCGACCTCCTAACGATCCATGATTTTGTTGTGAGGTGTACCCAAATTGCATCCATGCTTAAATTCACATCTTTAAAAATCGAGTAAACAGATGTTTTGTTTTTTTTTCTTCAAATATTTAAAACAATTTGACATTAGACCATGCTTACTATTCATTTTTTTAGAAATGGATGCTTGTAACATATTTTATTTGCTCATTTTTAAAAGATGACCTTTTTGTGAACGTCGCATGGCGACGGATCCGTAGATTTTACCTTTCCCAGTGAATGCTTCATCTGTTGATATACTGTGAACGTTTTGTGTATATTTAAATATATTTACCTATGTTGAAAGACGTGTACAATGTCAAATCATAAAAATACAAATTGTTTAGTCTCAGAGAAAATTGTAAGATTTCCTCGCCTATTTTTGTTGAAACGGTGTAATTTGGGTACTCGGTGCAATTTGGGTACTGTGACGTTACACCTTTAATAATGGACTAAATCGTTGAAATACTTTGACACAGAAGCGTAGGATCAATGAACATTTTCATTCTCTTAGAATTCAAATAATGTTTTGAAGGACCATCTTAAGCAGATCGGCGGGAAAGCGACACATCGCCAATAATCTTGCACCATATTCACATAATGGACTATAATATCCGTTACTGAGCTTCTGTTCCCAGTATTATTAAAGCCAATGTCAGTATTCATAAATGGACAGTACTGATAAAGTTTTGTATAGATGGTTCTAATTGATCATTCTTGATCCATGCTAATGTTATAATTGATTAATCGTGATCCATGCTAATGTTTTAATTGATCAATCGTGATCCATTCTAATATGTTATAACTGATCAACAGTGATCCACGCTAATGTGTTAATTTTGATCATATGTGATTCATGATCATGCTTATGTTTCATCTTGATTTATGATAATGTTTGATAAATTTGTGAGCCGATGCCTTTATTTTGTGAACTAAAATAGTTGTTCATTTTATATCTCTTTGGTATTTATTCAAGCATTAATCTTAAGTTAAAGTTTTGATATCTGCTTAAGGGTCTAATTATAATTACTTGGGTAATTCCTTTTTTCGTCAACTGATTTTGTTAAGTACATTATGTCTCGTTTGAAGAATGAATTGTATTGAAGTATGACTATAATATGTCTTAGCATGTGTACATATTGTGCAATGAGGTGTACATTTTTAAATGTTTTATTGACGACCTATTTCATTTCCTTGCAATTAAAAATGACGTAGCTGAAGTGCATGCAGACTAATGAGTTTTAATCGTTTTAAGGTGGATAGTACAAAGAATGTATGAATACATCTATAACCACTAAAAACTTATATATATATATGATATACAACGATGATTCAGTTCTAAGATGTTTTTCTAAAATCATATTAAGATGCGAAAAAATAATATATACCTGCAACAAGAATGTTACATTCAGGTGATAACAACTCGGATCGCTTGGAAAGAGAAGTCTTTTCAATGTCTGGAAAGATACTATTCAAATCTTGTTGAAAGTTGACTGGCAGGTCTTTATAAAAGTTTGAGACTTTGTCATACAGTTTTATCAATTTCTCTGTGTTTCCTCTGTGGTATAGCAATTCTTGATGTAAAACTATTCCTCCCTGAAAAGATAATTAAATGAATATGTTTTACGATGAAAATGATGCAAACTTATTAAATATATATTGATATATGTATACTGAAAAAATGCTATAGTTTGACCTGACAAAGTTGGGTCAACACCTGTGTCCACATTTGGATTGATATCTCAGCGACCATAAGGTGTATGTTTCTTTCAGCACTACGGGGTTGTTTTTTTCAGAGTAGTCTGATGTTGTTGATTGTTTCCTGTTATCTTTTTTTTTATTGATTATTCAAAGCATTGTTTTCTACGCAAATTGATAAGAATATTCAGTGGTTGCTGCTATGACATAGCGACTGGAACTGATTAAGAATAATCGTGTTCTTTATGATCAACACCCATTGCTGTCAATTCAATATTGCAACACATATTTGTATATACCCCAAATAACCTAAATAAAAATATACAATTTGTATAAAATGCACTTATTTTTTTCTAACAAGATAAACAATAATAATGTTTGAAAGATGCCTATGTAATGTAGGTTGTATTATGAGTTTCATAATTTTTTTCAAATATATTCTGTCAGTAATGTGTAGTAATGTAATATCAAGAAATACATATGAAAAAAATCAAAATGGCCAAGGTATTTGAAAATTGAAATTTAACGGGGATATTATTTTCTATAGTGAAACGTCTGCAATCGACATTTAAAACCATTGAATGTGGTTTTTTTTTCCATAATTTTTGTACCCTGCAATTTACCTTATACTCCACTATGGTTATATGATAGTGATTATATCTGAACTTAGCTTGTCTCCCTAATATACTAAAACTAACCCAACTATTCTATGTTGTACGATTTGGTTTCTGTTACACTAAGTTAAATGAGAGTAAAACTGAGGTATTCCTCAAGGTAATGTATATGTAAGCAACACAAACCAATGAATTAAGTTCATCGAAACTTAAACTGCTGTAGCAGGTCATCAGGATTTGAAACGCCTATTCACAAAACTAAATTAATTTAGACTATAACAGATATAAATTAGGAGTTCTTCCTTTATTGATATTATCTGCAATATACCTTTCCAACTAAGCGCTGAATAGATTCCATTATAACTTATATCTTTTAGTCTTTGGTAAAAAGGGGAAATGACTAATGCACATTAATATCATGCTATATAATAAAAATAACACTTTATAAATTACATGGGTTTGATTGGCTTTTCTGAATTTACCTTCGTCGTAGAAATGGTCAAACCTGAGCATTTTAAAGCCAGGGATGCATATATATGTAGTAGAACTATTTGACATATAGATGTCACAACAAAACCAAATTTATACATTTCCATTTTTAAAAAATTAGCACACTTCAAAACTGGAACCTCCATATCAACTTTGACCAGGTTATCATACATAACTAATGGTAGTTATGGTAGTTTTAACAGATTTTTTAATACATATATTGACTACAAAAAGTTTCACTTTTCCCTAATTTGAGAGGTGGAAATGTTGATGAGAATGAATTGTATGTTTATGTGCAAGAATTTGCATGGAGAAGACATTATTCTAGGTACTGATTTATAGTATCACATTTCCTTTTCAATTTTGGTTAAATTTCCTCCGTCTTTATTATGAGATTGTCTGTTGAAATGAGTTTGAAATAACTATTGATGTTGCAGTAGAAGGTAATGGTGGGAGATTCGTGCATTTTTGAAAAAAAGTGAGATACATCCTTTAACTCTTGTTGACGAGGTAAGCAACGTTTTAGAATAAAAAATCGTTATTATTACAGCTTTCATTCATGTATTTCAGTTCTAAAGTTAGCATATAACTAATGTTGTGCTGCAAATCTGTATGGTGTGCTGTCCACATGCCTATAAGTCAATTTCCGAATTGCAATTATTTGTGTTCTTGCAAAGTCGGTAAGAATTTATACTTTTAACGAGGAGTTGATGAACAACGTCATGTGGATCAATAATCTGTTTGTTTGTTGCAAATTCAAAAATTAATGATGAACGATAAATGATTAAAATGTTAACTTATCTAACGTAAAAATCTTCGAGTTCGGCATTTTAAAAAAAATATATGAGATATCATTAATTATAATTATTTCTAATGCTATGGTCAGTTTATCCATAATCATAATAAAAGATTACAAGATTCAATAGTTATTAAAGTCTCGCCACATACATAATATATATATTATATACAGTAAAATACATTTCAGATTAAGAAAAACAGGAATAAACAAGTTACAATGTATGTGCCATTCTTAAAAGAATTATGAGAGACTATATTCATGATATTATTAAATATTCATTTACACATTATAAAACACATATTTTCATAAAAATTGTAATATTTTTAAATACTATTATTAAGTTATGTATATATTAAATAATTTCTTCCATAAAATCATTATTAAAAAGTGACACTACAGTGAACATATTTTGTCTTAAATCGTTATGTAGAGGACATTTTAAAATCACATGATTTTCATCTTTTATTTCGTTAGTACAGTTAAAATTTTGAGAAAGCCGTCAACTGAAGGTAACCAATCCTTAAGATTAACAGTGTTATTACTGATCACCCCTCACCTAGCGAAATTAACAGATTTGTGATTTATATAGCCGAATCGTTAAAATCTTAATTTTAATTTGCTTTCCAGTTTCCTATTATCAATGCAAAGACTATATTAATGAATGTACTCAAAATTCTACAATCTAAACAGTTACCTTTTCTTCCTCGGACGCTGTATGTTCCTTGTCCCACTCATTTAACAAAACTTTAATAATCTCATCCTTTGCTTTTATACCTTTAGTATTTAGTCCCCACGATCTTGCAAATCTAAAACCTGTAGAAACATCAGGAATACCGATTATATCGTCTCGACATTGAATATCATACTCTCTAGAAGACATTTTGATATGACCGTCACTTTACTTCATCCACAAATCTTCCATCTTGTTGGATTTTTGTCATGATTTTTTGGTAACTATTAATGTACAGATTCAACAAAAGAATCCTTGTGATAATAGCATATTACATTTATTTTCCTTCCTTGTCTATGCTTCAGTATAGTTCAGAGCGACAATAGTCCTATCGTTCCTTACAGATTTGGACGATTTTAAATTGCTGTGATATAGATATGTCATTAAGATAATAACCATTTGTTAAACAAATAAATAACCAAACAATAAGACCTCTAAATCTTTTAATTTAAATAATTAATTGTTTTGTAGGTATAGTCAACTAAAATATTCAATAAAAGAGGATCTTTGAGGGCTCAACGTGAGCAAGTTTGTTTCTTAAAGCATAAAAATTAACCACAAAATTAGTTGGTTTGTGTAAACTAAAAATTACTGAAATCTCTAAAAACAAAAATGCGCATACATTCGGCATGTCTGTTTTCCTGTGACATATTTCTAACACTGAAGATGGGATACATGTATATAGATTCATAAGTTCAAGGCATTTACATTTTTTCAAGAAGAAGCCAATTGGAAAAAGTAGGTTGCCTTTTTCGGTTCACAATCTGTAAGTATCCTTATGAAATAATTTAAATCATCGTATTATATAAATCTATTAACTCAGAGAGAATCCTGGTGACAAACATATTCACCCATCCTAAACTGAATTCTTCAAATTTCTGAACATTCTATATGCGATGAACATTTTAATTGTTAGTTTCCTACGGCCACGTTATTACTGGTCACTTGAACATTGTCAATAACACTTCTTTGCGAAATGTGTTATCTAAAGGTTCGAAATATCGTGAGCCTTAATCCATCAATTGGAAACACAACTTCAAAACACTGATGGATTCAGTCGAGGATTATGACAGACAATGGGCTAAACGCGAAGAAGAAGACGTAGATACTCTTTCCGAATGGGTTAAGGCTATGAGGTCGTTGATACAATTTAGAATTTAAACAACCGAATGGGTATATGAATACATATGCTACACCGATCTTTAATGACCCAAATGCTGCTAAATACATGTCCTACCTCCATGACAAAAATATTGTCCCCACAGATAAATCCCCAAACAACATCGTGTGTGTGTGTAAATCACATTACATAAAAGATAAAAGAATTAGGTATTGACTAAATTCGATTGGAAACTCAACATACCCCCACGACACTTTCCAAGGAGTAAATTCTGAATAATCATAGGTCTGTTCTATTTTCCTTTTGAATTACAACCAAAGATGAAGAACGGGATCTTCCTTCACTGTATTGGATACCTAGATTAAATAAGTGTCCTTACAAACAAAGTTATATTGCTGTGTCTTTCAAGTGCTCCCCTTTCTAAAATATTAACATCATTTTTTTTCTGCAATTAAAGCCGGGATTCAATGTTATTGTGAAATTACCTACTTTAGGGGCGGTGTGAATCAAATGTAGATACTTAAAAATTCCAAAGATCTTTTAGTGTAAATAACAATCTAAATCTCTTTTCGTCTTGTAATAGTATTAAAATATTTTATTTCATTCCCTTTACACAGGTATTCCCCATTCTCAACGAAAAGACAAACTGAAAAAATTGGTCCTGCTTTGTTTTATAAAAAAAGAATGGCCAACGTAGATACAAGAATCCTGTCTTAGGGAGTACTTTGAAAAACATCACTCTGATTCAAAAGAAAATACTCTGAAACTGCCATTTTCAAAATGCTTAATTTCTTGCTTGAGAACGAATTTGTTACGTCTGAAGACGTGTTTTTCGAAAAAAAAAAAACAATCGGCATTTCCATGGGAACCAACTATGCCCCTCTTCTAGCCGACTTGTTCTTTTATTCATATGAGACTGACTTCATACATACAAGAGCCTCTTGGGAAGAGGAAGAGAAGCTAGAATTATCCTTTAACCGTTTCTGTGTATCAACATTCCAGCAGCGCCTGCATATGGAGTAAATATCTCCCAGTTGGCTTGTATTTCCTATCATCATTTCCTCGAATGTGACCTACCGAATTAGACTTATCCCCGGGGTTTTACCTACATGAGCAACACAACGTTTGGTACAAGTAGAGCAGGTTTTTGCTCACAAGGAAGCTGTTGAACCAATAGCTCTAAGTTGTGAAGTTGTAATCATTTCGAAATTTTTATGGACGCCTTCACGATTTGATTGAATGTTATGGAATATCTGTTTTACTTGAACATTGTCAATATCACTTCTTTGCGAAATGTGTTATGGAATATCTGTTTCACAGATGACGACGGATATGTTCTTATTGTCGTAATAACAATCCCGTCCTCTTTGTTCCGAATGTGACCTACCAGATAAGACTTCACACCGGGTTTGTACTTACATAAGCAACACGATGGGTGCCACTGGTGGAACATGATCTGCTTACCCTTCCGGAATACCTGGAATCACCCCCGGCTTTTGGTGAGGTTCGTGTTGCTCGGTCTTTGGTTTTCTATATTGTGTTTTGTATACTGTTGTTTGTCTTTTGTTCTTTTTCGTTTTTTTTTGCCATAGAGTTAATAGTTAATTTTCGACTTATGAGTTTGAATGTCCCTTTGATATTTTTCGCCTGCATTTTTTACAACGAAGTCGTTAAATTTATTCTTTAATATATCCCGAAAATGTGGGTATGTTACAGAATAAAAAAATATTTTGATACAATGAGTCTCGTGAGAAAAAAACTTTACGACAGAAGGGATGATTTCAGCTTCCAAATTATGAACGAACTTTCCATTTTGATGTAGCAACATTCCAGCAGCGCGTGGATATGTAGTATAAATCTCCCAGTTGATACGGTAGTCCAGAGCTTGAATTTTCTATCATGATTTCCTTGATAAAGGGTTGCTGTTTTTTTACAAAGAAGCTATTAAACCAAGAATTCCAAGTGGTGAAGTTGAAATCATCCATTCGAAAATTTTACGGACCCCATAAGTTGGTTGACCGTTAAGGAATACCTGTTTCTCAGATGACGACGGATATGTTCCAATTGTCTGAACCATAATCCCATCCCCTTTTCCTCGAATGTGACCTACCGAATTAGACTTATCCCCGGAGTTTTACTTACATAAGCAACACGACGTTTGCCACACGTAGAGCAGGATTTGCTTACCATTCCAGAGCACATCAGATCATCCCGATTTTTCTGTTGGGTTCGTGTTGCCCCTCTTTAGTTTTTATATGTTGTGTTTTGTTTACTGTTGTTTATCTTTTTGTCGTTTTTCGTTTTCGTTTTTTCTTATAGATAAGTTAAAAACAAATAATATGATTACCAATGAGACAACTATCCACATATACCCTATGACGAAGATATAAACAACTATAGACCATCGTACGGCCTTCAACAATTAGTAAAACTAAACGTAATACAACTAAAAAAAGTAAACCAACGGCCTTGTTCATGCTAAAATAACAAACGAAAAACAAATATGACATACAACTACTTAATTACAGGCTTCTGACATTGATCAGGCATATCAACAATATTGCGGGTTAAACATGTTTTTAGAAGCTCAATTCCTAAACCCACCACCCCCATCCCCCCCCCCCCCCCCACCCCCCACCCCCCAAACCTGAGACAGCTGTGTAACAGCACAACATAAAACAAACTGTAAAAACACGTTAGAAAGGAACGAAGCACAAAAACATCCAAAAAGAAGCCAAAAGACACTATGTGCCGATCTAAGAATTTTCACGGTTACGAAAAGTTTGTTTAAAGACATTGTATGTAATGAATAAACCATATTATCCCGGACTTTAATAGCAATCATTACACAACCGACGGGTTGATTGTAAAGGTGTCAAAAACAGTGTGTAAGGTAAGCAAACCCTGCTAAACTAGTGTAACACGTAATGTTGCTCTCATAGCAAGTAAAAAGTTATATTCGTTTATGTCACAATCTATGAACACAGGAGGAGAATATGGCAACGATTAGTGGAACATACCGGCCTCTTGAACTTTTTTTTCAAATCAAGTTTACTATGTTTTTGTGCTTAGATAAGATTATTAGTTACTTTAAGTAATAGGTCAGGTTAATTTGGTAGACAGGACATTGAAAGGTTACAGTCTAGTAGAAAGAGTAACATGTAGCGATTATTTCACGCAGCAATAATTGTCATAAAAAATTAAAATTCACTTCTTCGGAAGTCAGGAATATGACAGTTGTTTTCCATTCGTTCCGTTGGTTGATACAGTATAACGTTTGATTTTGTCAGTTTTCATGAACCCTCCCCTTTTTGAATTAACCTCGGAGTTCGTTATTTTTGTTCTACAATTTTGTTTATGAACCTGTCCAAAATGAAGATTTTCATCAGTATTGGTGGAAGATTTTTTGCTTTATCTGCTGATCTCGTGAACCGGCGATTTCAAAATTTAAGATCCTTTTCCACGAAAAGAACCGATTTTTTGTACTGTAAAAGACTACTTTGTGTCCCAAGTTAACATTATGTAAAAGACTGTGTTAACGTTTAGAGCTTGTATGTTTTGTATATTCCTACTCTAAAAAAAGTTCAAACCAAATCTGATATTATGAAAGACTGTTTGAAATTGACAGAGGTTGAAAGTTTGAAAAGAGACATAACTTTAAGAGGTAAATGATGTCATTGGTACTTTTGATTATGGTTGCATTTGAAATTAAGAAAAAAACTAAAACTCGTTGCAGCTGTTATGAAAAGTTTTATCGACGTCATCAATATAAAAGAAAGGTAATTTAATTGCTGTTTGTAGTCATTTGTTACACTTTCTATTTTTTATAATAAATGGAAGGAAGATATTAGATCCAAATCTTTACCAAGCTTCACATCAATGAACTTTCCCAATTCGCAGTTTCCGAATCTGAAGGATTATGGGTAATGTTCGTACACCAAAATAGAAATAAGATAAGTCATTGGTTGAATTTCTAACGTTGCTAACCAACAACAACGTTTTGGTGTACGCTTTTAAAATATTACCCAGAATACATTAGATTATGAAACGGCGAATTGGCCAACCATATGGTCCGAGTACACAGTTATCGTCCTTTGATTTTCGTTGTCTCTTACTACAATGCTTTCTAATTAGTTCAATCTATATGCAATAATATTTCGTATTCCTATTCAACTTAATGCTTTTACAAATATACTCCATAGTGTGGACAGTGTATAGATTGCAAATGTTTTTATACACTTTTCAAATTTATTTCATGCATGTTATATTAAGAAAGGGGGTAAATTACATGTTAAAAAAATTTGGGTGCTGAATTTTTATGTAAAGTAGTGATTTGGTTCAATCAAAAAAGGTAAAAAATTAGTATGTCTGAAGCTGTCAAACTGAACTATAGACCCCTTTCACATAGAATTGTCCATATTTTGAGTTAAAGCTGGTAGACTTTTCTATAATATTGATATTATTTGTCGCAAAAGTAGTACACTCACCTGTAAAAATCTATTCGATATAGAGCAATTTTTTTAAATTGAATTTATTGTCTAAAAGAAATGCACTACGAAATAACTGTGTTCTCGGGCCATACCAGACTTTCATTGGTAGTCAATGTCGCGAAACACCCCGTAGTAGTAATTCTTTCTTTCGACTTTTGTCTAGCGTCATCAATTTTTTACTGTTCCAAAGATACGTGATGAAGATACTTGAAAAACAAGTTTCATTTTCAATAAAATGGTTTTGCACATATTTATTTCTACCTCTAGTTTTGGTACAGTTGCTTTTGGACTCTCCGTCCCCTCATAGCTCTTCAGTCGTACGAAACGCGCATCTGGCGTACAAAATTTTAATCCTGGTATCTATGACGAGTTTATTCCCTAGGATAACATCCGTTCAATCTTGAAAAGTGAGTGGGTAAATTTATCATAACGATATAAAAAAAACAACGTTTGATGACATTCCTGACTTTACACATGCACATGAACATGTGAAGGGTTTAAACTGGTAATTAGGCATAACTATGTTTAAAGGGAATAATTGTAATATTATGTCATCATATATTTAGCTGTTGATACTGCTTATTTAATAGCTGTTACACACGCTACAAAATTAATATAATACTTTATAAATTTCGTGCATACAAAGCACGTTTTTGTATGTACCTTCATCAGAAACGCTCAGACCTAAACATTTGAAAGCCTGTGACTCTTTTCACAAAAAATCTTACGTCTAAAATTGATCGTAAGTTATACTGAAATGTTCATAACTTACGAGTATTTTTACTCTTAAGATTTTTTGTGAAAAGAGCTCCAGTGATGTACAATACGTAGTTACGTTAGATCATATATGACCAAAAGGGACCTAAAAGGAATAGTCAAATTGATCTAAGGTTAACTTTGACTGAGGTAGTTGAAAACTTAATTTCTAACTAAATAATATCTTAATCTATCAACGAGGAATTTATAAATGTGTGTTATAAATCATGTTACTACCGAAGCACTGACTACTGAGCTGATGAGATTATCGGTGACTAACAGTGACTAACAGCAGAGGTATCGACTCAGTGTTAGTAAATAAAAATAACGCTTTATAAATTTTGTCCCGTTGAAGCGTTTTTCTTGATTTGGCGAGTTTATATTATTATTATTGGAATAAAATAACGAGAGTTGATATCAAGCGGGTTCTAATTCTTACTCGTTATGAAACCGACAATTGTAAGTTCATATCACACGGGTTGACACAGCATCCTATATATCTTGCCAAGTGTTCTCATTTCGTCGCCATGTTCCTTTTTTATTAGGCAGGCTTCATATAAGACATCTCAAGAAGAATTTAAATAAGCTATGTTTCTCTTTTAACTTCACATTTTGCCATGTATATGTTGTCATATCACAGATTTATATCTAAAAATTGCAAATATAACATTGAACTTGACATAAAGGATACTAGAGATTCCAATAGGTATGAATTGACAGTGAAGGTTGGTTGAGACCTAGAATGAAACCGTAACATCAAAACTGCTTAGATATCGTAAAATTCACTAGTTCATTTGGGTTCCCTTGTGTTGTTTTACGGTCACTGATTATGGTTTGGAAGTTTGACTGTACCTGTAGAAAACGGGATAGCATATCCTAATTTTTACCGAGATGTTTTTACCGAGCCCGAAAATTTAGATACGAGCCGGGTAAACTTATCGATCCTTTAATAAAACTTATTCTAAAAGGTTACCAATTCAACACTGAAATTAGATCTTTGAATATGATATTTATTGGTTTAAATATTGATTTTGATATCAGTAGATTAAAACTCAACTAAATAATATTGTTATATACATATGCATATTCATGGTTCTACAATCTGTCGATACCTGCCATTTGGCATTGCACAAGGTCATATTTTTTTCGGATTGTTAATAACGTCTTTGTATTAAATCCATTGGATGTTGGATGTGTACTATTTGGTATTTTAGTGTTAGATTAATGATTTTTTTTTTATTAATTGTTATTTGCTTTGAACTAGCTGTCATAAACTGCGAGTACTCGAAGATCTGTACTTAGCGTCTTTTTTGTTGTGATGATGTATAAATACCCTGCCACGTCGGGTCTGCGTTTTTGTTACTTGTGTTTCTGCTTTGTATCGATCTGATGAGTTGAGCCCTTTTCAATTGATTCTAATGGGTTGTTCATATGTGATGTTACACCACTGTCCCAGGTTAGGGGAGGGTTGGGCGCCCGCAAACATGTTTTACACCACCACATTCTATATGTGCCCGTCCGAAGTCAGGAGCCTGCAATTCAGTAGTTGTTGTTTGTTGCTGTGTATTATATTTGTACTTTGTTCATTGTTTTCGACATAAATCAGGCCGTCAGTTTTCTCGTTTGAATTGTTTAACATTTGTCATTTCAGGGCCTTTTAAGGATGATTATGTTAACTTCTTTGTTATTTGGACTCAGGTGGAGTGTTGTCTCATTGGAAATTTTACCACATCTTCTTATTTTTATAAATGGAAAAACGTTACCCGCAATTTGTTAATAACACCGAACGATTTATCTTTAAGTTGTTTGTCATCTGCTATCAATAACAATGATTTTACACAAGCAAATGTGCATTTTGATATCAAAACTTAACTAACACGCTAGAAAAGAATGTTCAAGTATTTAGTTGAATATTTAATTTCATCAAAACACAAGGTTTAAATTTCCATTGTAAAAAAACCTAACAAGTGGGCGTAATGTATGAACGTTTACCTGATCTGACCCAATCAAATGGATGGCCACAATAGGTCAATGGATGGTCATATCGAAGCACTTACGGGTTTGATAATAAATTTCATTTCAGCTCCCCATCCTGATTTCCTTGTACTTACAACGTAGCTATTAAACCATCAACCATGTGTACTTAGCAATGAAGTTGAAGTACTAATAACCTGAACGAAAGTTTTATCGGCGTCATAATGATTTGATTGCACGTTATAGAATTTGTGTCACAGATGACAACGGATATGTTCTAGATGTCGAAGCTACAATATCGCCCTCTTTTTTTTATATCATTACATCATTGATTATGTTTTATTACTTATCATGAGCATCACTATCGGAGTATTAACTGTTTACCCATCGGGAGCACCTGTGTTCATCCCTTTGTTTTGTTGGGGTTAATATTGATAATTTCTTACTTTACTGTAGTGTTTTGAACTAATGCTTGTATTTTCGCCATTTTCTTTTAAGCCATAATGTTTGTCATTCTTTGATGTTGTTTTTGAACACCCTCTCCCCTTTTTGGTATTTTCTGCCTCTCAGTTCTATAATCTTTATATATTAAACTTTGTGTTTCTATCATTTTTATGTCAAATATGTAAGTCATGTTCATATTTATTGATTTCAAAATTACATATTAATGCATTTCAAAGTGTTATACTAAAATAAATTATTTAATCAAATTTGTCTGTGCCCCTAAATATTGAGTACTGTATTGTATCAGCTGTCTAATATTATTTTCCCTTAAGCTATAACAAACCGCATACCATAGTCACTATCTCCGAAAAAAAAATCATCTCTGAACTAATCGCATGATATTATTGTACTAATGTCGCAAAAATTTTTCAAAAAATATTTTTATATCTGTAGCTTCGGGTCTCTGAGTTTGATCTTTTGCCCAGCAAGCTTTTATCAAATTTTGCCAGTTTTCGTCTGGTTTATATTTCAGTGATAATGATGGTCGCAGTCCTTCGTCCACTACCGCCTTTTCCAGGGAGGTATACAGTTGTTGTTGTATATGGTCTGCTGCGTCGATGCCATACCACATCTCCCACAGCATTATTCCGAGTGCATAAATATCGGCTCTTCTGTCATAAATTCCTTTCGGAACAAGTACTTCCGGTGCCATATACACAGGTGAACCTAGAATTGATCCACCAATATGATCTTCCCTCTTTGTTAACCCTACATCTGTAAGTTTGACTACGTCATGTCCATCTTTTCTCACCGTCTGCAAGGAAAAAAAGTAAAGTAAAGTCAGTAAATGCATATTTGATTGTATTGACAATTTGATACAAAGTATACATTAATAACTTTTATATACGATAATCCCGGGCTTGTATTTTCTATCATGATTTTCTTGATAACAGGTTGCTTCTCACAAGGAAGCTATTAAACCATGAGTTCCAAGTGGTGAAATTGAAATCGTCCCTTCGTAACTTTTACGGACGCCATCACGAGTTGGTTGACCGTTATGGAATATCCGTTTCACAGATGACCACGGATATGTTCCAATTGTCGTAACTACAATCCTTTTCCCTTTTCCTCGAATGTGACCTATCGAATTAGACTTATCACCGGGTTTGTACTTACATGAGCAACACGACGGGTGTCACACGTGGAGCAGGATCTGCTTACCTTTCTGGAGCACCTGAGATCACCCCCAGTATTTGGTGTGGTTCGTATTGCTCAGTCATTAGTTTTCTATGTTTTGTTTTGTGTAGTGTTGTTTGTTTGTCTTTTTCTTTTTATCCATGGCGTTGTCAGTTTATTTTCGACTTGTGAGTTTGAATGTCCCTTTGGTATCCTTCGCCTCTCTTTTAGAATATCTATGTTCCATATTTTGAAAAATGTGTAATACTAATTTTCCACTATTTACTTCACTTAACATTATTTACTAGCCGGAAAATTCACAACAGGTGATAGTGTTACATTTTGGTAAATCTTGATACTATTTGGCGATTGTTGTATCAGTCACAACATTGCCACCACTTATAGGAAAATAAGAAGACCCCACGGAAAAAGGCGAATAAACAAATCCCTTGAGTCAAAGAATTGAGAGCCACCATTACAATGACGAAACAACTAACATGAGACCACAAAACATTGCACAGAAAAATAAATATTGTCCAGCATGACCTCAACTAAAACTGGGGATAAAATCAGATACTCTGAATGATTATTGGTTCTTGCTTCACTAGCGCATATAATCGAAAAAATAAATTACATCATTTGAGTAGCTTTTTTGAGAGAAATCATCCCCCCTCAAACTCATTCAAAGAAATTCTGATTGGAAACACATACTTTGGAAAATTGTTGCAATATTTTATAAAGATATATTTTTAAAGCGCGGTTAGAATTATGCTGTAAAAATGAATAAGTTAACAAGTTAAATTTGATAAATACAATCAAAAGTCAAAAGTGTTTTATTTATTCAGTGAAAAGAATATCATCTATATAGGGGGACGTAAAAGTGTGCTAACATTTTTCAATTCTTACTGTAAAAAAAACTCAAGATTGCCTTATGCAATTAAACTACCTAGTCAACTGAAAGAAGGAAAACCTTGAATTTGCAAAATTACTTCCTTTGTAACTGAATATTTACTATCAAAACTTTCAGTGAAATCATATAATTACCCAAGAACAGATTTCTTAGTAGACAGTTTAACTCCATATACAGACAATCAATAAAAATATGAATGTAGTAGTAGTTATAAGCATCAACTTCTAATAAACACTGTACATATGTTTTAATGATATTATTAAGCATTACGAACGCACACATAAAAAAGATCGATAATGAACTGTGCTTCGTTTAGATTGCTCTTATATTAAAATTGTCAGTATTTTATAGATTTTAATAAATTTACCAAAATGTTTTCTAATTTCATATCACGATGAACCATTTTCTTCTTGTGGAGAAACTCCAATCCTCCACATATCTGGACAGCATATCTTGCAAGCTCTTCCATTTGCTCTATCTGTACAGAGTATATTTCAACTTTACCAGGGTTTTCGTACTCTGAGCTAATGAATTTATTTTTCAGGGTGTCATCGCAGTATTCCATTATCATAATCCAGTGAACCATTCTCCTGGTTTTACCACTCTGTTGCAATGTGCATCCATGATATTGTATAATATTTGGATGCTGCAGTTCCCTGAAATAAAAATGTGTACATCTGTAACATTTTGTTCTTTTGTCAATCGCCGTTTCCCGCCTTTTCCGATTAAATGTATCATTCGGCATATCGTTCTCTAACACAATGTTGCTGAAATATTGGCCACGGGACTTTAAAACCCAATAAGCAATCAATCAAATTGAAACAAACAACAAAGTGGATAATATTTCAATTATTGTAGCGACGCTTCAGTTATCAAAAAGATTATTTTACTCGTCAGAAGCGCGATACTTCCTCTAATATACTTTAAAATTCCACTATATATGACTGAAATTGACAGCAAAAACATATTTACATTACAACAACACTGAACTGTATAGATGTGACAAATCAAACCAATATTATTTTGATATCGGCTAAGAAAAAAATACCTCAATGTTCTATCTTCTAATAAAATGTCCGATATAACCTTTTCCGACAATGGATCTTTGCAATACTTCAGTGCAACTTTTTCATTCTGGTTAGGTAGTTTAAGTTGACCTTTGAAAACGTCTGCAAAACTTCCACTTCCTAAAAGATCATCTCTGTCCCATTCAACGTCACTTAATCTGTAATCCATGTCCATGATGTAATATACATAAAACAAATCCAGTTCTCCTTGAATTGTGTGACCTGAGGAAATAAATTGTGGATACATCTTCCTCATCTTGTCGTCTGTATCTCTTACACTGTGTGTAATTTTTTCAAGAAGCTGACTATCTGCTTTGAGAAATTCTGGTATTTTCTTGGCAATTTCATCCACACCTTTTACCAATTTGCCCAGATAGTTTGAAATTTTGTCTTGTAATTCATTTCCCTGAAAAATTGACTCAATAAACATGACTGTTGCCTCTGCCATTTTCTTTGTATTATTATCTTTCTTGTAAGCTTTGAATATTTCTCTAAATTTTTTGTTACTGGCTATAACTGAACCAACAGCTCCTACCGCTCCTCCTAAGCCTCTTACGTCATCATCAACACCATCTCGCTTTGCTTTTCTCCATAGGGCTTTTACTGGTGCTTGCTTCTTCATTGATTTGTGGAGGTCGTTTATTATCTTTTTATCCTGTTCTCCGAGAAGAGTACCTTTTAATGAACGAAAATATGTTCTTGAATTCGTGATATATTCAATGAATAGAAAAAAAATTTTAATCAATTTAAATCATCTGTTGTATCAAATTGTAAAATGTTCTTTTTGCTAAATTTGAAATCTAAAAATTAAAATTAAAAAAAAATCTAAAATTTATGCAAATACGGTGAAAATAAATTCGTCTTTGCGTGTTTTCTAACATGCTTGTATGGTTATATGATAATTAAGAGTACATGTCAAATAAAACCATAAACACATATTCTGCAGTTAATGGGAACCCAAACATAATGGAGACACAAATCGGAGATCTATGATCTTTTATAGAAGTGAAGATCCCAATTTGCATATTTTTAACATCATTTGCTGTGGGTTTTTATTTAATCATACTGTTATCATCGTAAAATATAAAAACCAGACCTGTCCTTTTCACAAAAAGGAAAAATGTATTATCTGCCATTTTATAAAATGTCCGCTTACAGAAATTTTCAAATTAGTTAATTTTCAAAAATACAAATAATGATTATGAAAGAATTTACCTTCTATTGTTATGATTTGGTCCTCTAGTAGTTCACAATCTCGTTTAAATTTCTTTATCATCTTCTCTTTTAGTGAGTGGATAATTCGTTGTTCCTTTTCCCATCTATTTAACTCTACTGCAACTTTACTTGCAATTCTTTCGGCTGCTTCCTTTGCCAACTTCTTAGAATCATCAGGAGGTGGACATTCAACCTGGTTCCAGTCAGTCAATGTGCTGAGCATGTTCCGTGACCTTAACACGTCAGCTGTTGTTTTGTGCAAATCTGTTATCTCATACTGTAGTCCTTTTCTCAGATCATCAATTGTATGTCTTGATTTCGCCTCTAAGGCGTCCATATTACGTTTGATTCCGTCCATCTTTTTGGTCATTTCTTCTTTGTCTACAGCGTCTAATGTTTTAGATACTTTCAGTGAGTAATTAGCTCTTTTTAGAATCTGTGACAACCACCTATTATTGAAAATAAAATTTCATAATAATCACTATCAGTCTCGAGAAAGTTACGATAGAACAACTGGGTCGTAAGGATGGAGATCAGCACGTCCTCATTAATTGTATATGTGTTAGTTCATGGACACAGTCTTAAGTAACGAACTTAGTTGTAGAAGGGGATTTATATTTCGATCCTTTCTAAAATATAATCAAAACTTCTAGCTCGTTGACAACGTTAAGGTTTCTTGCAGTAATATAGTTACACGAATATATATCACAGTCTCACGAACTACGGGTGTATTTTCAATAGTTGGACTATAGCTTTTATCAAACTAATTGCAATTATCAAGTATATTGACGGTTGTAATGTTCAAACATGGTTGCCTCAATTCATTGATTTTACTGAATTACTTATCTTACACCTAAAAAACGACTATCATCTATTGCTGCTTAAGTTGGTAATGAAAACGCCATCCTAGATATGCGCCCGTTTTGCAGTGAAGTCTCGGATTTCAATTTTAACACTAGTAATTAAAAGAAAAAAGATTTACTGTGGAAGAATTCGGATTAATAGACTTATTTTTTCATAGGAATTGCTCTTCCGAGATCATTCTCAGTTTTTGATTGGGTTCGTGATGCTCAGTCTATAGTTTTCTATGTTGTGTTTCGTAGACTGTTGCTTGTATTTTCGTCGTTTTTGTTGTTTTGTTTGCAATGGCGTTGTCAGTTTGTATGTGACTTAGAATATCCCTTTTGTATATTCCGCCTTTCTTATATTGATAAAAGTTATAATTGTACTGTTGTTCAATCACTGTTACAGTGTTCATATTCATTTCATAGTGACTAACATGTTCTCGTCCTGAAATGTATGTTAGATTTTTCACTGGATGTTAAACATCAGTCAAATCAACCATCACAGATCAGGAACCTCTTCAGTAGTTGTAGTACGTCATATCTTAATGTTCTTCGTTATCTGGAGAGTTGGTGTTGATGGCTGATCATTATTGATTGTCTCTTTTAATTTTAATCAACTTTTAAAGACTCGGGACGAAATTGTTTTGACACCTGTCTATTGTTCAAGAATGTATGGTAATTTTTCCTTTGGCCTTCGAGTGAGTTAACTTCTGCTAATTTTAGAGGAGTGCATAAACTGAATGAAATTTTAGTTATTTCACTTTCCAATCCAAGTTTTACATTTGACATGTGTCATAGCCCATCAATGTTACAAATCATATATAGCCGTGCCTTACTAATTTACATTTTTAATTCACTCAAAGCTACGCTTTTCGTTAATTAAATAAGTTTATTCGTAAAACGCGTGCTATATATATATATATATATCTTGTATAGATATCGTTTGATTATTTTTGTTATTGGGTTGCTTTTTTATTAACGAGTAACCAACATCTCCTTTTATTCAATTGAAGATGTGAATATGTAGGATATACATGAATGAGACACATTACATGTCTCCTTAATTAGTTTGTGTATAGTTATTTTGTTTCTCCACTTTCTCATTTTGGCATGCTTTGTTATTGAATAATTTGTTTATACTTATAATTACCGATAATGCGAATTGAGCTGTTGACGTAAACTAGCTGGAAACAATCGCTGCAGTCCATTGGATATAAAATCTTCATGACCAGAATTTATGGTTCCGAATTCTATTGCACGTTTGGCCTAAATATAAGAAACACCATATTGATAACACCGACCAAAAACGAGTAAAGGACTACATTTTCTACAAGTACATATACACTGTAGAAACTGAATTTGAATTTTGAGCATCTGTAAACATTTTGTAGTATACCTTCTTTTTTTCCAACAATCCGCAATCAGGAAGTCGTTATCCAGAAGATTTAAGATTGAATGCATTGTAGAACTTAATATGATCGAGCTTCTGATCAAAATAGCCATACGGAAGTTCTGAAAATCAGACATACGGTGCGAGTAAACATTATCTATTTCAAGCCAAAATGTGTAATCTCTTCTTTTGATACAAGTTAAAACAAACTTCGTCAAAAAGTTTTATGTTCGACTGAAATAGTAAAACTTCTATCATTGGCAAGCTGTAATAGCAGTAACGATACCAATTGTACTGCACCAGGTGCGCATTTCGACAAAACAATGTCAAATCAGTGATGCTTGAGGCTGAAATACTTGAAAACCCAAATTTATAGCGTGTACATGTCAGAACTGCATGGATTTCATCTATCAATTTCTAAACCAAATATTAAATCAGCCCATTTAAAAAAGGAAAGAAAAATATACCAAAAATGTCTAATTTAGTGGGTACAGTTAAAATAAAACCCTTTGCCAACAAATACGTGACATCACGACAAAACATAAATTCGCATACACGAACTATAGCTAAACATCATTAAGCTCAAAACAACTGATATGACTGGTGTAACTATTCTTTTTAAATTAAACCCAAGAAAACCTTTGCAAAAACTTTATGTTCATTGGATAGTTATATATCACGTTAGTATCAGCATCAAATAGATGCATTGTTTATCTGAAAATCGATTAATTGGTTCAACTGAGAATTGAGTTGAACTTGAGGCGAAAGGACGAATGGACAGACTAATGCAGTATACCGCCACTCTAAAAGTGAATCTGTAATTAAAATTGTCGGAGAAAATCTTCATATTAAATACAAAAATCCTTAATAAGTTTTATAATTAAAGTTTACTATAAAAATTTTATGTTGACCTCAAATTTCTTGTATTGATATTAATTCTCTGAGATATTACCTCTGTGGTTGAAAAGTAATATATTTGCTCTTGTCGAAGTCCCTGAAATATTTGTTCCAATCGGTACACAATTCCCCGCTTTATTTCTTCCCTGTCCTTAGGTGGTACGACATCCCATTTATTGCAAATGAATAAAGTGGACGACGGACTGAAATCTTCTTCTGAAGAGTTGACTATATTTCTTAGAAAATCTTTCAACTAAAATATACAAAGTATTGATAATTACAAATTATGTCAGCACTACGGCAGATACAACAGGATATGTGTTGCGGGTTGCCATTCAAAACAATTGATTTTGCAATGCATCAGATTTTTTCTACCGTTCCTTTTGACATTTCAATACGATGGATTTTGCAAAATGTACGAAAGATTTTGATATGTTTAACCCATTGCATCTGCAGTACCGATAGTCGATAACAGGGTGAAAAGTATAATCGACAAATTTTCAGTTTTACAAAACTGTATAGCTGCTTCACATATCTTCAACGTTTCCTAGGGAAATGCTTTGCTTCCTTTAAGATTACACCATTTCTATAACTGGTGTCTAAGTTTGTAGGCTGTTTTTTTCTAATTTACCAGTAAGATATCATAAATTTGTCATGAATATTGTAACATCAAATGAGACTTATATTTAAAAATAACTTCCTTCTTAATTTATTAAGAGTTTGTCAGCATACATCAAGTCTCATTGTACTATTTTGTCAAACTGGCACTTGTACTATAGTCTTAGGCTAGAACTGTACTAAACTCTGATTTATTAATTTGATCAAGTTAACACAATTTATTCTTGAATACAATTGTCATTCTTTTTATTATTCTGATAATATACTGTTATAAACATATCTTTTGATACGGTTTTGTACTTTTCCTACTTATGTGGGTTTTTTTAAAACTATTACAGTTACTTTAGAGTAGATGGCTTTTCTTGTTCTGATCTTTAATCTATAGGTATACACTTTTAATGTACATGTTTTATTCCACTGATCGAAATTAATAAAGGGAAACATAAAGGTATAAGAAACAAGAAAAAATAAAACTAACCCCCGCAATATGTCAATTTACATGACTATTGTCCTAAGTAAAAAACTCTTAGTTTTTATCTGAAGTTTTTGTCATTTGGGAAACTTGGTTTTGATGACAGATTTTTGAAAGTTTCTCGTATATATTCACAAATTCTTTTAGACTCGATGCGTTTAGTGCTCGATATCTTGTGAAGACAGCTGTCTTTTGTTGAAGACCTTATGCTTACATGTAGATATCTTATTTTTTCTTTCTTTTGTGTATTTTTTTCATTAGCGCACACCCAATATCTCCTTTTATTCATTGAAGAAACCATGTGAATGTATAAAACCTGATAGGTACATTACAAATAAGTTTTATGGTTCAAAAATTTTAAATTTCATGCGTCCAAAGAGAGGTGAAATTCAATCAGAAACACTTCTAGGACATTAATGAGTTATCAACCATTTCTTACCCGTCCTCTCTGAACACCGCCTGCATTAGCAGTATTCACAACATAAATAAATCCACACGATTTTGAGAGGTACTTTTTAAGTGATTTGTGTATCTGGTTGTCACCGAATCCAGGAGTATCTATTATCACCAGACCTTCCTGGAAAAAACCCAGTAAATTGGAAATTTTGTATCATTACTTATTACAATATACTTGTACATTCAACATATTATACAGTAAAAAAAAATTGTAAACGGCATTATGAAATATTTCATCTGATCATCCATGACCTTTACAATAAACCCACATGTTCTCTTTTTCCTAAAACGGCAACGCTTTTAAACATTGCCATTTAAATTTAAATAATAAAATCCAATTGCGTAACAAGACTTAAATTGCTAATAAGAAAACAAATTACATAGCCGCATAAAGGCCGGTTCAATGCAAACATTTTAATATCATGTAGTCATAAATCACATCTAGTAATAAAATCATCGTAAAAGTGGGTTAATATACTCATATCTTTTGCAATCACAAGTCAATAAGAGAGTTTCTTTTTAGTAGAAAAGTCAGCTGCAACTTCAGGTTTACGCATCTTACAACTGTGGACAAGATATCCAGTAAAACCTATTTGTTAAATTGAAATTAGAAACCAAATCAATTGGCAGAAAATTTGAAGACATTATTTTTTTAAAGAGATACCTCTGAAATAAAGAAAATATACCTCGACTTGATCCTTGATACACTCAGCAAAAGTTAAAATTCGGCACAGTTGCCGTTTGATACGTTTGAAGTATCTCTCATAATTAATTGAAAAATTAAACTGTTATATAAGAAGCAAAACTTGAGTGAATAAAAGATTGAAAAAAAAACGTGTATCTTGATAAGCACGAAATTTTATTTGAAATAGTGTATATTTTTACAATTTCATATATCCCATTACAACATACCTCAATTATATCAGTCGGCCAATATATTTCAATTTTATCGTACGGATTGTCACCATAATCGTCTTCATATACTATTTCTCTTCTTAACCTTTCTTGTCCTTCCTTGGTACTTAGATCTATCTCTGATCTCTGTCCGCCATTAGACCCAAAGCAGATTGCCTTCTTTCGACCATCTTTGCTCTTCCGTATTTCACAGACTGTTTGTGTGCATTTAATACCACTTGTAGGAAGAATGTCGGCTTCCAGCAATAAGTTTATAAGACTACTTTTTCCTGATGTTGCCTCTCCTAGAAAAAGATGACTTAGAGCTCATTGTTGTGCAAAAATATATTGAGGTTTTGAAACTTTTAGTGATGCTCAAGCTGAAGAAATCAATATAACAATTACTTCAATGTATTATCATAACATGCATAAGAAAAAAAGAACATCATTTGATGCACATGCCTGGCGCATAATTCTCGTGTACTTCAAAAAAAAAAGGAAAATTCATCAAAGACCAAGCGCTTTCATTACTGATTACAACTCACAGCAAGACATGTAACCAAGGTCAAAAGCCCATGCGTCAACTAAAATGATACCTTTTGATATTATAATCGAAATCCACTTCATACGTTATCAAAGAAATGCTTGCAAGAGTAACCAATGAATTGCACTGATGGGGTTTTCACCACTTATTTCATTTTTGAATGAAGTTTAATATCAGAAAAATCTTAAAAAGAGACTCAATGTCCATGATGGACACTGGTTTTATTTTGTAAATAATATCTAGTAGCAAATTTGACTTGCAGTAATGCATGGCTATGCTTTTGTAGAAGCTGTACATATTGTTAGTTTAGTTGAAAATGTTGTACAATATGCCATTAATGTTCGTCGTCTGTATTCATGTATTACCGAACTATTCTGCTCGAAATGCATTGTGTCAGGGGCAAAGTGTTGTTTATTTAGCTTAATTTAAAACAAAAGAACATGCATTTATATTATTATATACCTGCAACAAGAATGTTACATTCAGGTGATGACAATTCGGATCGCTTCAAATGAGCAGTCTTTTCAATGTCTGGAAAGATATTATTCAAATCTTGTTGGAAGTTGACAGGTAGTTCTTTATAAAAGTTCACGACTTTGTCATACAGTTTCATTAATTTCTCTCTATTTCCTCTGTGATATTGCAATGCTTCTTGTAAAACTGTTCCTCCCTGAAAAGTTTTTAAAAATATGCATAAAAATAAGTAAGTTATATATATAATGTCCAACCTTTTTTAAGGAAATAATTGGTAACACAGTCTTCTTCGTGTGATTATTTTGTGCAATGGTAAAGATTATTGTTCATTCGATTATTTAATTTCAAATAGATGAGAGCTAATTTTAAAAGTGTAAATTGCGGAAATTAAAGTCAGCTTGTTCGTTTTACAATACATATACAATACAATAGCGAAAACATCACTCAATCTGCTATTTTACAGAAAATTTTGTTTTTGTTTAAAACCAATATGATTTGTTGAATGTGCAAACGGTTCAAAAATTTTCGAGATGATATTTACATCGAAGAACCTGCACGCAGCAAAATAAAACTACAAGTTGTGCAAATGCACCTGTTACATGATTCATTGTTGGTTGCTTAACGTCCAGTGGCAAATATTTCATGCATTTTTAGGACGACACATGTTACATGTGCAGTGGTTATTAATTTTTTTACAATAAGCTTCCGTGCTATAAGTTGCGGCGAAAAATTATTGTCCGTAATGTTCAGGCGATTCTCAGTGATACTTTTATACCAGATGTAGGTTGTGTAACGAGACAACCGTGCACTGACCTGTATACCTGTATCAAGTCACTAGAATTTTAGACCACTACTGACCAGTATACATGTACTAAGTCAGTAGAACAAAAAACAACTATTGTCCAGAATGCATGTACAATGCCAGTCGGACAACAGACAACAATATTTCTACAAGGTCAGTAGAACTAAAGCCATCTAACGATTAATATATCTGTATAAGTTCAGTATAACTAAAGACATCCACTGACCAATATGTATGTACAAGGTCAGTGGAACTAAAGTAATATCTGACCAGTATACTTGTACCAAGTCAGTAGAACTAAAGACAGCATGCATACATGCACAAGAATCAAACATGATGTAAAATATATGTTTTTTTTTCAGTGCATAATGAATTCTCAAGTTATCTTCTATGTTATACTCACACTTTGCTTATGTATGTATATAGAATGCATGAAAATAAAAATACGAATAGATAAAAAAAAAGATGAATACTAAAGTGCAAGGTCATGAAAAAAGTCAAAAACGAAAAGATCATTGGCAAAAAAGAGACAGCACGAAAAAATGAAGTGAATAGGAATTATATGTCCTTACTCTCATTATTTCACCTCTATCTAAATTACGGAATAAAATTGGTATACGTTTGGCTGAAATTTAGAAACGTCATATAGAAATCAATATCTCAAAGTATATAAGTAAAAAAAGTATTCATGCTTAATCAAATGAAGCATAGCTTAATTAAAATTCACACGTTGATGCTTCAGAATAATTTTCAATGATCAGCAGAGTGTCTGACTTAAATTTTAATTTATTAAGATCGATGAACTGTCACTTTTTGAGTACAATTAGTCTGGGACTTCCCCCAACAATTTGAATATAATTCTGAAATCTGCTACCTTTAAACACATTAGTAACGATAAAAAGGCGAAATAGTCTCAATGTTCCGAATGACTGATTCTTTAGAAAACGGTTAAAACATTGACTAGTATCGTGTTGCAGTGATTGTAATTTGTCATGTCATGTGAGTTATTCGCCTACAGAGATATAAAAAAAACATAGTGTGGATACATAATTTATCATTTTAAACCTATCACTATATAAATAGTCTTCTCGTTCCCATCAGTATAAATATACCGACAGAAGCAAGCATGATTCAAATATATTCTTATTTTTAAACACACCAAAAACAGACCGAATTATCGAAAAGTTTGCTAGAATTTAGGTTTCTATCTTAGGTGCATCACTGTCATATTCTTTTTATTGCATTTTCAAACCAATAAAAACAAACAATTTAACACACGCATTCATAAGACTAATGAATTTGTATACATAAAGGTCGAAATCAGTTAAAATAAAATCTTACCGTTTTTCTATCTTTGGGTGCAACAGCTCCATTTTCTTTATAAAATTTGACTAGTTCTGATACGAAAATATCTTTATTTGCAGTTTTTGGTGCTTTTATTCCCCACTGTTTAAAAAGTTTCATCATGGACGATATATCTTTCAGTTGTAAAATGTCTTCTACATTGTTGATTTGTATTTCTGCCATCTTGTCTTGTCCGTGGTCAGTAAATTCTTTCACGTGTGCTGTAATAAGAAAGTCTTGAGATTCTTTATAATTGCTCCATAATCCGATTCTGTGAAAATGGGTGAATTTTGGTCACAGTGGTTAAATCAAACTTCCTTATTGTAAAAAAAAATACAGAATTATTTATAAGAAGTGTAAAAACCTATGCGCAGTCGCTGTAAATATGAAATGGTATTTAAGTTGTTTGCTTGAAATTTTAGCCTCACAAAACCCGTTTAAACGACAATACTATATTTGTTTTGAATATACGGATCAGTTATGAAGATCAACAAAAATGAATGTTTAATATGTTGTCTATAACACGTGCCATAGACATTTAAACTAAAATATCAGCTTATGACTTATATTCAACTGCATTCAATATAAATCGTTGTAAACCATTTATACGAAATGGCGGGCACATTAGAAGGAAGCAGCGAAAAGTGTATAGATATATCTTCTCAAATTATAAAAGACATTGAAGACTTTTCTGACGCCTTCGAAATTGCAGAGAATTTAGACGTCGACCTTGGTGGGCTTGGAGAGCTGGAAGAAATGAAAGAACGATTGATGATGGAATTTCATAAGTGTCAGGCTGGCTTTATAAATCATAAAGAAAAGGTCGGTATAATGAATATAAGTGATCGCCTCTTTGCCATTCAATGTCCTCGGCGACACTTTTGGCTTTGCAATACTATATTTCAAGAAAAAGAAATCTTTAAAAAAAAAAGCTCTTTCTTGGGATTTCTTCCAGCACTAACAAGTTTGTAACATTCAAATAGATGATATTTGTATTTTTATTGTTTCACAAATTGTGGTTCTGGGCTTTTTTCGGTGGAGTTTGATTGAGTAATTCAACAGATTTTGTATGTGTTATAATTTTTGATGTTTATTAGTTTATACCTACGTATTCTGTCAATATGCTTTCAGTTTACATATGTCTATTGACTATAGTTAAGGGTTTTGGCAAAGTCAGAACATCTCAAATTGTAAAGTTGGTACAAAGTTGTAGCGAAGCAAAAGATATTGATAGTATAAGAGATGTTAAATGAAAAAAAGGGACGGATACATTTATCGTGGTTATAAAAATTATAAATATAATGTTTATCCTTTTAAATAAATCATAATAATAATAACAAATAATAAGAATAGTATTAACTTGAATTTGCATTGTCAGAGAATTGGCAAATGAAAAGTTTCTTTACACAAAATGTTCTTTAAAATATTGCCGTACTTATGAAATTTCCAACTACTCATCATTTCAATTTTCTTACTCGGTTCTTGGAAAGAATCATTAATAGAATGTTAAAACAGGTTTTCGGGGAAGATGGTTACTACAGTTTACAGTCTAACCCAGTTTAATGTTTAGTTCTTCATCTTTGAGGGAAGGGAGTAAATGACAAGCAACCCTAACTAAATTTTATTTTCAATTTTCCAAAAAGTACCGTTTAAAACGTTATTATAAGTTAACTAAAGTTTCCATTGTCAAGAATATGTAGATGAAAAGTTTTTTAACATAAAATGTTCAATGAAATTTTGAAGAAAAAAAAATTGTTTCACTTACATGTATTAAATTTTCCTCTATACTCATCATTAATATACTAACTCGATAGGTTCTTGGATATGGATGGAATAGAAACTTTTCATTGATAATTATTATATCTGAACCAGTTTTTAGGCTAACACAGTTTAATTTTATATCTTTAGTGGTGCGAAAGAAAATTTCAAAAAAACCTATGAAAAATATCATGTTTTTTAAAGACGTTAAATTTAGGTGAGTTATCCGAAATTACTATTCTGCCACTTCTCTTTAAAAGTTGACATTAAAGTAAGTATAAGTAGCCTTAAATTAAAAGGGCATTAGCTACGAGATATAAAAAAATGAAAGATGATTTTTTTTTTCAATCATTAATGAAAGTGATATAGTGAAATGCTAATTCGCTTTTAGCAGCCAATTTGGTTCAGTTTTGTTAAAATAAGATAAGAAACTTCGCTGATGAATTATTCACTTGCAAGTCAATAATTCGACCTCATTGGATCCATATTCATGTGAACTTTAATTTAACCCCTTAGCTAAAGATGGGTTACGCATGTATTCAGCTATTTAAAGGAAAAGAATGTCAATATTGAAAGTGAAACAAGGATGAATCATTTGATTGACTGATTCGATCCACAAAAAAACCATTCTTACACAGGTAAAAACGACGATAAACATTTTTTAACCTACAATATGAAATCAAACAGACCTAGAAAAATACAATTGCATGTGGACGCTATCTGTTTATATTTTTAAAGTGCCAATCTGCCTTAGAATCAGGCAGTGGTGAAAACATGACAAACAAAAAACCCACTCAAGTTGACATTAATTTATGTTCAAAATGTATGATGGTGCACGAATATTACATTCGTTTCCTTGTCCTGTTCTGGTAATTCAAGATATATCTTGGTTAAAATGCACTAGAATCTAACAATTAAAGGGAGCTAATACCGTAATTTGCTATCATTCTAACCAAAATTTATCTAGAGATTTCTCGAATTACCAGACACGCAGAAAAGAAAGACCTACCATTTCTAACTTAGGATGAGGGTAACTTCAAAATAGGATGGTTAGGTCGGTGGGTTTTTTTCGCCCATGTTTTGATTTTTTTCAAAATTGCCTGATTCTTACAAAGACTGGCACTTAAAATACTTATGTTTATATCGGGTTATATGATCGTCGGCAGTCTTCGGAGGTCATCTGGATGGTTAATTAGGTGACGTCTAGACAAAAATACACAAGAAATGTTGATACATATTATGGAGTCCATGCATTGTTAATTGTTTATTTTGGACTATTTGGATATACGTTTTAGTATGTTATAAATCAAATACGAAAATTTGAGTCAAATCGGTCAAGACGAATTTGACAGCTAATGCCCCTTTAAAGGTAGTCAGTGTATAAGTTGTTTAATTTCGTTTTGTTAGATCAAGGCTTGCAATTTAAATGACCCGGTCATCTCGTATTTCGCGGAATTCTATTCATAGTGGAACTTTTCAAATTAGGTCTGACAAAGCATTTTCTACACTATTATTCAAATCACCGTTTTAAAAAGGTGTAATCGGTTTTTGAATTAGATTTTTGATTATTTGATTTTAAAGCATAGTTTCAGAACTTTCTCCCTCCAGGATATAATATAAGTTTTAAGTAGTAAACCTAGTTAAATTATGTGGATCTGATTAGTAACTGCAACAGTTCTTTAATCATACATTACAGTTTATTTTTGCGTTGATAGCAGATCTTTCATTGTTTCTGTTTAATTTACTCTCAAAGTTTATAGGCTCGGTACAATTCATAGCTCGATTTATTCTATTGTTGAAGGCGATGTGTTGTTCTCTATATGTATGTTGGCGTATATCTTCATAGAATTCAATGATTTGTGGAAAAGGTTAATCTCGTGCGATTTGTTCATGCACATACTACAATACTAATGTATTATTATTCTTTTGTTCGGTAAAATATGTGCATTTATGTAACGGTTCGATGCCTATCTACCAGACATGAGTATTGACATTTTGTATTTGAATCAATTCATAAAAATTAACATGTTTGACAGAACATTTTGTATGTCAACAATTGATTATGTTTAAGTTTTTTATTTAACATTTTGACACCAAAATTCAGGAAGTATTGTTTAACCATTTCAAGGATTGATTTTCAATGATAAGTGCATTATGAAATAATTTATTGAATTATGTGACTAATTGCGGGATTTTAATTGGCTTACACACCAACCAGGAACAATATAATATTTACTTTGAAGATTATTGTCATATTTTGCTTTGAATGATATCATGCTGTGCATTAGTGATCCGATTTCTTCCTTTGTATGTTATTGATTTTCAAGTTTAATTGGCTCACATGACAGTATCTTTAGCATAAAACTATTTATGCCTTTCATGTTAAATACACAGGTACTTGGGGATCTATTTTTGTTTTCCTTTCTTCAATGTGTTTAGTCTTATGTTTACAGTAGTGTTGTTATTATCAAAACCACCGGTTTAGGCAAAAAACGCGAAATATTTTACCCGTAAACTTATGGATTTCAAAAACCATTGTTTAACCCAAAATGTCACATCTCGGTATTTGAACTTTTAACTTGAACATAAACATGGTCATTTAAATTTTGAACTTCTTCTCAGATTTTTGAACTTCGATATTTTTGCTGATTTGTGTCCTCATTATCAGCAAATAAATATACCTTTGTTCAATAATGGTGATTTCTCACTTTCCGACTTGACCATGTGCTAGCGCTTGTTGAATGTTTTTCATCGGCTAATGAAAAGATTTTCCTATTTATAATAATTTATTTCAACGTCGAATTCTAACATAATTTTATGTGTCGATACTGTTGTTGACTGCTATATTTGCATCTCACCGTCGTTGCTTGTAATTTTGGAACTTTCATGTGTATTCTTTGTTTTTGGTTTTCATTATCCAAAACGGACGAACGTTATGTTGATCTCTTTATGTCTTTTTTTTGGAGGAGGGGGAGATGTGTTACTCTCTCAAGAGCGAATCGAACTTGTGTCCTTGTAAACAGGAGTTTGAAACATCGAAAGGTGTATTGCTCGAACTTTTCAAAATTTGTCATTCATCAACATTAGATATTTGGTGAAATGGCAAGAAGAATTAAGACTTTTTAAACCCAACAAACTAAGCAAACGGGATAACTGAAAATACATATTTTTATAATAAACTGTCTTTTTATGGTGAGCCCCAAGTATGAAACGAAAGCAAAATATTATTCTAGTTCAAAACATCTGATACATTGCACATATAGCTTCCTTAATTGGTTAAATAAGGGGGGGGGGAGATTTGTCTGTACAGTTCGAGAAGATTATCACACAAGCAAATCCTAATGCGTATTTTAAGTTGATTTCATTTATTTGTGGTTTTCTTTTAATTTTAAAGAATGGTAAATATGATATTTTTTTTTAAATGTGATTTCTACATACTTTCAGATATGTCGGGAAATGAAAGATTACAAAAGAGATGACATTAACAAAAGAGGAAAACTTCATGACTTATTAACCCAAACAAAAACTACGTTCTCAAAAGTAGATGCCAATCCCTCCGAAGGAATTTCTGTAATAGAGAATGCTCTCAAAACAGAAGGATTTATAAAAAATCTTGGCGATGAGTTCTGCATCAGACAGGAGACCATTAGGAAAGGAGAGTGTTGCATCGTAGTTGCAGGTTTGTAGTCCTAGAAGAATATATTTGGACACATGCAAATAAAAATCAGTTGACTGATGAATATTTTCCTTTTCTTAAATTTTTTTTAAGCTGTGATCAGTTGTATTCATATTAAACTTAAATATCTTCAAGCCCACAGTCGAAATTCAATTCCTAATAATTTTATAATTCTCGTGAAAGTCAGCAAATAACCTGAAAGAATCCTTTTAAAAGTGTCCTTTTTGCAAAAAAAATGACATCAAAATCAACAACATTTGTTTTTCGTTTATTTATTGTTTTGTACATAAATCGAGTCGTTAGTTTGAATTGTTTTACATTTGTCATTTCGAGGCCTTTTATAACTTGTTGTGCGGTATGGGTTTTGCTCATTGTTGAAGAAATACGGTGACATATAGTTGCTTACTTCTACGTCATTTGGTCTCAAGTGGAGAGTTGTCTTATTGACAATCATCTTATCTTCTTATTTTAGAAATGAAATATAAAAAGAAAGTTTGTAATTATTTTGCAGGCGAAACGTCAGCCGGAAAATCTCTTTTCTTAAACCTGATATTGGGTGAAGACATACTGCCGTCTAAGCATGCGTCTTGCACAAGTGTCATCACACGACTGTCATATGACAAGAAAAAACATGCAAGAGTTATCTATCATGACAAGAACAGACCGGATGATGTATTTGATGATATTGAGCATGGCAAAATCCAAAAACTAGTGTTCGAAGAAAACCTAGACAAGAGGGAAAAAACTTCAGATATAAAGGAAGTCCAGATATTCCTTCCCGCTAAACTTTTAGAGGTAACACTTTCTTACTATATATTTTTTGGCATGGCAATATAAGTAAAATTGTATTTTTAATAAATTTGATTATAGTGATCGAATGACTTTTGATAAAATTATAGCCACAGTGAAGCACAGAAGAATAACGTATTTAAAAATAAATCAATGAACAGAAGAAAACGTAAAAACAGAGGCTTCTCGTTTCTTATGCCTTGTGTAAAATCATGTGTTTAAACAAGAACTCATTGAATTAGTAAAAAATGCAAATATGAATTAAATGGTATGTGGAGTATTCGTCACTTGGCAAACAACGACAAAACGACACAAAAACAAGCTATCTTAAGGAAAATATATTGTCTTCGACAATAGAAAAACGTCCATTCCATAAGTCAGTCTCTTTATTGCTGCGAGTAAGGAAGTTAATCAAAGATATACCATCGGTACCAAGTTCCTTAATTTTAATTAAAGACATCCACTGGCGAAATGCCTGGTTCGGGGAAGGCCCATCAATATAAATTAGTTTTAAACTATATCTTTTACAGAAGAAAAAAACGACCATATATAAAAGCAACTTTCAATTTTATATTATTTATTCAGATATTCAAATCATACTACATGAATCCTTGCTATCGTAGTGGTCTTATTAGTCCCCTACCGACGAAGTCAAAGGGGACTTTAGGTTTGCACTCCGTCCGTCCGTCTGTCTGTCTGTCTGTTTGTCTATCTGTCTGACTATCTGTCTGTCTGTCCATCCGTCAGTCCGGCAAATCAGTTTTCCACACTTTTTTTCTTCGTGCTTGAAGATATTGATTTGATATTTGGTGTATTGTTTTATCATGACAAGTTACAGATCAATTTCGAATTCGGTTCCGGTCTAACGATTTTGTGCAGAATTATCGTCCTTGAACTTAGAAAATTCACTCAAATAATCAGTTTTCCGCACTTTTTTTTTTGTCATGCTTGAAGATATTGATTTGATGATTGGTATATAGTTTTATCATGACAAGTTACAGATCAAATTCGAATGTTGGTCCGGTCTGATGATTTTGTGCAGAGTTATGGTCCTTGGTCTTGGAAAATTCACTCAAATAATCAATTTTCCACATTTTTTTCGTCATGCTTGAAGATATTGACTTGATATTTGTTATATAGTTTACACCATGACAAGTTATAGACCAAGTTAGCATTTTGTTCCAGTACAATGAATTTTTAACCGGTAGGCAATACTCACAGAATGCTTGTTTAAAATTGATTATGTTACCTTTATTTAGAGTGGAATTGTACTGATAGATACACCAGGTATAGGAGAAAACGATGGTATGGACATTGTGATAGAAAAATTTGTAGATGAAAATCAAGTAACGGGATTTATTTACATGATAAAATCTGATAACGGTGGTGGAGTGGACGAAGATAGGGTAATTATTAATATGTTCTTACTAACATACTAGTATATAATACAATGAAGTTAAATAAATACAACGAATCTAGTTTATTTGATTTCTATAAAAGTGATTCTGCTTTTAATCCATTTATTTTCATCATGGCTTATCTGTTACACCTTGTTTGTTCCTATTTCATGTTTCCACGAGTCAAAGCATATTTTATTGCTCTCAGTATGATTTAAAGTTATCCCCTTTGTTTCTTCTGTCTCTTTCTATTAATTCTTTTCTGGTTGAAAATTCAAGGAAGTTCTAAATAAAAAAAATGCAATAATATTAAAGTATCGCATATTGTTTCACACGAACAAAAGGAAACATAGGATATTTGTCAGTCAGATAGCAACATATATTGACCATGTAAAACGAAAAGACGGTCATCCATTATTAATATTAATAGTATACCTAGCTTTAAATCCTATTTAACGAAAAAAATACATAAACAGACAGCAAAAGTAAGCTGATTAAAATTTGCTTAAATTAGTAACAAGGGATTTTGCTGCATAATACAGTAAGAAATTCTGAAACCAACTCCTAACTTTAATTCAAAGTTAACCTCGACTTTTTTGTTGTTCTGCCTGCAAAGGACTTTTAGTTTTGATGTTAACAAATGTTTAATGTATATGACTTCCCGAACTTTTGGTCTAGAATAAAATGTTGTGTAACGTTTTCTTCGGAAACATTTTTCTTGCTCAATGAAATAAGTGACATTTGTTTATATTTGTAAACGTCATCCTGCTACCTATTGTCCAACTTAGCCACCGTCGGTTGATTTCACTTACTGAAGCAATACTGACCACCGAAGTACCCGTTGTACCAATATCATATATAATAAACGCACCAAATTTTTAATATTTAATGTTAAGGTTTTAATGATGATTACAAGTATTCTGGTCTTTTCAGCTGGTTAAATTGATGAAGATTATTCTACAAAAGGAAAAGAAAAAAGGAGAAAAGGGCACATTTAGATTTAATCCTGATTGTGCAATGTTCATTTGCAATCATTGGGATAGTGTATGTGAAAAAGACAAAGTGTATAAACACATAGTTGACAGACTTCATAAAATTTGGCCTAACTTTGATAAAGATAAAGTTAAGACATTTTCATCGTGGAGGGCCAATCATGAAATTGAGATAGATCAAGATTATATAACATCAGATTTTCAAGATGTATTAAATCTCTTGAAAAGTATTTACAGTCAAGCTTTGAATGAACGAGTAAAAGTCACTTACAAGTAAGTAAATTATTTAATGGTGTCAAACATGGCGAAATAACAATAATTATAATCGAGAACCCTCTTCATTTTCGGTAAACATTGTAGAACCTAAATTATGATATCGATTTCAGAACAAAAGGACAGTTAGAAAGTTATCGAGCTTTAACTAAATAGTCTATTTGCCAAATATTTGTTTGTTTTTGTAACTACATCCTTTTTTCCATCTTGCCAATTGTAGAATGGTTCTTAACCGGACCAAATGGGCTGCTACCCATGCCAATTATGATAAGTTGAAAGTGATTTTTTGGCGTTTTTACAAATGTTTGATATAGAATTGAACGCTGATTTTAGAAAATTTATAAAAAAATTACCTCCACATTTTGGAAAGTGCGGAACCGCTTCTTTATAAAAAGCAGCATTATTATTTAAAAAAGTAGTTGACAATTTACCTTGAAATATGGATAACATATTACAATAAAATAGTTCCCTATGATATACACGACTATAATGATCGGAATTTGTTAAATATTTTACGAGCTATCTACTCTGACATCTTCATATGCCAATTTCAGCTATTTGAGGTATTATAATTGATACTACTTTCATCTCACTAGACACTGAAGTTTTACTTTTTTTATAGTTTCCCTAAAAGATTCAAAATGTGAATAACACAAATTTTTTTTTATTTTGAAAATCTGTAAATATTAAGAATAGAATGATGTGATTATTTGAAAATTTATACGAAGTGAAAGATGACACAGAAGCATGGTTTCAAATCCCGCTGCGGGAAAGACAATAATTAGCTGCTGCAAATTTGCATATCTACTATTTTTGGTTACCGTTGAGACAAATTATATATAATTATTCTATAGATTTATTATAGATATAAATTTGACAGTAGTGAGCTCCTCAGTGAAAAAAAATCTGTAATTGATTTATGGCTGAGGACATTTGGGATGCAATAAAAGTGTTTTTTACTTGGTAACATACTGCAATATTAACGTAATTAATTTTTCACAGATGGATGAAAACTCTTTTACTTCGATCAGTTCATCATATGAAAACAATGGTCAGACAACTCAACTGTTCGGATGATAGAATGGCAAACAAAATGAAGGAAGCGAATGAAAATTTGGAAAAGCTAAAAAATGAATCAGTTGACATCATAACATCTTTGAGAGATATGATAAACAACAAGTCTCATCAAATTTGCGGTGCATTTCGAGAGTACCTGAAGCTCCCTGTGGTTCGGATGGCTATAACACAGTGGATAGAACAAGAACTTCCAAGCGAGTTCATACTGGATCCCGAAGGAGAGCCTACAGCAGTCAAGAAAGACTGGGTGAAATTGAAAACGGAAATTGATGGTTTAATCATTGAACGGATCGCTCTTGAACTGGACAAATGGGAAGAAGAAACCGGTACCATTGATATTCTTGAATCCTTGGTTGTTAACGAAATTCAACAAAAGGTATTGGGACTAACAGATGAAGTGACCCAGGTGGAGAAAGAACTACATTCATCCACAGGATCAAGAGATTCAGTCGCATCAATTTCAAAACCCTCGTATAAAAACGATTACAGACGTGAAACTGTTTGTGCTACCTACTTTCGCAGAATGAAACTTGAAGATAATCAATACCATCTTACTGCCCTTGCAAGGAATAAGGTATTTCAGCCGTTGAAGAAAGTTATACGAATATTCCCTGGTGTTAATAAATGGAAGAATTACGCGAATGATAAGTGTGCATATGCAAAGGGTCGATCTGAAAAACTTCTGAAAACATTTACTGAGCCATGTCGAAATGAGGACGACTCGCTGAAAATCGTCATTGACTGTTTCATGGAAGGAGCCAAGGACACATTAGATAAATCCATTCTTGAGATTCCAAGTTTAATCAAAGCAAATCAGGACATTTTTAGTCACGTGATAACATGTAAACGTGATGTAGCCATAAATCTTCGGGTTTATGAGGAGATGATGAAAGAACTAGAAATTCTCAAGCGTCTTCTAGCAGACTATGGTGCGGGGTATATATTTATTGAAGATTTCAAACCAAATGAGTTACAGATTATTGACCCAAATGACGCAACAGGAAGATCAACAACCCCTTTCAAAATATCAGAATTCTTGATGAACATGTCAAGTTCACAAACAAGCACAATTCAACGATGTCCTAGGGGCTTGTGGACAGCACACCAGAGAGGGCTACTGAAACGGGAAAATAGCGAAGAAAAAGTTACCATTAAAATATACCTTCCTTCATGCAACATAGAAAAGTGTTATTCCGAAATTGCAAAGCTAAGGTTAGTTCACTATTTTTATTTAACTGAAGGTAAAATATAATCAAACACATAATTCAATATCTTCAAAATAGAAATGGGTGTGAAACAAAAGTACATTTTCGTGTTTTTATTCATTACAATTTTTCTCATTTTTGAAAATAAAATTATATGGATAAACTCTTACCTGTTAAATATGTATTTGATGGAATCATAAAAAACGATATTTTAATTGTATTTCAGATTATTAGAACATAACAATGTTGCAGATTTCTTAGGCATACAAAATTCACAATCGTATTTTCCTGCAATGGTATACAGCAAACAACTGAAAACTCTTCGACATCAATACGAGAAACAATCTGGACATTTAAACATCTCCATCTTACTACAGGAGGTTACAATTGGTTTACAATACCTCCACAGGCATGGGATGGTTCATATGGAACTCAATATGAATACTGTTACGGTAGATATTTTTATTATTATTTCTAAAGGATATGGTTAAAATTTGAAATAAAAAATGTCTTATAATATCTATGGTAGACGGTACTTTAAAATATTTTCGTTGTCACTTTAAGGTTAACAAACGTCTCAAGGGCACATTCTGTGCTTCTGACGTCTAAAAGATTATTGAATCGGAGAGTCGAATCGCATTTTGAGCATGAAAATAGGAGTACAAAAATCATAGATATTAAACAAAGAAAGATAAAGAAAGAAAATCTAGAGAGTCATGGTTTGTTACAGAAATATTTCATAATTTTGAACAAAATGTTGTTAAAAGCAGCAATAACAAAAATGCAAAAAAATGCAGTGAGGTATGTTGTTACTACAATTGCAAATATATTATATTTCATTTGTTAATTTAATAGCATACAAAATTGCAGTAAGCAAAAATAAAATATTTTACTTTGGTGTCTTGTTTGTAGTTGGATTCAGCCGGAAATATTCGTCTAACTGGTGGGTGCCTCCCTCGTAAAGCCGACCTTCCGGGAAATAAAGAGCATCATATAAGTGGAGATTTTGTATATTTGCCACCGGAAGTTTTGAGAGGAGATCTGTACACTGCAAGTGCAGATGCCTATGCATTTGGCCTACTGATGTTTGACATGATGTCAAGAACGTCGGCTTTTGCCAGCCAAAGAAACATGTCGCTTGATCTGTTTATTAAAAGAATAAATCCTAAAGAAATGATAAGTCTAGAAACTTATAAATCTGATTTATCGGATGATGCAATTGACATTATACTTCGTTGCTTAGACCTGTCAGAGGAATCAAGACCAACACTTTCAAATTTGCAAGAACAAGTAGAGGTCCTCAAAACTAAACAACATGCCAAAGTACCCAAGCAATCCGAGGTAACTTACCGACGACATAAAAATGGTAGAGACTAGAAAAATTGTATTGGTCTTTTTACATTTATTTGGACTGCTTGGTTGATTGATTGATTGTATTTTCGATTCGTTATGCATTTCGACTGTTTCTTTTAGACAGTACAATAGTTGTGATTGCCTATTTATAGATAATATGGTGTATGTCTGTTAAGATTGCTTCTTTATAGGCATTATTCTTGTTTAATTTACTTTTATGAAATAACATGCTTGCTTCAGTTGTTTTTGAATAGGTTATGTTTGTTTAAAGTTAATATACTTGTGGTTTTTTTTTTTATTTTCAAAAGACAACATATCTGTGTAGATTGTCTCTTTATGGACACTATTTTTCCGAAATGTTTATTCCAGAAACTGATATAGCTGATATGTCCGATAAAGTAAAAGACAATATACTAGTACTTATTTTTATGCATGAGGTCTTAATTTGAAAACATACCAAAGAACTCAAACAATCAGAGTACATTCATTGCCAATGACAGAATAACTAGTACAGAATAGATTGTTATAATTATCCTTAAAGATTTTATTTTTTTTTATTTTATGTACTTTTTACATTTATTTGGACTGTTTGTTCCTCGTTGTATTTATATATTGAATGTTTGTTCTGGTTGTTTCCTTAAGACCTAATTGTCTCATTAAACTTGATACCATTTGTTCATATAGTCTCATGGTTTAGATTGTTACGGACTAAGCAATATTTATATATTTCGGTTGTTCTTTGTATAGGCTATGAGTTTATTTTGCCTATTTGATCGAAAGTGGTATCTTGTCTCTGTACAGAAAGTCATGTTTATGATAGTAACGTCTAGTCTGGAATCTGATAATCTAATTTGCATACTAATGTAATATACATTTGTTGTTTAGACATATCTTATGGGCCAAGACGAACGCTTCCATATTTGCAAGAAGTTCCTTTATGGACAGTGTGGTTTTATAGATTGTTAATTTATATAGATTATTTGCAAAGATTGCAAGAACATACTGAAAGTGTTTAATGTATTTTTATAAGCCTTGTTTAGGTTGTCACTATGATATATACATATATAAACCATGCAATTTTTGGAATAAATTTAGGAGATTATGTGTGCATCTATGTCATGGAACCATATAGTATTATTATACTTCCCTGGTTTAACCATGTGTTTTTGGTTGTCCTAAAAGTCATTATTTGTACTGTCTGTTTGAACCTGTAGATTATATTTTTTATATTATTTTTTGGTGTTTGGTGTTTGACCATGTACGATATAGTTATTCTCAAAGTGAACTTATTCCTATTGACGGGTTTGTTACAATTACGGTGCAATACTACATTTAAAATGTACATGGATAATGTTACTGTCTGTTTTTGCATAAACAGTTAATAATTTCTATTGCTACCTGTTTAAAGGTGAAATAAAATTACTCAAGATACATTTTAGCTTATGTTATATATATAATGCCATTAATGTTCACGCATCTATCTTCTAAATCTCTGTATATGCATAAGCATAAGGATATTGAGTAACTTATTTTGCAATCTGATTACAACACATATTGATTACAAGTAAGCAAGCGTAGACACAAGTGTTTTAATCAGACTGCCACTTCTATATACTATTTCCTAAGTTGGAGGCAACAGTATATTACCAATGTTCAAATCTCAAAAATCCATTAAAAACATGCGAATCAAGGTAAAAGAAATAAGCAAATCGCATGAACTCCAAAAGGATCGAGATATTCATAGGGCATCATCCGTTTTTGGAATCCACATTCAGACAACTATTCCGGTATCTAACGCGAATAAGGTCTTTTAATGCAATCTCAAAACTCAATCAATGTGAATAACATGAAATGTTGGGTATATATCGATGAAACAGTCTCTCAACATAATAAGATAGAGAGCCACATGGCATCTAGAGCTAATACGGTAATGAACAAAAGGAAAGTTTTAATCTGACATGTCATGCGCTAAATTGAAAAAAAACCAACTTGTATCTACATTTAACAGATGCTACTACAAACTTGCCATCAACACTTTATTATCTAAAGGACACTAGCAATCAACACTTTATTACCTAAAGGACACTAGCCATCAACACTTTATTACCTAAAGGACACTAGCCATCAACACTTATTACCTAAAGGACACTAGCCATCAACACTTTATTACCTAAAGGACACTAGCCATCAACACTTTATTACCTAAATGACACTAGCCATCAACACTTTATTACCTAAAGGACACTAGCCATCAACACTTATTACCTAAAGGACACTAGCCATCAACACTTTATTACCTAAAGGACACTAGCCATCAACACTGTATTACCTAAAGGACACTAGCCATCAACACTGTATTACCTAAAGGACACTAGCCACCAACACTTTAATACCTAAAGGACACTAGCCATCATCAACACTTTATTACCTAAAGGACACTATCCATCAACAATTTATTACCTAAAGGACACAAATAAGGTCAACTGACGTATAGTGTGATTTCTTAGATTGACGAAAATTCTGGGATTTCATCTTACTTACAGTGCTTGGAAAATTAAACCATCCAAGCTGACAAGCAGTTTGGAACGAGAAGGATATTCCTCCCTCCTTTTGCCAAACAAAATTATAATTAAATAGTTTTTTGTTCAGAGAACACATAGAAGGTCTTTCAAGTGTCAAGGATATTCTTTTGTTAAAGCACAAGTGAGGGTGGAAGTCAGAGGCGGGAACCGGGATAGAAGGAGAGTAAAAATAGGGATACTATCGTAAAAAGTTTTGGGAGTAGAAGTGAGGGGAGTGGGAGTTGGGGGTTTGAAAGTGGGAATCAGGGACCCCCTGTCCACCCCTCCTTTAAGGTTCTGTTCTCACTTTTGAAGGCCGTATGCTAACCTATAGTTCCTTACATTTACGTCATTTGTTATCTGGTGAATAGCTTTCTATAGGGTAATCATACAACATTTGTTATCTAGTGAATAGCTTTCTCAATGGTAATCATACAACATTTGTTATCTGGTGAATAGCTTTCTATAGGGTAATCATACAACATTTGTTATCTAGTGAATAGCTTTCTCAATGGTAATCATACAACATTTGTTATCTAGTGAATAGCTTTCTCAATGGTAATCATACAACATTTGTTATCTGGTGAATAGCTTTCTAAATGGCAATCATACAACATTTGTTATCTAGTAAATAGCTTTCTCAATGGTAATCATACAACATTTGTTATCTGGTGAATAGCTTTCTAAATGGCAATCATACAACATTTGTTATCTGGTGAATAGCTTTCTCAATGGTAATCATACAACATTTGTTATCTGGTGAATAGCTTTCTAAATGGCAATCATACAACATTTGTTATCTGGTGAATAGCTTTCTCAATGGTAATCATACAACATTTGTTATCTGGTGAATAGCTTTCTCAATGGTAATCATACAACATTTGTTATCTGGTGAATAGCTTTCTCAATGGCAATCATACAACATTTTTTTATTTTTAAAAGGAAACCTTCTTGAAATGCATTTAAAAAGGAATTGAAAGATAACTGATATTTGTCTAGTTCAAATATAACATATATATATTCAGGACGTGAGCGTGTTAATGTAATATAAAGGTAGCGTGTTTTTTACTAGACTGACTCGATGAGTCGGTATTTTACCTTGATAGTTGACGGTAAATACAGAAAGGAAAACATTTCCCTATCCAGACACATAACTCTGACTCTGAGTCACCCATTTTTCGCTCTAATTAGAATACAATGTGCTTGGCGGAGAAGCAGAAAATACAATTTTTAAGTCATTGTTAAGACCAGACCAGAGATAAAATTCTCGACCTTCTTCATTTGGACATGTGTTTTAACTACCACAAGACAGGAAACCAAATGTATATGTAAAACGACAAGATAATCTGCTTAAAAATAATTTTATTAAAAACCATCTCTAGAGGAAATCTCATAGATTGATTTTGAGTTATTAATCATTTGGATTTCAAGAAATTTACACGGTAGCAAATTTTAATTTGCTCAGTCGACCTTGTGAATGTTTTTCCAACAGTGCCAAAAAAATCTTTACCGAGAACAAAGTAAGCACGAGTGTGACTTCTGTCTGAAGGAGTGCAGATGATAGGAGTGAATTGTAAACATTTTTTTTTATTAAAAGTAGAAATATTAAAAGTTTCTTTCATAATAGTAAGTTCGATCAATTTTATTATGTACTTGTTTTACCTTTGTCAAATAGAAGAGTTTTATTTCTATTGGTCTCGATTCACCAGTTGCCCTTCACTGGCCTTCATAGTATAAATGGTTTTGTTGAATTGATTAAACATGCTTTTAAATTCGAGTTGAATTGACTAATATTAAAGTTCCTTTCCATAATGCTTATGGAAAAGTTGAATTAGAATTCACTCACCTCACTGAATCGACCTTTCCGTTAAATTTTCTGAATGAATTATGTCAGCCTGACTTTAATATCCTTATCCCAAAAGTTGGATGAAAAGGATTGACTGAATGGAATTAATGTCCATCAAAGCAGGATCTATAAAGCAATTATTTGGTCTCCAAAATAATAATGATAATAAACAGAATTAATTCAAAAATAAAACTTTAATAAAAATGTTTGGTAACCCCCCCCCAAACAAAACAAACATATTTCTTTTAAAGATAAAAGATACTAATAATACACAATCACGTTTTGTCTAATCAGGACTTTATAGCTTACTATATTGTATGGGTTTTGCTCTTTGCTGAAGGCCGTACGGTAACCTACAGGTGCTTCCATCCATGTCATTTGATATCCTGTGGAGATTTGTCTCATTAGCAATTATACTACATCTTATTTTTATGCCCACCTAGGGGCATTATGTTTTTCGGTCTGTGCGTCCGTTCGTTCTTCCGTTCGTCCGTCCGTCGGTCCGTCTGTCCCGCTTCAGGTTAAAAGTTTTGGTCAAGGTAGTTTTTGATGAAGTTGAAGTCCAATCAACTTGAAACTTAGTACACATGATCTTTCTAATTTTAATACCAAATTAGAGTTTTGACCCCAATTTCACGGTCCACTGAATATAGAAAATGATAGTGCGAGTGGGGCATCCTTTTAATATGGACACATTCTTGTTATAGTCTCAGTGTTGTAATTGTTCTATGCTGACATTATACACAATTGTTTTTAACAGTGACTTTGATTTTTTTTTGTACATAATGTATATATATATAGAGAATTTGGTATGTTCCTTTTTGTTTGTTTAGGTAAATGATTAGGAAATTCAATGCAGAAAAAAAGGATCAAATCGCTTCAAGGTCTGAAAGCCAAACTTTCAGTAGCAATACACTCATGCACCTTAACTGGCAGGGCATGCTTTTTTAACACTTATAAATCACGGCCTTTAAACATTTGTATGTCTTTATACAAAATAATTGAATTGTGAAGTGTTAGATGCAAAAATATCAAAAACTAATATCGTTTTTTGTCTCTAAAACGTTTTTGAATAATGATATTGATTTCTTAGTCATTTTACCTATCTTTTCATTTCATTTATGCTGAGTAATAAATATATAACCAAACTGTTAAGCTTAGTACATATTTAATTAGTTTTTGTATAATAACCTTGAAACGAGATTAGAATTTTTTTTTTAAACGGAATGTCAATGTAGCGCTTTTGTATTAATGTTACTTAAATATCATAAAATATCATACATATGCAGACCACGATTAATTTCTGAAGAAAACACCAGGAAGTCGGTCATGGTTCAAAGAGTTCTGAGTTCTACTACTTTTGTGCATGAAGTCCCTACATGATGTTTAATTATGCGTCTTTTTTTATAGATCTGGTTACGTAATATGATTAAAACGTGACGTAACGAGTTTATGTTTGCATTAAATGAAGTCCCTTATTTTTTCTTTAAAGATATTATTGTCAAATCGAAGATTGGCGATCCAAATTTTGCTGAGCAGACAGAAACCAACGATAAACACTAAAATACAGACTCTTGACTTAGGACAGACGCATACAGATTGTGGCCGATTTAAACATGTTTGCGAGTGCTCAATCCTCTCCCTAACCAAGGATAGTGGTGTAACAGCACAACGTAAATAAAACTCTGTAAAAATCAGTTAAAAAGGGCTTGACCCATCAGATCGAAACAAAGCACACAAAATCCTTACAAAAAGACTAAAGACATAAATTACCGATCTTAAAGTATATTTTTATCTACGTGTTACTGTTGAAGACCTTGTGACCCAAATGACATTGTATAAAATTTTGCATTGAAGGACGTATCTAAATAAACAAATTTGTCTGTTTGTATCCGAAAGAGAATTTATAGCGTCACTTCCAACATAATTTCGGTTTTGCTTAAAACTTATCTCATCATATATACATATTTTGGGTAAAATATTTACTCAAAATTTGGGAAAATCTGACAAAAAAGAAGTTAGTTTATTGTTAGAAATTTATCTTTTGGTCATATGTCCTAAAATGATCTTCGATATAACATTGCCGGATGTTCAAAGTAAACCCATCGGAGCTCTCATACTGCACATTTTGACAGATGTAAGGAATTTTTTTCGAAATAGCCCTGGTATTTGAAAAATATTCAAGGGAAATTGGTCCTTCGTCTTTAACTACACAGTTTTCAATGAAGATCGAGACGTTGATGCTGAAGACCACATAAGTGCTATTTCTTGGGGAAGGTTTTCCGTACAAAACATCATTCCTCTCGCTTTATAACAAGAAAGCAGTATAAGAAAAAGACCAAATCGAGATAAAACTGTTCGCCCACAAAGTTTAGCTTGTTCAGAACTTTACTTCCAATACGATACTAGTAATTTAAAAATATATGCTTCGATTCTCTTTTCTAATTTTGTACTTAGCATCAATGTTCAGGGATGGATATATAAGCATTTATCAAATTAGAAAAAAAAACGATATTAAAATTTTATAAAAGATTGAATTTGATTTTGTTAAAGTGGATAAGATCAGAACATTATGTTTTCTGTTTTATAGAAAATTGCATTAAATGAAGTTTGGCGGCGTACAAGTAGTGTAAGCATAAACAACCCTAGCCAAAACACTCAACAGCTGCAAGCATAACATGGATAATTTAACTCACGAATGCCAGACTAAACAAAGAAAAGCATTTACTTCCCAGTTAAACGGGATGATATATAGATATAGGAAGATGTGGTATGAGTGCCAATGAGACAACTCTCCATCCAAGTAACAATTTATAAAAGTAAACCATTATAGGTCAAGGTACGGCCTTCAACACGGAGCATTGGCTCACACCGAACAGCAAGCTATAAAGGGCCCCAAAAATTACTAGTGTAAAACCATTCAAACGGGAAAACCAACGGTCTAATCTATATAAAAACGAGAAACGAGAAACACGCATGAACTACATAAACAGACGACAACTACTGTACATCAGATTCCTGACTTAGGACAGGTGCAAACATATGCAGCGGGATTAAACGTTTTAATGGTACCAAACTTTCTCTCTTTTCTGAAACAATAGTATAACATCTCAACATAGAAAGACACACTATAAAATATCAATTGGAAGGCTTAACTCAATCAAAAAACGTAAATTAACACACAATGAACGAATAAATTTGATCTGTGATACCTGAATGCAAATACAAAGTTAGTAAAAACTATAAAGTATACTTTTACACGAAACAAAACAGATGATACAAAGACAAGATATCATATGTTTTTGTCATGAAAATCATTTTAGGTACAAATTGCAAAGAAGAAAACAAATATACATGGAAACACGGAAACATAACATTGTGTCTGTTTGTTTTGTTTACGAATCGTTGTCAATATAATGGAATTTGACGCGACTGTCATACAAGTGAGAGGTTTAGTTAGCTATAAAACCAGGTTCAATCCACCATTTTTCTGCATAAGAAAATGCCTGTACCAAGTCAGGAATTTGACAGTTGTTATCCATTCGTTTGATGTGTTTGAGCTTTT